GCCCTGATGCCACACACCGTCTGTCAATGTAGTTATGTTTTGCCCAATTGGATTGATTGACAGGCCGCACCATGCGAAGAGAGGAAAGTGGGTGTTTCTTGTGTTCTAATGTTTGTTTTTCAGATGAAAGATAAACTGCACCTGCTTCAGGGATGACAGTAGTATGGATCATAAGGAAATGAGCCTCTACTTTGGCACCAAAGCCCACAATATGAATTGAGGACGATCCGGGAGGAACAACTGAAGATGATTGGAACAGTAATCTACACACACACAGATGCATGTTTTATACTTTGGACCACGACCAACAGAGGGAGTATAGTAATGTTATTGTCATAGGTGGTCATGGTCCTTAACCTTCTAAATCATTAGAAAGAAGTGTAAAACATATATTTACAAGACCAAATACATAATAGAAAAGGGCAGCCTAAAAAAAAGCAAAATGGGAAAATTATTAAGTAATTTTCGGAGTTGCCAAAATGAAATAAAATTCTATATTTGTCCCATAGGGGGTCATTCTAAATTTAGTGTTGTGCAAATTCAAAAGGAGAAATAATAGCGCTTATAACATCAAACAGATCTACTCTTTAAGATAATAGATCATATAATAATAAGATAATAATAGAATAGAATGAAATAGTCTGGAGCTATAATGTCATTGGATTCGAGGAGCTATAGGTTGAAGTGTCAGAATAAACAATAGTAATAATAGTTAGACTAGTGAATAATCAAAATAGTTCTATTGTGGAAATAAGTATCAATAAGGTCAAATTGTTCTAATAACTAAAGTAAAAAGGAATCAAATGGAGTCAGATTTTAGATGTTTCTGTTTTCCACATCTGTAGGAATTAGTGCAGATGTGTTTATAGAGAGTAGTATTAAAATGCAGACATAGAACGACAGGCTTTAACACAATTTTAAATCTAAATATAGCTCAAATATAACATTGCTCTTGACGCAGCCTCTGAGCTGCTCCATTGGAGAACAGGTTAAATGTTATTGTTTATTACAAACAGCTGATGTATTTACACACATTAAGTTTGGGACAACTCTTTAAACAGTTCTAAGCAGCGGACAGAAGCCATGAATGTGCTTTTGTTTATTAAATAATTAATTTCATAGCCTTATAATCGTAGAGAACGTTTTAAAATAGTTAAAATCCCTTTCAGGCAACTTGATTTAGATGTATGTCTTTAATATTGGAGAACGACTGTGTTGTTTTTGGAATTGTCTGAAATACAATACATAGAATAATGATTTGCAGAACAAGAACCGGCCAATAAAAAATCGTCTATTGCCAATGCAATTGTTACAATCAGAACTCAAAAATTGGGAATATGCCTTTGCTCAAGCTGCAACCGAGCTTTAGAGTCACAATAGAGTAAAAATAGGAATAGATAAATGCATCAACCATAGATGCTTTCAAAAATAGAGATTATTTTTAGCCAAGGCTAATATCAAACGGTAAAAGGACCATTTCCTTCATATTATGTCTAAAAGTATTTACTTCAAAGGTAGATAAAGTTCAGTACAGTTTATGCACAGTTTTATTAGATACTGTCAAATTCACTTGTTTCAAACATGGGTGAATGTTGACAATGCAAAAAGCTAATGAGATAGGTTAATGAGATCGATTAGAACCAACACAGATTCAAAAACATTTGAAAGCATTTTAATGTATTTGGGTATAGCACAAAAGTAGATCTTTAGGTAGTTTTGAGAATTTTAAGAGCTGTCGATTTGTCAGCAACAGATTAGAGAATCAAAATACCGTTGTATAGGGACTGACCCCAGAGAAACCTGCTAAAATGGATTAGCTCCTGTACGGATAATACCAATTTGATTAACGATGTACATTTATCCCAAACGGTCTGAGAGAAGGAAGTGACAGCACTTCCTGGTACAACAAAATGTGTTTGGAAAAATGAGCAAAGCCCCACAAAATGGCACAGAGCCACTGATAATGACAGCAAACCACAGTATAGATAGATTTATTAGATAAAAACATATGTTTAAGAATAGGGCTCAATAAAAGCAAAATATGCAAACATATTTGTGAATAGATTAGAATAGTTTAAACTATAGTGAATAGTTTTAGTGCATACATTACAGACGAGGTTGAAGAAGAATCAGAATGACAGCAGTGGTCATCGAAGAGTTTTGTGAAGGAATGTTTCGAATGTTGTTGTGTGTGTATTCTTTTTGTATTAATTCTTCACAGATAACGAGCCAGAACCAAGAACCAAGGCGATGATGGACGAGCTCCCCAGTCTCGGCACCCAGGAGGAATATTGAAAGATTGTGACCTAAATTGGTTTAATATAGGTCAACAGAGGGGAACTGTTGTATATTTTAATATTTGACCATTTGAACATCATAGCCAGAAAGACCTCTGTGCACTCAGGAAAAACCCCAAGGACACAGGATAATCAGACATGAGTCATAAAGATAAAATGCTGTTTAAACAGGGCGAATTATTAACTTTAAATAATAAACATTTTGACGAGGACAATCTTGAGGCAGACTGGGAGATTCACCAACTGCATTCTGACGCCTCCCAGTGGATAGGGGACGTCAGCACACCCGGAAACCTCCACCCTTGGACGCATAAGGATGACGTCATCGGAAGTCTCCCTCATGAGCCCGTGTGTGTGTGTTTTTTGAGGTCAGACAGGACAGGGCACGGACAGGGAAAGACCAGGCAGAGAATAGGAGCACTTTTGTTGAACATTCTGTATCTGATTGTAAAGATAATTAAATGCAGATGTTAAACTTGAATATCGTTTGCCTTACTTCTGCAACCATTTTGAAACACGTTAGTCAAAGGGAATTATTGACTACAAGATCCTCATGCAGAGACTGGAGGACTGGGTTGGTGTCACTGGCACAGCCCTAGACTGGTTTAGGTCTTACCTGAAGGATAGGAAGTACTTTGTGGAGATTGGAGACTGCGTCTCAGATCATGTGGCCCTGACCTGTGGAGTACCACAGGGGTCGATCCTGGGACCTCTCCTATTTAATCTCTACATGCTGCCGTTAGGTCAGTTAATACAAAGAAACAAAGTGTCCTACCACAATTACGCCGACGACACTCAGATCTATGTCTCACTGACTGCAGGAGAACATGGACCACTGGATTTGCTCCTTCACTGTATCCAACAGATCAGTGACTGGATGCAAAATAATTTCCTCCAGCTAAATGCAGACAAAACCGAAATCATTGTCTTTGGTCCCCAGAAACAAAGAGAGGGCGTCATTTGTCAACTTCAGTCTCTCTCCCTACTTCCTTCAGACAAGGTCAGAAATTTGGGGGTAATACTGGACTCAGACCTAAATTTCAATAGCCACATAAAATCAATAACATCAACAGCTTTTTACCATCTGAAGAACATTGCCAAAGTTAGAAATATAGTGTCCAGGGCAGACTTGGAGATTCTTGTCCATGCATTTGTCTCCAGCAGGCTAGACTACTGCAATGGCCTGCTTACAGGTCTGTCCAAACAGACCTGTAAGCAGCTGCAGTACATCCAAAATGCAGCAGCTAGAGTCCTGACAGGAACCAGGAAGTACGACCATATTAGTCCGGTCCTCAGGTCTCTGCACTGGCTTCCTGTGGCTCAAAGAATAGATTTTAAAACAGCTCTGCTTGTGTACAAGTCTCTCCATGGCCTTGCACCAGAATACATTAGTGACATGTTGGTGTCATATGAACCAGCCCGGACTCTGAGGAGCACAGGGACTGGCCTCCTGCTGGTGCCCAGAGTGAGAACCAAACATGGGGAGGCTGCGTTTCAGATCCATGCAGCTAAGATCTGGAACAATCTCCCTGAAAATGTGAGGGAGGCGTCTACTCTGTCAATGTTCAAATCCAGGTTAAAGACTGTTCTGTTTGCCTGTGCATACAACTGAAGGATTTTATCTCCATTTCTAATGCACTGCTGTCATTTATTTATTTATTTTTTTAAATTTCTTGTGTAATTTTGAAAGTTTTAATGGTTTTATTCTTTTGTGTGATTTTAATGTTTTAATTGTGTTTAATCTTTTGTGTGATTTTAATGTTTTAATTGTGTTTTAATCTTTTGTGTGATTTTAATGTTTTAATTGTGATTCTGGTGTTTGTTTTATGTGATGATTTGTGATGTGGACTGTGAAGCGCTTTGTGTTGCCCTGTGTATGAAAGGCGCTCTACAAATAAACTTTGATTGATTGATTGATTTCCTCAAATAATCTTAAAAGAACCCTTTGAGCACAAACAGAGGACTCTCTGAATCTGAGACCCTCATGGACGATGGTGCATTTACTCTAAATAGGGCTGTGTTATGTAAAGTAATAATAGTAACCATATTCATGGTATGTGCAAAAGTGCTCAAGCTTACATGCATGCTTTTAGACACTGACATACAGAATACCACAAATTTGTAACAAGTAAAAGGCAAACACATAACTACAGACCCCCTAGAGCTGCTGAAACCGTGTCAGCCTGTGTCTGGCAGCAGTAGTTTCTGAACAATAAGGAGAACCAAGTCTAGCACCGTATGCCTTTATGTAATGCTCTGTATATCTTTGGAAACATTTTATACAAGCCACAAGTAGATGCAAGCTGGTTTGCCATTAGATTGTTGGCAAAAAGTATAGTTTAATCTAATTTGATCAAATGTGTTTTTTCAAATATGTGGACTCTAACTTTGTTTCATCGTTTGTAGGTTTAATGCTATACGATCAAACACTTCAGACAAAATGACATTAAGATGGACACAAGCAAAAGTGAAGCACATACAGAAAAATATACTACAACCAAAAGGTTCTGGTTATTGTATTTAATTTTGAAGACCCTAATGCAGCCTCAGTCCTGGATCCCTCTCTCCCGGAGGTTTCTCACATTTCTTCCCATTGATTTCTTCTAGAGTCGTTCCTCGCAGATGCTGGAGGGTCTATGGGCAAAAATATGTTGAATTGAATCTATAGTTTTTGAATGAGATGTTTTGTTCTGTGTTTTTCAGACCTGCGTCGCAGTGAGGAGCGAGGAGAGCTGCTTATACCACTCCTATTTTTCCTCCTTGTGGTTTTTTCTGTGCTTTTATACTTTTCCGTTTCCTTAATGGACCCTGGATTTGTGCTCAAAGAAGCAGCTCAGGTTCCGTAGTTCTAATGTACAATCTCTGATCTAAAACTTTAAACTGTTCTAAAATATCTGTATGTTTCAGGCCTCACTAGAAGAAGCAGAGAGCATGATTCCTGAGGCCACTGTGCCTCGTGTGCGACGCTGTGGTTACTGCTTTTTACTGGTAACTCATTACTCCTTATGTTTTAGAGGTTGAACAGGACATGCAGCAGTCTCAGCAAAAAGGTCCTGGGTTCATTACAGTGAGAAGATATTCTTTTATTTGTCCCACAGTGTGGATATCTCAGTGTCATTGTTGCACATTACAGCAGAATAAAACTAGTAGATAAGACTCCGATTGCACACATCAAACAGAAGCTATTATTTAAGAGCATAGATGACATTTTAATAAGTTATAAAATAAAACTCTGGAGCTACAATTGCACTTGGTTCAGAGCGAGGTATTTACAGATGTGTATATTGCACTGTAGCAGCAGAGAATATGAGCAGAAAAAACAATAGTAATATTAGTAGCAGCAGGTAAAGTGAAGAGTGAATGACAGAAATGTGTTTGGGGAAGGTGAAACCTACGCAGACACGGAGAGAACATGCAACCTCACTCAATCCAATTCAATTAACTTTATTCTTGCAGAACCCTGAATCACAACAGTAGTTATCTCAGAGGACTCAACAGAACCGTTGAACCATGTTGCACTCAGAAAGACCCTGTCCCGACTGGGATTCAAACCCAGGACCACTCAGCCATCGTGCAGTAACAATAGCAGCAGGTAAAGTGACCAGTGAAAAACAGAAATATCAGTTGAATGAATATGTAGTCTTAGCTTGTAGCCTTAATAGAAATGGGCCGCCTACAGATTATACAGAATGCTGCAGCCAGACTGCTCACCAAATCATCTGAATCCTACCACATGGCTCCTGTCTCTGCCCTTCACTGGTTACTGTGCAGGACTCACTGAGAACCTGTGAATCCAGTTATTCAAAGCTCATTTAAAGATTTGTCTTGACCCATCAGGAGCAGTGGTTGCCGCATGTTTTTAGTGGTAGGGTACTTTAAATACAGTTAATATTTTAGTTGCGGCTTGTGACAACACTCCAGTTAAGAAACACTGCATTAGAATGTTGCGGCCCTAATTAAGTAAGTAAGTAATCCTTATTTTTACAGTGCCTTTCACAGACCAGAGTCATAAAGCGGTTTACAATTGTAAATTTGTCTCTCACTCCACACAGAGATGGGAGCGAGGCCAGTACAGGAGGCACATGCCAGACTATTGTACATGTTTTCAGTGGTAGGGGAAACCGGAGCACCTGGAGGAAATGCAAACTCCACTCAAAGGCCCTGTTTCGACTGGGATTCAAACCCAGGACCTTCTTGCTGAGAAGCGAGTGCTAACCTCTCAGCCACCGTGCTGCCCAATTACGATTTACTGTATTGGTCCGACTGTGGGGAAATGTCAGTGTTGCATCAGCAGTTACAGAACAGTTGGAATAAGGAGATAAATGAACAATTACTCTATATAAACAATAAATACTGTACATGTTGCAGCACGGGACAAAATGACACTGACACATATTGCTCCATATTGCACATTCTGACATTAGTTCTGGTTATTGCACAGATGCACTCCATGTGAGCTCAGTCTGTCCCTGACGTCTGAACTGTGCCGTTTTGCAGCAGCCGATGAGGGCGCGTCACTGTGCGGCCTGTGGACACTGCGTGCGTCGCTTCGATCACCACTGCCCCTGGATCAGTAACTGTGTCGGGGAAAGAAACCACCGCGTGTTTGTGCTGTACCTGTGCGTGGAACTGCTCACGCTGCTCTGGGCCTCGCACATCGCTCTGTACGTGACCAAGATAAGATCAGTTAGACTTTATGGATCTCACACTGGAGACATGTACAACACCAGGACAGCTCCATCACTAACCATAAAGCTGGGCTACTGTTTTGCATCACAACAAATGTAAATATTTAATTAAAAAACAAAAAAAGTACAATGACTGCAGCCATTATTAGTGACTGCATACATTGAACAGAAAAAAAGTACTAAAGAAAATAAAAAGCCAAGATAAGGAGGATCTGAAATCAGGGGACAGTAAACACATGTCCAGGCTTCCTTCATTAGCTCGTTAGATTAGGACACTGGGAACGCACCTTTATTAACTCTTTAGCATAGGTCTTGTTCCAGGTCTTGCTCAATTCAATCCAATTTATCCTTGTATTGCCCTAAATCACAACATCTTTCTTGGAGGACTTTACTGTTGAATTCGCCAACACAGATCATAGAATAAAACAGTTCAAAGACAAGAAAAAGAACAGAAAACTCATTGGTATTGGTCCACAAGGGGCCAATGTCCATAAATGTAGATGCATGTAAATAAGACCTTGGAACAAGCCCTTGTTTTAGGTCTTGGTCTGGTCTTGGCCTTAGAACCTTTGATCCAATGTGGAACACAAAGCAACAAAAATGAGTGCTGAAAATGAATCTCATTAAATTACTTCCAAATGTTGGAAGTACTTCAAAGAGTGCATTTATTTTGGTTTGGCCCTAAATCCCAACAGTAGTTATCTGAGGATTCTCCAACACAGATCAGAGAAACATTTCAAACTGAAGAAATGCAATGATGATAAAGTCATTGGTCAATAAAGGACAGACCAATGTTGATAAATGTCGAATGTCTGTGTCCTGCAACAAGTTGAAAACCTATAAAAATTGTCATAATAAACTTAAATCCATTTCTCTCCTTCCCTGTTCTGATGTGTGCAGGTCGGGCTTCTCTCCTGCTGAGACGTGGAGCAGTTGGCTGAGGCTCCACGCCGTCCTGCTCGCCGCTCTGTCTGTGGTGGTCGTGTGTTCTCTGGTGGTCCTGGTCCTGCTTTGTTGCCACGGTTACCTGGCCTCGGTCAACTGCACCACGTGGGAGTTCATGTCCCGCCACCGCGTGCCGTACCTGAAGGACGTGCCCGAGGACCAAAGCCCCTTCGACAGCGGCCTCCTGCTCAACCTCTGGGCCTTCTGCTGCGTGTGCCGCGCCGTGGCGTGGGAGCGAGTGTACGCCGCCAAGTCGCGCACCGTGAAGCATGACGAGCTCAGGAACATTTGATCTTTTTTGTACACATTTTTGCATAGTTTTTGCAGTTTTTTTGTACTAGCCATTTTAAGATTAAGAGCAGTGCAAAAATAGTGTGCGAAAATCTGGCCAAAAGCGGTACTGCAAAACTATAAAAGCTTAACATAATTTAAACAAAAACACATAAAACTGTCAAACTATGATCATTAGAGCAAAAAGAGTCACTTGTTTTACTTAGTGAGCTTAATGTTTTGATCACACCTAATGTATTACTAGTTACACACGCATTCAATTAAATACATTTGTTTTATATATTTGTCTAAACCACTGGACTAGAGTTGTGGCATCAGCTGAGACAGAGGAGACAGCACTGCTTTGAAACTGTTGGACTGAATTCTAAATGTAAAAAGTTAATTTTGTTTTATGTTCAAGATTTAGAAGGTTCTTTTAATAATGCTGAACATGTAAATAAGCTTGTACTGCTGAATTAGCTGACATGTTTGGGACATGTACCTTTTAAGCCTTGAATTCTCATCTTTCACTCATGAAGTTTGCATTATTCCCAACGAACTGTCAATCACAGACTAATCTGATGGAATAGATCAATTTGAAATAACTTTAGAAAGGGCAGGGATTCAAAACTTCATGATCTCACGTCTTAGGACAATGAAGATTGGAGTTTGTATTTCACGATTAAAGTTGGCCGAACAAAGCTATAAATTGGTTATTACAGTTTAAAGATGTATTTTTTCCAGTCAGTTTTTTTCAAATATTGTGGGAAAACGTCCCTAAACCCTAAAAGTAGTCAAGTTATGTGTTTTCAAATAGTAATGGAATTGGCCAGTCTCCAAAAATGAATATAAAATATTTTGGAGCGGAACAATAGAAAATAAACCAATGGGATGCGTTTACCCCCTTCGTGCTCTTCCTGTTTTTCGCAAGTGCACCTGAGTTATCGGATTTTCTAAAACCTAAAATGACTGAACAGAAAATGCTAATTTCACGTTTGCCATCCACTCTTCCTGTGCTGGATGTTTGGTGTGGTGGAGAGGCGAGGCGGGAGTGGTGGGATAAATAAAGTAGTCTGAATCTGGTTTCCAGTTGGTGCTACGGCTAAGCTAACCAAATCGCTTACTGCACCTTTAAGCTGAAAAACAGTTAGAAAATCAGTTTAAAAGAGTTTCACCTGTATCCGAGTAACATCCAGATCTCCTCAGAACAAACACATGGATAAAGAAGAGTACAGAGCTTTTCACTCATTCCCAGAGTCATTTTTCTAAAATGCATGGACTTTATTTTGGACTTTGGCGAAGAGAATACATTTTCTTTCAAAGCACAGGCCAGTCTCGCCACACTTGAGTCATTCTTTGTTTGAACATGGTCTTAGTATAAAAATAAATACAAAATAGTCTCATTGACGCTTAAACCCTTGGAAAAATAATCACAATCCCGATCGAAGCCACATCCTCCGGGTTCATCGTTCACTCCAGTGCCTTAAAGCTCAAAACATTGTTCCAGAAATGTCTTTTTTCAGAGTGGATTTTCTAATAAAAAATTCCCAGTGAGCTACATGTGGAGTATATTCTCTGGTTCTTAAGTTCATGTGGATCACGTCCTCCAGAAGCCTGGTGGGAGGTGACCTTTCGGGAGACTGATCTGTCTGTTCCGAAGCGACGTCTGTGAAGAAACAAGTGATTATTATTACAGCATTATTCAATTCATCTATTCTCATGTTGCCCTAATTCACAACAGTAGACGACTTTACAAAAGCGTTGAAATCTCCAACACAGATCAGAGAATCAAACAGTTCAAACACAGAATAAAGAACACATGTGTTTCCACCGCAGGAGTTCCTGGTGAAAGGAAAGGACTTCTACAAGAATCGTCCTCTCCCTCGGCCTCTCCGTGTCTCCACTTCAGAGTAGGACCCTCGGCGACGTCATTAGTTTCACAGCGTAATAAATAATTATTTTACGGTCTGAACCGCTGCATGGTTTTTGAGTTTTTTTATTGTCCTGCTTCAGTTTTATTAACTTTTCATGGCATTGTTTCTGAGTGTGAATCCCCAGTGCTTTGAGGTGAAACTGAAATGTCTTATATCTTTTCATTTCGCTGCGATGCCTCAAACCCCGTCTGAATTTCTATGGTGCTGTAGAAGGCAATTGCCTTCACCTTATCATCCAACCATTTACCTCACAACTTGCTGTTTGCCGTTTCCATTGGCGTCTGCTAGGCTAATGCTGTTGGATTTTTAAAATGCCTGTTTTGGCGCTTTCTTCTGGCGTCAGAGCCTGCTCCAAGACAGAGTACCAAGCCTGGAGGAGGGACTCCGTTTGTTCCCATAAAAGTTCATGTAAATGGCCCTGTGGGGGAGGTTCCTACAGTGGAGACACGCACCAACCAAAATGACCCCAAAGTTCCTGCGTTGGAAACGCTACTATGGTATTGGTCCATATGGAGTTTGACCAATGGCCATGAGTGTTGATAAATATCCATAAATTACCACAGTCCTTCTGGTCACACACTAAAGCTGCGTTCACAGCGGATCATGCGTTGCGTCGACTTTCAATGCAAAGTCAATGATGACGCGCGTTCGAGCGTGGAACTGCATGTGCGTCTCGGGATGCACGCCCGGACTGCGCGGTAGAGACGCATGGACTGTGCGGCAAAAACTGACGCACGTAGGAGATAATATTTTCCGAGGAGTGTTTCCTCGGGACGCACGTGCAGCGAGTGTGACCAATCAGAGAGCCGCAAAGTGGTCACGGAGACATTAGCGGTCTGAGCGAGCAGACTGAACATACTGTAAACAGCCAAAACAGGACCCACACCAGGACTAAAACCAGGGTTGACAATGGGGGACTGTGTGCTTGTGAACATGTGAGTTTTCATGCAGGGCTGGACTGGGACAAAAAAACGGCCCGGGCATTTTTTCCTTTTTAGCGGCCCAGGCAACTCAAAAGTTTCAAGGAGCCATATTTGACAACAACAACAAAAAACAGCGTTGTATAAGGCTTATATGAAGGTAACAGGGGCTGAAGCTGTATTAGCTACATTAGCTACCTTAGCTACATTAGCTATATTAGCTATATTAGACTAATATCTAAATGACAAAGTAAAGGCTAAACACATAAAAACCATTCATGATTATCAAATGTGTATTTTCATTGCAGCGTGTCCTGGAGAGAATGACGCACCACGTGACAACTCTGCTTTAACTTTAACTTCCATTTTTTTGCCTTCATGCAATTGTACAAATACAGTAAATAAATCTGCTTTTTGGCTCCAAGTTCACCTGCATCACTGTCTGTTCATATCCATCACGTCACAGGCTGAAGTTTGCTGGAGCTGAATGTCCTTAATGGCCTTTTCTTTCACTGTCTTATTACTTATACAAGTTTTTGCAGCATTGAAAAACATTAATGTTTTTCCTCCTACCGAAAACCACATTGAAACTAGAAATAAAATGTAGCCCTCACACTCCATTTTCAGACATTTTTGAAAAGGCTCCAGGAGCCACTTTAGGGGCACTAAAGGTTGCCGACCCCTGGTTTATACAGTATGTGGAAGCAAATACTGTAGAGGATCAGGATGTCTGCAGTTTCATCAATAAAATAAAGTACAATAGTCTACATTAAACAGAGTAATAAACATGTCTCAAAGTGAGGGAGGTGAAACAGACAACACTATTGTTTGTTACAGGGATGAGCTTTGGTCAAAAAAGACTGAAATGCATATTTTCAGCCATTTGCTGGCTCTAAATCTGTTTAATCTGTTCACAACATTTTACTTTTGGGCTCAAACATGAACTTTTAATGCAATGTAAAATGTAGGTACCCGAGCTTTAATTTAGAGGAGAGGGGAGACGCGGACTGTTTCCTGCAGCGGTGTATTTATTGGGTGCACAAATTACGAAAAGACTTGCATGGTCCTGTGCGCGTTTATGGTCTTGGGTACATGGTCACGTTGCGGCTACGCGCTCACCGTGTTGTGTTGTGAGCGGTTACCGCGTCCAGCTCAGAGCCGCTGGATGCTGGAACACTGCGGCCGCTGAGGTGGTGGAATCCCGTTCGAGTACATACAGCAGGTGCCCCGCGGACACGCGCGCTCCCCTCAAACATTTCTCAACGGATTTACACTTTTCACAAACATGTTTTTTGTATGAGGCAGACAGACCGGCCCAAATATGGGCATCGGCCCTTCGGGCATTGCCCGGTACGCCCGATGGCCAGTCCAGCCCTGTTTTCATGCTCCCGTTTAATAATAAAATAAACGTATGGCGCACCTCCGTGAACACATACTGATGTTATATGAAGTCTCTGGACACAGAGACGCTGCAGAGCTGCATTATTGGTGAAGAACTTTACACAAAAAGCTGCTAGCTTAAGTTTGTTAGCATCAAAGTCCGCCCGCTACTTCCGCCACTTCCGGTGGGCGTCAGCGCAGCCCAGGACTTCTGGTGTGAAGACCCCTGCATCTGAAAATTAGCAAATGTGCGTCTGGTGCGCGTGGCGTAAACCACGCAAAGCTGTAGTTTCACTTTTCATTTTTGCAGCTGCTGTTAAATGATGTTGGTTCTTTCACGTCTTTGCAGCGCCTGAGGAGGATGTTGTTAAGGAAGTGAATATCCGGTCGCTAGAACTACATAGTTTTTGCCAAGGAAAGTTGCCATAGAGCTTCATAGTGTGTTTCTGCTTCCTTATTAACAAAGGAGAACATTTAAAATTGTAAAAAACAGCTCTCCTCCTCAGCAATGCTTTTCTTTACCTCTAGAAATTGTTGGAGTCTGGTGAGCGATCCCATCTGTCCGTCTTGGGTCACGGCTTTTATTCTGTCCAGACACAAAAAGAAGAAATTCAATTCAATTTAATTTATTTTTGTATCGCCCGAAATCACAATAGTAGTTATCTCAGAAAACTGTTTATGTTGCCAACACAGATCAGAGAGAGACCAGAGAGAGACCAGAGGGAGACTAGAGAGAGACCAGAGGGAGAGACCAGAGGGAGAGACCAGAGGGAGATCAGAGAGAGACCAGAGAGAGAGACCAGAGGGAGATCAGAGAGAGACCAGAGACCAAAGAGACCACATATTTATCCTGAGTGTGTTTTTACCTTGGGAAATATTCTTCTTTTAAAAACAGGAGGAGTTTCCAGAACTGTCCTTGATACTGCTTCATCAGAGCGTTGCCACACACCTTACACACACACACACGACAGAAAGAAACACGTTTAAGTCATTGTTGTTGCATTTGAAAAATGTTTTTTACATTCAACCAACTTAAAAGTATAAAACTGTATAAAGGGAAAAGACAATTAAGGCTGGGCTACTTCAGTTTTTTGTATACTCATAAATAGATTTTGGCCGTCACTTGACACTTGAGAGACCAGGGAGAGACCAGAGAGAGACCAGAGCGAGACCAGAGAGAGACCAGAGAGAGACCAGAGAGAGACCAGAGAGAGACCAGAGAGAGACCAGAGAGAGACCAGAGAGAGACCAGAGAGAGACCAGGGAGAGACCAGGGAGAGACCAGGGAGAGACCAGAGAGAGACCAGAGAGAGACCAGGGAGAGACCAGAGAGAGACCAGGGAGAGACCAGGGAGAGACCAGAGAGAGACCAGAGAGAGACCAGAGAGAGACCAGAGAGAGACCAGGGAGAGATCAGGGAGAGACCAGAGAGAGACCAGAGAGAGACAAGAGAGAGACCAGAGAGAGACCAGAGAGAGACCAGAGAGAGACCAGAGAGAGACCAGAGAGAGACCAGGGAGAGACCAGGGAGAGACCAGGGAGAGACCAGAGAGTACACACCGTAACACAGACTCACCTCCAGGAAGTCGAAGAGCAGCGTTGCCGTGGTGTCCTTCATGGGCTCCATGTTCAGCATCTGGGCCAACCACCTCCAGCCGTGGTTCAGACCGTGAGGCGCCGGCTGCAACCACACGGACAGACGTCACTGCATACGTCACATGTCACTGCTGCACTTTAACACAGCAGCACCCTGGCTTACAAACACGCCTCATCAAATTCAACGTTTACAGCAAAACAAGACTCTTTGTTTTAATGCATTAAAGTGATAGTCTGGAACTCTAAATGAATTACACATTTTAATAATTGTATCAAATTGACCTCCTGGCCTTAAATGTTGATATAAAATAAGTTATTTTTTTAATTCTAATATTACGAGTTATAGATAGTTATAGATATAGGTTCAGTCTGAACCTATATCCATAATCATTTATATACTGAACCTATATCCATAATCATTTATATACTGAACCTATATCCATAATCATTTATATACTGACTGAATTTTCAATTCATGATAATAGCTACTTCCGGGTTTACAGCAATCGCTTTTTTGTGCATTAAAACAGTATTTGTGTCATGAAAACGATAAATAATTCTGAAAACCTCCGTGCATGTGTATTAATAATATATATGTATAATGTGTCCTCCGATTAACATTTAAATGTGTTATTGATTGTTACGGAAACATAGGCGTAGACCAATCAGAAAGGAAGGGGGAGGAGCTTGGGTTGTTTTTTTCAAATCATGTACATCTCTCTCTTTTTCTGACAAACTCCAGACAATCACATTAACTATGTATGTACCCAACAACCCAAATAAGCAAAGAAGCTACGATGCCAAATTTGGTCATTGAATGCTTTCCAGAAATAGCACAGATAATATTTGTATGTTTCACACTCATTCTTCACACTACAATAACAATCAGAGAGTCCTTCAGCTTCATCAGTGTGTTTACAAAGCATAAGAATACAGTATTTTTTCTAGTTTCAATGCTTTCATTTCTTCATGTCTGGACTTCTGTAACACGCTTTATTTCACAGAATGCACTTTCACGCTCATGATCCGTCCTGAACTCTTCTTTAAACATGAACTAAAGAAAGTGAGCATGGTTTTCTGATTTCAGCTTCTTTTTTAGCTTCTCTGGCTTCATTTTAGAACACATTTTAAAATCTTAGAGTTTGTTTTTAAAGCCTGGGATGGACTGGCCTCACAGTGGATTTCAGACCAATTTTAATTAGAGGTAAAGTCACTGAATTGGAAAGACGAACTGCAGATATAAACGGTGTAATCATTTCTTCTGCTTCATTTCATAAATGCCTCAGGTTCATGTCATTAATATCACTTTTTGTTCTTGCATTTCTTAATTACAATCAAAGACTTGTCAGAAATCATATGTCGGACTGACTGAGGGACATTCAGTTGGAATTACTTCAATTTCATCTTTGACATTCTGTACATAAAGTGTGTGAGTCTTTGGTCTCACCCCTTGTTTGGGCCCATCAGGCCACCGTAGCTGGATAATAGCAGCGTAGAGGCGGATCATCCCCGACATGCGCTTCAGGAAACTGTCGTCATTCTCCAGACCAGAGGAGTCGTCCACACGGTACCCCATCATCCTGCCACAACAGCCCCATCAAAACCACCAATATCTACATGTCAATATAAAACATCGTCTTCAATACAATTATGATTCTATCCAAATTCCTCCATTTTAAAACATGGCCACAGATGTCAGACATAAACAGGTCTCTGGTTCTCAGGTCTCTGCGACTCAGAATAGACTTCAAAGCAGCTCTGTGACATGTTAGTGCCATATGAACCAAAGAGGACTGAGGAGCACAGGGACTGGCCTCCTGCTGGGTCTCTGAGGTGCACAGTGACTGGCCTCCTAGGGTAGGGTAGAGAAGGGTAGGGTAGGGTAGGGTAGGGTAGAGTAGAGTAGAGTAGAGTAGAGTAGAGTAGAGTAGAGTAGAGTAGAGTAGAGTAGAGTAGAGTAGAGTAGAGTAGAGTAGAGTAGAGTAGAGTAGAGTAGAGTAGAGAAGAGGCAGGCTCTGGTCTGACCTGTGGAAGTCCGTGTCTGTGGTGGTGGCTGTCTTCTGGGGGTAGATGGGGACTGCGTAGGGGCACTTCTGGTGGAGGTGAGCCAGGAACAGGTCTCCGACAATAGGGTGCTTCTCCCAGATCCCTGAGGCAACAACCGCGATGGGGAACGCCGCCTCGAAGTGAGCCGCCACCTCCTCCTCGCCTTGTTTCTGGAAGTAACGATTTACATTTAGCATCAAACCCACTGTACTTTCTCAGTTTCTAAAGCCAGGACAAATGGTTATTACCCGCTTTGGGTTAGGAGGATATGTTATTGTTGATATATAAACCTTTGACTTGTTTTGTTGCTCTGTTATTTTATTTTTGTGTGTTTTCGTTCATGTATTTTGTAAATATTACATGGTCATGTGTTGTTTCCATGACGCCTTTATGTATGGAGTGAAAGAATAATGACATGTGAAGCATCTTTGAGTGTCAAAAAAAGAGCTATATAAAACCGATGCATTATTATTATTATTAATTAGCACCGTGTTAGCTGCAACACTCACGGACGAAGACTTTTGTTGAAATGCGTTGGTTCTTCTACGTTAATTAAAAAGTGACTCCTCCTTTATTTCTTACACCGAAACTGGTTATTACAAACATTTAAAGCTTCATTTCCACCAGCTCTACTCTTCTACTCGACCTGAGATGGTACTATTCTAACTAACAGTGATTGGCCAGAGTGCTGCTGGAAGCCATGGTTACCAAGGAATTTCCTCGAATACTGGTTTGAGTGAGTAGGTTGCTAGGAGAGTGGAAAAACATTGTACTATATCAGGGCATGTGTTCAGGATCATCATTCTTACTAAGACACAATCATCCAAAGAGCCCCAGGATCCAGACGTTGGGTGTGGAGCCTGGTCCAAACGAGCACGGCCCATGAGAAAAGAGGACCAAGCCAAGACTACAAAAACGGTCTAGGAGTTTGTTTTTGGGCAGAGGTAATTGTAATGTTACAATGGGGCGACAGTGGCTCAGATGGGAGAGCAATGGCCTTACCCCACGAGACCTTCTCCAACTGCTCCCACTCATGTCTGCTGTGGTTGTGTCCTTGGGCAAGACACTTAACCTTACGTTGCCTGAAGCCTCTGCCGAAAAACCAAGGCTGTGTCCCAGTTGACGGAGCAGCCATCTTCCCGTGGACCGGAGGATCGGCGAGGGACTGGTGCCATGAGTATTAGGTGGCAGCTCTCATTGTCACCCCCCAATCCAGAAATGGACTATTAAAGGGGTAGAAAATGAATGTGACAAACCACAAACTTGTCGGCGAGCTTGTAGCAGACGAACTGCAGGCCCTGGGGGTGGTGTGAGGTGGACACAGACATCCCTCCAGACTGCACCGTTTGGCCGCTCAGGAGTTTGTCGATCTTGGCGTAGATTTCTCGCAGGTGGAAGCTGGACTTGGTGGAGATCTGACTCACGGGGATCACGGCAGCCTTCAGTAAATTCAGCTTGAGTTTCTTCAACTGTGGGACGAACAAGAGATGTGCTGATGAGTTTTGCCAATGAAAAGACATGGAATGGAATACAAATGGAAAAGCTTAAAGCAGAAATATTGCACTTCTCAGGTAATTAGACTCTACTTTTGTCCAGTTCCTTGAAGCCCACAGTGTAGAAAGCAGGTGTCTCCAACCTTTTTCACCCAGAGAGCTACTGTCCCAGGATGATAATGGCCGAGAGCCACTTCTTTAAACGGCCCTGGGTGATGTATTGGTGTGAACAATTGGGTTCTGTCAATATTCATCATTGCACCTTTGTCACTAGTGCATAATGTCAGTGCATTTACTATAATAAATAATGATGATGAATAATACAATCTGAAATATTAAGTATGTTATTGGATTTGTTAATTTCTAAATCTTTAGGCGAGCTACAGGTTGAAGACCACTGGTATAAAGCAAGAGACTATTTCAAAGATTTGACTAAACTAGACAAACACAAAAAAAAATCACCCCCTCAGCATTGACACACATGTGGAACGGAGCTTTGGGCCAAGAGCCAACTTTTGGACCATCCTATAAAGGCGTTTTTGAGAGGTAAGAAGATGCTATACGTTAGCATTGGCTAATTCTTATTCCGGGTCCACCCCCATCGGCCCGGGGTGGTATTGCAGGCATGTCAGCCCACGTCATTTTGGCCACTTTTGAGCCGGGACCCGCCCCCACTGGTTGTGGTGTTTAGCATTAGTGCAGATCTGTAAAGTGCTGGAACATTCATTGCAGACATGGAAGCTAACAGCTAAGGTCAGCCGCATGCTTCAGGTCTAAGCCACTTTGTATTTCGGCTTTAGCAGAGGGAAATATTCACTTTTTGGTTACGTGGACCTTTCAACAGTGGCCCCAACCCTCGGATCGCAGACCGAGATTAAGGCCAAACAATCCAAAAGAAAAATAATCCAAACCTTGGGGTCTTTGGTGGAGGAGAAGTCTTCAAACAACTGAGCCACGGCCGCGGCGGAGTCCTGGAGTTCTTTGTACCATTTGAGAGTAGAGTCTTCTGGTCCGATCTGCAGCCCTGAGGACAGACACTCGTCACTCAGGAAAGGATGGAAGAAAACAGAGCAGCCGTCTCCTCTCACAACAAGCAACAGTGCTAACCACTCTGCCATCCGAAGATAATACTCTTGTTTGGGGCTCACCTGTTCTCTTGGCCTTCTCTTTGGCCGCCTCTGCTGCTCTCCTGTCGGCCTCCTGTTTGGCCTTAAGCTCCGCCTCCCTCTTCTTCTGCTCCTCCTGCTCGGCCTCTCGTCTCTTCTCCTCCTCGGCTCGGCTCACCTCCTGCTGCTGCTGGTGGATCAGCGCCCTCATGTCGTGGAGCGCTCGTTCTGCCACAGTCATGTCCTCCACACTCGGGAAAGCCCCCTGTGACAGAGAGACAGAGAGGGCACTTTACAGCCTGTACAAATGCTCTTCTCCAAAAAAAAATAAGGTAATTTTTAATCATTTTTGCTTAAAAAAATGATGTTCTCTAAAACGTAAAACATGCTGTTGAGAACAGTGGTAGAAAATGCCAGATTTTACTGCTTTGTGTGAAGCACTAAAATCAGGCACGTCCAAACCAAGGCCCACAGGCCAATTGCGGCCCTCCACGTCCTTTTACGTGGCCCTCTGCGGCTAACACAGAGTAGTCACACAGTCTGTCAGTGGGACGCGAACCTCTGCGGCTAACACAGTAGTCACACAGTCTGTCAGTGGGACGCGAACCTCTGCGGCTAACACAGTAGTCACACAGTCTGTCAGTGGGATGCGTACCTCGGCGGTCTTCCGGACGACCTCGGACACCTGTGAGCAGAGCTGGTTGGCGCGGTGGCAGAGCGCGGCCAGGCTCTGCAGCAGCACCTGTGCGCTGGGCTCGTTGGGGGAGTTGAGGAGCTGGTTGAGCTGAAGCACCTCCTCCTGGATGGAGTTGAGGGTCCGGAGACGCTCCCTGCCATCCGCCTGACGCTGCCGTTCTAGCTCCGCTTCCCGCAGACGCTGCTCCTCGGCCTCGCGCAGACGCAGGTTCAGAATCTGCACAAACATCAGGTTCAGAGTAATTAATGACTGCGATATTTAACATCTTTCATATACATTTATAAATGTACAGGAATCGCTAAACTATAAGCCAGAGATCTTTATAGCAATGCTGCCAATGTATTATCTTTACCTCAGAGCCCCCCCTGGAGGGAAGGAGGGGTTTGGACACAGCTCTATCCACTGCTGAGCTCCAAAGCTAACAACTAGCACACACACTCCTGCTCCTGGTGTGTTTAAGAGAACAGCAAAGACAGGCCACAGGGGGAAGTGGAACACACACATTGCCTTTATGCAATTGTCAGGGCAGAGTTTATGGATGTATTGGTCTGGATCCATGTAGCTTTAGTATGAATGGGATGGATTGGATTTACCAGAGTGCTTTGATCATCACAAATCAACACCTCGTCATTAAATCATGTGTCCAGTTCAAAAACAGTCGTCTATCGTCTAATCCAGGGGTGCTCCCACCTCATCCAATCAATATTTACTTTTCCACTGACCAATAAACCAGGATCTACCTCAGCTTTCATCGGGGAAATCTCAAAATTTTTTGCAACTGTAGACGTTCTTACCATTATAGAAAGTACGGGCCAGAGTACTATAGAGCAGTAAAATCCACGTGTATGTGTTTGTCTTCATGGTCTCTCTGGACTGCGTGAAGCGGACTGACCCGCGCACGTGCGGCCGTTATTTGAGATGTCAGTGAAAATTACAGACATTGCTTATCTCGTGTGAATGCACTGCATCCTTCGCGATTATCACAAATTACCAGGGGTCCCCATGTAATACTAATCCCGTCCGAATAGGCTTTAGTCTCTTTCTGTGCGTGGACAGAAAGGTTTTGCTTCATCCAACTCCTTTTCGAACCAGGTACAGGGTCTCTGTTATATTGATATATGCAAAAATATGTATTGTGCAGGTTCGAAATAAATACAGTACATTATGATAAAGAAGTGTCATAGCAAAGGATCAGGTCATATTTGATTTAAAAAAAAATGAAAATCTTTACCTTGGTTCGATGTCGCTGCTCCTCTTTCAGTTTTTCTTGTCGCCCGATGCTTTCTTTAGTTCTGAAATAAACACATGGATAGGTTTCTTTGCTTTTCAAAGTATGTATTTACATTCAATTGTTATAACAAAAATGTATAGTTGCGAGACTCCGAATGTGCAATATTAAACTACATGTGTCCCTTTACTCATCTGTGCAATAATCATTTGAATAATGTGCAAAATATAGAACCACATGGTGATTTTAGACTTGTTTGTTATGCTAAAGTTAGAGATTTTATTGTATAGCGTTAATGTTCCCTTATCTTGTGCTGTGCGCTCCTCATTCCTACTGTTCTGTAACTGGGGATGCAACACTGACATTTCCTCATGCAACATGTGGAATGAATAAATCTGTTAATCCTAATCTTAATCTCTTTGGAAGCACTGTGTGTGGAGTGCAGAGGTAAAAGTGTTTTGACTGACTCCTTGTCCATCATGTCGCGGACACTCTGCAGGTCCTGCCTCTGCTTCAGCTCCATCAGCTCCTCGAACCGTTTCAGCTGCTCCGACTCTGAGGTCACCACAGCTGCCACCAACTTCTGCTGCTGCTCCTGCCTCCGCCGCAGAGCCAGCTGCGCAAACACACACACACGGGCATACGCATACACACACAGACACGCATACACACACAAACACAGATCACACACAGACACGCAGATACACACATGCAGACAGTCACAAACACAGATCACACACACACAGACAAAAAGACACATAGACGCAGACACACACGCACACAGAACATACACATTTTAGTAATAAGATTTATGTGAAACTTCTACATGGACATTAGAGCTTTTAGTCTGAATTTCAATATTGGAAAATAAAAATATATATTCTAACAATATTCGAAGCTGTAATGGGCATAAATTTCTTTAAATTATATGCTAGAATATTCAAAACTTTGAATGGGCAAAATGCTCCCTCTTCACCACAGCACTCTGTAACAGCAGGGGTATTAAAGTGATTGTCTGGAGTTTGTCAGAAAGAGAGACAGAGAGGTACTTGATTTGAAAAAAACGACGCAAGCTCCCCCCCCCCTTCCTTTCTGATTGGTCTACACCTAAGTTTCCGTAACACTTTTAAATGTTAATCAGAGAACATATATTTTATGCACACAAAAAAGCGATCGCGGCAAACCCGGAAGTGCTATTATCATGAATTGCACATTATAGGACACATCTGCAGAGGATCTGATTATGGATATAGGTTCAGTATATACATAAGTACCTCAGCGCGGATGTTCAGAATTCTTTGTTCAGTTTTCATGTAGTTCCAGAGCCTAATAGAGGCTTGATTCAGAGGCTCCGCGAAAACAAACAACTGTGCATGCGTGCAGCTGTGAGCAGCGCTGATGATTGACAGCCCTTGGCATCACTTGATTGGTTAACCTCGACGGCACCGTGGATTCTGAGCTATAGCCAAGAGAAGTGAAGGCAGGACTTACCTGTAATATTAGAATTAATAAAATGACTTATTTTATGTCAACATTTAAGGCCAGGAGGTCAATTTAACGCATTTCCTAAAATTTGTAATTCATTTAGAGTTACAGACTATCACTTTAAAGTAGTAATATGTAAATATCTGGCCAAAAGTGGTACTGCACACCCCTCCACTCTCCCTGACTCAGGTTGCAGCTGGGACCATAATAATAGCTGAATAGACAAGAGTTTAGCCAACAACAAATCTATAACCAACACCTTTTTCACAAAGATAGATATCCCGGTTTTATTCCATGTTTTGTCATGAATTATTTTAGATCTTTTTTTTAGTTCTGCGGCCACATGGTACTTTTGTTGAGTTCTGGCTAGGGGTGGGAACCTAGGGGTACCTAACGATACGATGCGATACACGATACAAAGCTCACGATAACAATAATATCACGATAACGATTATCGATATATTGGTCAGAAATATACCATATGCCAATTTATGGCATAAATTAAAAAAAAAAGTTAAGTAAAAAAATACACTTTATTTCATGATAAATGGAATGGAGATGCGTAATGTAGTCATATATAAAGTATTGATACTAATTTTAAAAAAGTAAAAAAAAATAAAATTGATATTGATACTTGGCAAATGCATATCAATAATCGAATCGCGGGAGAAAGTATCACGATATATCGATATCGCGATATATCGTCACACCCCTAGTTCTGGCGCCCGGATCACAGAATTTCTGATTGGTGAAACGGTGGAGGGCGGGACATCAAAATGAAAACAATAACAATATTTAGGGGTTGTAAAACTACTTTTGAAAGTTAAATATCTCTGAACTGCTGTTATCTTGCGTTTTGACAGATTAGGGCCATTTAATGATGACTTGACATGAGAATCTTACAAACTGCTCCGTTAACTGATAAAAATAGCTCCATGTAACATTCCAAGTGTCACTCAGTACTCTAGGATCCTGACCTGAGCTTTCTCCTTCGTCTCCTCCTCAAAGCGAATGATGCGTCCGGCCGTTTTTATGGCCTTAGGCGACAGCAGGAAGAGCCCCGAGGTCGGAGGAGGACTGAGCAGGATTTCAACTTGAGGCTCAGCGTCAGTGGAGGCTAAAGTCACCGCCTGAAACAGAAATGTAATTGATTTACATTATAAACTGTTTGAGATTGTGTTGTGTGCTACTCAGTTTGTGAGAACTGCTGAACATTACCTGCCTTTCATTACAAGAACTTTAATTCAATTCCATTTATTTGTGTATAGCCATAAATCACAACAATCATCTCAAAGGACTTTACAAAGCTGTAGATTAAACAACAATAAATCAGAACAGTTTGAACAAAGGAAATGCAATCATAAACACACAGAGCGGAATGACCACTGTCCATAAATGTCCCTGATCCTCACCGTCCTTAGACACAAACTGATTTGAAAAATAATCTAATTTCTTAGTATGGTTCATGCTTGCTGAGGAATGACAATTGAAATAATAATAAAAATCAAAAGTAAGACATCTGTTATTTCACCTGTTCTGTGGGTTCTTTTATGGGGGACCCTGTGGAGACTGAAGAAAGCCCATTATTGATCCTGTTGTTGAGGCCGAGGATGGAGCTGGAGGAGTTGTGGACCTCCTCGGACAAAGTGGGACTGGATTCATCAGAGGTTGAGCTGATCCTGGAGGGCTGTAACAGCAGCGAGAGTCTCTCCACCACAGAGGCAGAGCCTGAAGGGAGGCTCGGGGGCTCCTCGTAACCCGCCAAAATGTCCTGGAAGAGAAGACGGTGCTGTAATTCGTGACATAAATAAATAAGGCTGCCCACAATCCCCATTATAAAGACCGTGGCTACAAACAAATAGTTAACACAACTTATAAATACATATGGTACATCCCAATGAAATACTTCTCAAACCGATTCAAATATTACAAATTTGTCTTACATTGTGAAAAGGGATTGAAGATGGAATTGGCATAAACAGGAAATTCATTATTTTGAATTACACTTCAGTGATTAGTTCCAAGTAATAAGAAAAGGAAAGGGATTGTTGCAACTTCATGAACATTATTTTCACATTGCAAATCATTGAATAATAACAATTAATGTTAACTACTCAGAGTAGTATTATGATTTAATCAATGATTGAAGATAGTCAAATAATGCAGAGGAAAAGCAAAACCTACTCAACGTTTCATACATTTGTACTAATTTATAATTTACAATTGACAGATTTATTGAATTAGTATCAAATAGTAAAAAAGTAAACCTCTAAAGAACAGACAGTGTTTAAGAATTGACAACTTATCAATAAATAAAAGACATTATTAAAAAAGGTATTTGTCCCATAAAATTATACAATATTAAATACAATATAAAATTATTCAATACTTGGACTGCTTTACTTTTTATTTTATTTTACCATTTATTTTGTTGAGACCATAGACTGTATGAGACAGTACATGTTAATGAACACATCATCATTGCATCTGTTGTCCCACATTCGCACTCAAACAAACGTTCATTCACCCTGAACCATTTGCACATGTTTATAGTTGTAGGGGAAACTGGAGGACCCGGAGGAAACCTACGCAGACACAGGAAGAACATGCAAACTCCATTCAGAGAGGCTCTGTTCCGACCGGGATTCAAACCCAGAACCTTCTTGCTCAGAATCGAGAGTGCTATCCTCTCAGCCACAATGCCGCCCATTCTGATTCCGAATCGGAAAGTTCGTAAACGTGTAGCTTGTAGCCACAGAGCTAGCAGAGGCTAATGCTAGTCTCAGCACATCCTCACCTCTCCTCTTTCAGACCAGTGCGGATCATAATGAAGTTTTCCTTTCGGAGAGTTTTTCAAAGCTTCTATCGTCTTCCATCGGAGACTGTCTGCTTGCATTTTGACACAGAGAGAAATAACCAAATATAATATAAAAACACGTTAGCAGAAGTTGAGCAGCCACATAAGGCCGCATTCAAGGCAGTCCGGTGGAAACATGCGGCGATCATGAAAAGGTTCCGCTTCGGCTTCAAACTACATCCTCAGATCAGATTCAGATTCATTTTATTAGCCATGTGCAGTATAAAAACTACATTGGAATACATTTGCAAAAAAAGGTACTCTGTGTGCACCGACAGAATAAAAAGCAAATTTCCTGAGAAATAATCTAATATTTACAGTCTATGGCAATAAGATATTTTTATGCTGTTATATTACCAGTTATATTAAATGTGATCCGATATCAAGTATTGAGATATTTCGGATATTGTTTGGAATAAGTTAAATTAAATAGTCAGATGTAAATAAAATGATACTATTATTATTATTATTATTATGTTACAAGGCTGACATGATCAACAATACAATATTATAGAACTTAGTAAACAAAGTAGAGTTATAAATGCATCATTATACACATATACACACACATCTAACTCAAAGTTTAAGGACTTCAAGCTTCACTAAATGCAAAACATCTCCCAAGTAATTATAAAAGTCCTTTACGTTTCATCAATTCAAAGATGTGGCACCACCATCCTGTCATACCTGTAAAGCTAAGCAGGACAAGACCTGGTTAGTACTGTTTGATGGGAGACTGGGTGCTACAGAGGGTGGCAGCGGATGTAAACTGTGATAGTGCCCATGAGCAAGACACTTCACGCACGATACTTTGAGTCTGGTGTGTGTGTGTGTGTGTGTGTCTGTGTGTGAACGGATGGTGGTGAGGGAACAGCAGTTAATCACCACCGTGTATGAGGGGTAGGAATGACATAAAACCAATGCATTATTTAACAACAGGCATCAACTGTTCAGTTCCATCCTGTGACATCATTAGGAGATATTTCAAAACACAAAAACCTCATTTATCCATCCATTTTCTTCCCCTTAATCCATTTCTGGGTCGGGGGGTGGCAGTCAGAGCTGCACCCAGAACACATAGTACCAGCTCCTTCACAAAAACCTCATACAAACATTTTTCATTACGAATTTATTTGATTTTGTATACATATAACTGTTAACTTAAATGTGGTTGACAAATCACAGCAGACATTTGATTGCAGTCATCTTTGGCAAATCAAAACAAATCCCAAAATTGCATTGTGTGTAATGCATGATTCCAGTTTACAAAAAACATCCATGCAAGGCCTTTTTTTTTTGCAACATTTTTGGAAAACGCGCGTCAATATATGCAAATTCTATATACAAACACTTTTCAGTCTGTTTGAACCAGCTACAGTCCCTTTGAAAAAAAGTGGCTCCCTCTTGTGGCTGAATGGAAGACTACATTATGGCCCCTTTTAAAGCTGAGGTACCCAACTTGACAGAAAGATTTATAGGAAAGTCCAAGCCACTATAGCTCCTGGCTGTTAAACAGTTTGGACATAACACTAATTTTCACACACATGTATTTTTAGTCATAGTTTTAGATTTTCAGACAGAAACGTGAAGTAAGGAGGATCACCCTTTACTCCAATAACCAAAAGTCCAAAAGCAGTTCAGTTGGAGGGCAGGTGCCAAAACAAAATCATTTATTTACATCATCCGACACTCGTTATTCATTCTTAAACTTAATATTAATCTAATACGAACAAAACAGAAGCAGACTGGTTTTCACTTGTGCCAAAATGCCTTTGCGATGCTGCCGAAACAAGCATCACAAAATGAAAGTGAATGTCTGAAAATATAATAGGGTTTCAGGTTGTAGTTTAAGAGTGTGAAAGGTGGTGGCTAAACATGGCTCGAACACACATTTTACTGATCTTATGTCCCACCAGAATATAACAGAATATAAAGCCATTATTTAAAAACAATAAACACAGAATAATTTACATTCACTTGCAGATGATAAAACGGCCTGTGACGATGAACCAAGCAGTACAAATCCATTCTTCCCCATATTTCCACTTTATTATTTACTAAGTACCTGACTTTGAAAATAAAAAAGTAAACAGCAGTGGAAAAGTAGCAAAACATAAGACTTTTAAAAAATAATGATATTCAAAAGCTGGGGTGGCCCACTTTGTGCCCATAAATAATACACATTGAATATTGTTTTTGTCTTCATCAAAAACGTCTGTATTCTTTTAGAGCCCTGAGAGCCACTGTTTATTACTTTGGGCTGAGAGCTGATTGGCTGGATGTAATGTAATGTAATGTAATGTTTATTTATATAGCGCATTAGGTTGCATTTGGGCGGATGAGGGCGGTTCTCTCTTTTTGGAACTTTTCTTTACATGGTTACATATATCTCCGGTCTAAAAGTTAGGTATCCCAGCTTTAAAGACTTCCAGATTATGGTTGAAATCTGAGAGGGTAATTTTTCTTCACATTTTGATAAATTATGCAAATGACAGGAGGCTATAGGCTAACTTATGCTAGCTAACTTTATGTGACATTTTTTAAGAGCAGTGGACAAAAATATGATTATTTTAGGGACACATTTGTCCATACACTGCAAAAATGATAAAAGATGAGGTAATAAATGCTTGGAAATCTATGTTTATCTAAATTTGAGTACATCCTGTCTTACGTCAAGAACTGTTGCTTTATTTTCTCATTCCAATAATAACATTTCTTGTATCTTTAGTCAGAATATTCTCAAATAAAGATACATTTTTAACTTTTTCATCACTTTTTGTTGTGTAGTCTGGTCACCACTGCATGTGCGGGGGCTTCTGGCTGCTGTGGCTGAGGGTCCGGTAGGTGGTGTGGAGCAGGGCGTGGCTTTGGGGGGAGTCTCGGCCCTGGAGCCAGTCCTGGTACAGCGTGTGGATGGACGGGTTGAGCTGCGGGAGGCGGACGGGGAGACTGGTGTAGGCCTCCTCCATCTGCTGCACCAGGCCCCGGTCCAGACGCCCCTCCTCGGACTCTGCCTGACCGCGACCGCTCAGACAGCCTGAGGGAGAGGACGGGAGAGGAGGGAGGGGGGAGAAGAGAGGAGAGGGGAGAAGGGAGAGGAGAGAGGAGATAAGGGAGGGGAGAGAAGGGAGAGGAGAGAGGAGAAGAGAGAGGAGATAAGGGAGGGGAGAGAAGGAAGAGGAGAGAAGAGGAGAGAAGAGGAGAGAAGGGAGTGGATGGGAGCAGAGGAAGAGAGAAGGGAGGGGAGAGAGGAGATAAGGGAGGGGAGAGAAGGGAGAGGAGAGAGGAGAAGAGAGAGGAGATAAGGGAGGGGAGAGAAGGAAGAGGATGGTAGCAGAGGAAGAGAGAAGGGAGGGGAGAGAGGAGATAAGGGAAAGGAGAGAAGGGATGAGAGAGAAGCAAGAGGAGGGAAGGGAGAGGAGAGAGGAGAAGAGAGAGGAGAGAAGGGAGAGGAGATAAGGGAGAAGAGATAAGGGAGAAGAGAGAGAAGATAAGAAAGACGAGATATGAGGAGAGAAGGGAGAGGGGAGAGGAGGAAAAGGAGAGATGGGAGAGAAGAGGAGGGAGAGGAGATAAGGGAGAAGATAAGGAAGAGAGATGAGGAGAGAAGAGAGAGGAGGGGAGAGGAGGAAAAGGAGAGATGGGAGAGGAGAGAAGGGAGACATGTTATACCTGGTTGAAAAGCACAGCACTATTGCAGCTGGTGAGAAAACATTTGTCATTAGGCCAACTTCAGCCCCATCATATGTGAACCAATACATCTCAGAGTCGTGTTATCGGCCCCCGGACAATTTTACTGAACTAAAGTGGTGGCTGAAAAGTCTGGACACCCCTGGTCTAAACACAATGAGGATTCAGGAAATTAATGGACATTGGTTTTCCTGAGTTTTCTGTCTTGCATTTCCTGAGTTTGAACAGTTTGATTCTCTGATCTGTTGTTGGCAAATTGAAAACTTAGACCAAAGACGACTGCTGCTGTGATGGCCTGGTCGTACCACACCATAGTACTAATTACATTTCATACTATGTACGTGCTCCATTGACTCCGTTAAGAGGTGGGAGGGGTTTACTCCTTTTGCAGATTGAAACGATTGGATCTGAGTTTACCGAGACGTATGTAATGCATTTAGCCTAGCCATCTCTTTTGCCGCTAAAGGAGTTGCGCCACAATATTTATCAGCGATTACATTTGCTAAACATTTCTTTTGCTCCGGCTTCAATTTCTTGAAAGAACCAGACCGGAATACTTAACTATCACATTCTTTGCCATTGCCAAACTACAACCTGCCCATTCGACCCACATCTAACTACAAGACCCGCCTCCCACACTCGCTGATTGGTTGGATGGAATTCTACCAATGTAATCGTAAACACAGGGACTAGACCCAGACGTTACAGGCAGGAAATTATGATTGTACCGGAGTGTAGCTCACCCATGGATCTATAATAATAACTGGATAGGGTATTACTAGCTTACAGCTGTCCCACCCATGGTCACAGGGGACGCCCTTGGTACTGAAAACTAAATTCACGAGGGCTACCCAGAAAAAAGTCCCATAGAACTCAATGTAAACTAAAACAGCTCGACCTCAGCTGACAGAGACCCTACAGCTTTCATAAGATCGGATTTCGTGGGGATTTTAGTGTCCCTTGCCATCCTGAACTTTTTTCTTCTTAAATCCTTCGGTTTTCTTTAAATCCACACTTTACTGCCACAAACTCTGCTCCTTGCCTTCCCGCTCTGGCTCCGCTCTTCCGCTGCTCTGATGAGCAGCTCTGATTGGTCAGAACGCACATGAAAGCCACACACGCACGTTTGGCGCGACGCATCATGGGAGATAATCCACTGCGCAGAACCGGGAGGACCAGACGATGCCCAAATATAGGCGAGTTCAGCTGATCTCCCGGTCTCCATGAAGTCCTGTGCGCTACTGAGCACAAGCCATTCATTTGAATAGGGCGCCATCTTGGATCACCAGGGCTTGAGCTCACCTCCAGGGCAGGACAGCACCTCCACCAGCTGGTACGGCAGGCGGCCTTTCTTCATGCGATGCACCAGAGTCTGAATGTTCCGGAAACCGTAGACGGCGGCAAAGTGGAGCAGCGTCTCCCCGTCGCGCTCCAGCGTCACCTCCTGGAAGTCCCGGTTTCTAAACACACACAAAGCACATGAAACGGTTCACATGTGATCCACAGGGCGCAAATGTAAAACACAAATGTACAGCATCAAAAATAAGCAAGGTTTAAAGCAGCAATTTGTAAGATTTTCATGTCAAGTCATCATTAAAGGGCCATAATCTGTCCAAAGGCATTAACAAAACATGATCTTTTCCCATACTTATTTAACTGATAACAGTAGTTCAGAGATAATCGAATTTCAAAGTTAGTTTTACAGCACCTAAATCTTATCTTATTGTTTTAGTAGTAGTAGTGGTAGTTTATTTGTTCAGTCAGTTTTTTCACAACTCAGAAAATACAGATCATTTGAAAAAATAAAGAATAATAATGACTCATTTCGATGTCCTATCCTCCACTGTTTTACCAATAAGAAAGTTTGTGATCCGGGTTGCCAGAACTCACCGTGTCGAGCTAATCTCACTGGTAAAGTACCATGTGGCCGCAGAACTAAAAAAGGTCTCGTTATGATTCTCAAATCATCAACAACAAAACAAGGAATAAAGCCAGGATTTCTATCTCTGTGAAAAAGGTATTGCTTATAGATTTGTTGTTGACAAAACTCTTGTCTATCCAGCTATTATGGTCCCAGCCGGATTCGTCTGCATACAGTATTTGGCAAACCTGAGTCAGGGAGAGTGGGAGAGGCAGCAGTACCACTTGAGTTAAAGCTGTAACTCAAAAATAGAGCTTTCTGAAATATTTTCCAGAAATATAATTGCCGCTTCGTTTGGTTTACTAAGCGGTTTGTTAGGCTTTTTCCTTGCCTTATATTTGTTTGATCTGGTGGGTCCGGTGGTTACATTTTCGATGGTGAGGGTGTAGCTATTTGGAGTTTTGTTTATTCTTTAGTTAGGGGGCTGGCATCAGATCGTCAAAATCAAGAGTTAATTTACAACAAACAACTTGTCTCTGTGTAAAAAACCTGTCTCTGTGTCCCAAATATGTAGCAAATAACAAATAGTATCCATCATCTTTTGATGTATTCTGGGGCCTCAAATCCTCTTTTGATGTATACTTAGAGACAACTTGATTAAGAAAGTATATATATATATACAGTGGGGCAAAAAAGTATTTAGTCAGCAACCGATTGTGCAAGTTCTCCCACTTAAAATAATGACAGAGGTCTGTAATTTTCATCATAGGTACACTTCAACTGTGAGAGACAGAATGTGAAAAAAAATCCAGGAATTCACATTGTAGGATATTTAAAGAATTTATTTGTAAATCATGGTGGAAAATAAGTATTTGGTCACTTCAAACAAGGAAGATCTCTCTCTCACAGACCTGTAACTTCTTCTTTAAGAAGCTCTTCTGTCCTCCACCTGTTACCTGTATTAATGGCACCTGTTTGAACTCATTATCTGTATAAAAGACACCTGTCCACAGCCTCAAACAGTCAGACTCCAAACTCCACTGTGGCCAAGACCAAAGAGCTGTCGAAAGACACCAGGAAAAGAATTGTAGACCTGAACCAGACTGGGAAGAGTGAATCTACAATAGGCAAGCAGCTTGGTGTGAACACATCAACCGTGGGAGCAATTATCAGAAAATGGAAGACATACAAGACCACTGATAATCTCTCTCAATCTGGGGCTCCACGCAAGATCTCATCCCGTGGGGTCAAAATGATCATGAGAACGGTGATCAAAAATCCCAGAACCACACAAATAATTATTTTCCATCATAATTTACAAATAAATTCGTTTAAAATCCTACAATGTGAATTCCTGGATTTTTCCCCCCATTCTGTCTCTCACAGTTGAAGGTACACTTCAATGAAAATTACTATGATGAAAATTACAGACCTCTGTCAAAATTTTAAGTGGGAGAACTTGCACCATCGGTGGCTGACTAAATACTTTTTTTTGCCCCGCTGTATGTATAAGAAGAGTATATACAGTAAGTATAGAAAGAGAAAATATTTTGATACGCTGATTGTTCTTTTGATTTATGGATTAGTTGCTGACATCCCAAAGCTCAGGAACAATGATCTTTTTCTACATTTGACCAAATCAAAGCTCCAGAGATGCCGCTGTAGAACATCTTCATTGGAAAGTGATTTGATAAAAAATACATTTTAAAGACATTTTCAACTTCATTCTGTGGTTACCTGAGCGTGCTGTACGTGACCTCCTGCACGTCCAGGCCGAACAGCTCCTTAGCAGCGTGTTTGAAGACGTACTCCAGGAAGCCGTCAGAGCCACGGCCCTCCAGCCTCTGCGGCTCCGCCTCCCCGCTCTCCCCCAATCTGCACCACAGCACTGGGGTTAGACCATGGATCTATTTTAATAACTTGATAGGGTATTACTAGCTTGGAGCTGAAGAACCAGACTTAACCAGACTAAATTCATGTGGGCTACCCAGAAATTTTCCCCAAAGAACTCAATGTAAACTAAAATAGCTTGACCTCAGCTGACAGAGAACCTACAGCTTTCATAAAGGTCGGATTTTGTGGGGATTTTAGTGTCCCTTGTCATCCGGAACTTCTTAAATCCTTCGGTTTTTATTAAATTCAAACTTTAGTGCCACAAACTCCGCTCGTCTGGCTCCCGCTCTAACTCCCGCTCTGATGAGCAGTTCTGATTGGTCAGAGCGCGGCCGAGCCCCTCTGTGCCCCTCTGTGCACGTGCATGGAGGCGCAGTGGATGATCATGGGAGATCATCCACTGCGCAGAATAGGGAGGACCAGACGATGCCCAAATACAGGCGAGTTCCCATGAATCTTTGCGAGTTCCAAGCTGACTTCCGCTAATCTTTCAGCGCCCATGCCAGCACAAAGCGCCACTGAGCACAAACCATTCATTTGAATACGGTGCCCATTTTGGATTGCTGGGGCTTGGGCAGGGCCAAGGAGGTACTCACATGTGGTCCAGAGGAGACGGGTCCAGCTCTTCCACAGAGACCTGCCTCTGCTGCATCAGCTCATACACCTGACCTGACACACACACACACACACACACAATACAGTTACTTATAGATATATATATATACACTAAGGAGGCAAGTTCCCGTCCCAATAGGTTAAGTTTGTGTATGAATTCACGCCGTAAAAAGGTCAGAAACGAGTCCACTGAGACGTCTGCTGTTGTGATTTGAATTGAAAGGAAGGAAGTGTATTAAAGCTAAGATACATGGGCTTAAAAGAGGTCCTCCACATGCACCTTCCCACGAGTATGAAGGCAGAGGCTGTAAACCTGAGGTGAGAACAGAATCCACGTCGCGGCTCTCCAGGACGCTGTTGTAGAACTCCTCCCTGATGGCCTCCAGCTTCTTGTCGAAACACGGAGCGATCACCACATGATACAGCTTCTCTGGGCTCAGCTTCTGTGGAGGAAGCAGGATTCACACTGGACATGACGACTGCAATACTATGGACTGCTGTGGACCAAGACTCTTTGACCAACTAAAAGGAATGCTGTAACTGCAAACCCACATTTAAGGGGACCCACAAGGGACACTACTATTATTTTTTCCTTCTCGGACCAATGCAATCTTTTTTTGTTATGCCCAGTGCAGGACATGAAGTTTGAAGTTTAATTTATTCAGGAAAATGTGCAGTTGCATTAAAAATATTACTAAGTTACTAAAATACACTTATAAAATAAAGTTTAATTAAAATGTTAGTTGACCAAGATACACAGAGTTCAATAAGGTGCCATACAGAGTTACAGGTAGCAGCGATGTAATGTAAATCATGACACCATTTTAATAATAATAATAATACATTGGTTTTATATAGCGCTTTTCAAAAACTCAAAGACGCTTCACAATTCAGATTCAGATTCATTTATTTGCCATTTGCAGTAAAACCACATTGGAAAATTTTTAAATTTAAGACACACACACACATACACATTCAGACAGAGACAAAAAAATAACAAACTAATAGCTGGAAAGAAGAGTACAAATCTGTCATTTTCAAACTAATAATAATAATAATGGCTTTCAGATGTACCCACGAGGGCATCATCCGTTTAGCCATCCGATATAATTCTATGTTCAGCCATTACTGGAATCGTTTGCATCAGAATAGACGATAGGGGCGTCCAGCAACCTGATTCTAATCAAAACCCACCTTCTGCTACATTTCAAGGGGGTATGGATTTGTTACTGTCGCTGTTTAAATATTAGGTTAGGCTGTGTGTATTGTGCTAGAACGTGCAGTGGTCGGAGACAGCTGGTTAATGCATAAAGTAAAAGAATGTGAATTATCCAAAAGGACACATTGTGCATAAGGAGTAATATATCATGGACAATTTTCAAATCAATCTTCCAAAATAGCAACTTCTTACTAAACTGGTGCTAAGCCGGCAGGACGTGTGTGTTGTACCTTCTGTTTGCAGAAGTAGTCCTTGACCAGGCAGCCCATGACCTGCTGCGGGGAGCGGGCCGTGCAGATGTGAGGGGTCACCAGGCTGCCCAGAACGCGCTCTGCATACCGGATCCACCCTGTCAATTTACATTCATTATTTTAACCAGCTTTGTCCACATTTGTGGCTTTTCAAATGTTTGAAATGCATTGGTTGGAGTTGGACTGGACATGATTGAACAATTATAAAAAACCACTTCATAATTATTCATTCATTTTCTTTCCCTTTAATATAACAATTCTGGGTCGGGGAGCATAGGGGGTGGGGGGGTGGCCATCAGAGCTGCCACCCTGTTCTTAGCACCAGTCCCTCGCTGGTCCTCCTTCTGGTGGTCATATTTTTTTTACTACTAGTTTATAAATGGGTAGTGGTTGTTTTTAATGATGCTCTACGCCTTGTAAAGTTTTTTTTAGTTGTAAAGACTATTTTTCAGCTTCCTGTTTTATGCCACATTCTGACCATTCTCACAGTTTTCTCTCGTCTGTGATGTGGGAGTGGGGCTAAAGTGGTGCTAAAGTGGTGCTAAAGTGGTGCTAAAGTGGTATCTCCCTGCTGCAGCTGCGGCTTCCTCCAGCTGCCTCTGATTAGGAGAACCCTTCTTAGAGTCGAGTCGAGTCGAGTCGTGTAGAGCAGTGTAGTGTAGTGTAATGTAGAGCAGTGTAGTGTAGTGTAGTGTAGTGTAGTGTAGTGTAGTGTAGTGTAGCATAGAGTAGCATAGAGTAGTGTAGTGTAGTGTAGTGCAGCGTAGAGTAGCATAGTGTAGTGTAGTGTAGTGCAGTGTAGAGTAGCATAGAGTAGCATAGAGTAGCGTAGAGTAGAGTAGAGTAGTGTAGCATAGCGTAGCGTAGTGTAGTGTAGCGTAGTGTAGTGCAGCGTAGAGTAGCGTAGAGTAGTGTAGTGTAGAGTAGTGTAGTGTAGTGTAGAGTAGTGTAGAGTAGTGTAGTGTAGTGTAGTGTAGAGTAGTGTAGAGTAGAGTAGTGTAGAGTAGAGTAGTGTAGAGTAGAGTAGAGTAGTGTAGTGTAGTGTAGTGTAGAGTAAAGTAGTGTAGAGTAGAGTAGTGTAGAGTAGTGTAGAGTAGTGTAGTGTAGTGTAGAGTAGAGTAGAGTAGTGTAGAGTAGTGAAGAGTAGAGTAGTGTAGTGTAGAGTAGTGTAGAGTAGAGTAGTGTAGTGTAGTGTAGAGTAGAGTAGTACCGTGTGTGTGTGAGCTGCGGTCTATCTGGAGCTCTTACCCGGGCAGGAGGAGGTGAACATGGGCAGGGCCAGGCTGTCGTGGCTCCTCCTCCGGTACCTGGATACGAACTCTGTCTGGCTCTCCAGGATGCTGAAGCCTGAGGCCACCGTTGTGTCCAGCACGTACGCCACGCCTGCGGGAAACACGAAGGATGGATGACACGCCACCGCAACAGACACTTCTCTCCCTCCTTTGCTTCTGCTCTGCTATAGTCTACCTGGTTGTGTTTCCATTACATTTTTCAGTTCTATCTTCATTTTGTACATGCGTCGAGTGGAGTTTGCCTGTTCTCCCCGTGTCTGCGTAGGTTTCCTTCGGGTACTCCGGTTTCCCCTACCACTAAAAACATGTGCAATAGGTCTGGTATGCGCATCCTCTACTGGCCCCGCTCCCATCTCTGTGTGGAGTGAGAGGACAAATGCCCAAAAATAACAATTGTAAACCGCTTTGTGACTCTGGTCTATGAAAGGCTGTATATAAATAAAGATTACTTACTTACTTACTTACTTACAAAACTTAACCAAAATAAGATACTTAAAAGACACTTATGTATCTATCAATACATAAGAAAAGTAAAGTAAAAAACCCAAAATAAAGAAATAATAATGTTCAATCAAACATCGATTAGAAATATACATAAACACAATACTAGAAATTATTATTATTATTATTATTAATTTTAATCTATGAACCAGTTCTATCTGTGTTCTTAATAAAGAATGAATTGAATTGAATTGAATAATAGTAAATTGCTTTATTTCATTTACAAAAGGGAGAGGGAAGAAGTAGAAAAGTTTGATTTACGTTTAGTATCTAGAATAGAGTAGAGTAGAGTAGAGTAGACTAGAGAAGGACTGAGTGGAGTAGAGTAGAGTAGAGTAGAGTAGAGAAGGACTGAGTAGAGTAGAGTAGAGTAAAGTAGAGTAGAGTAGAGAAAGACTGAGTAGAGTAGAGTAGAGAAGGACTGAGTGGAGTAGAGTAGAGTATAGAAGGACTGAGTAGAGTAGAGTAGAGTAGAGTAGAGCAGAGAAGGACTGAGTAGAGTAGAGTAGAGAAGGACTGAGTAGAGTAGAGTAGAGTAGAGAAGGACTGAGTAGAGTAGAGAAGGACTGAGTGGAGTAGAGAAGGACTGAGTGGAGTGGAGTAGAGTAGAGTAGAGTAGAGTAGAGTAGAGTAGAGTAGAGTAGAGAAGGACTGAGTGGAGTGGAGTGGAGTGGAGTGGAGTGGAGTGGAGTAGAGTAGAGTAGAGTAGAGTAGAGTAGAGTAGAGTAGAGTAGAGTAGAGTAGAGTAGAGTAGAGTAGAGTAGAGTAGAGTAGAGTAGAGTAGAGTAGAGTAGAGTCGAGTCGAGTCGAGTCGAGTCGAGTAGAGTAGAGTAGAGTAGAGTAGAGTAGAGTAGAGTAGAGTAGAGTAGAGTAGAGAAGGACTGAGTGGAGTAGAGTAGAGAAGGACTGAGTAGAGTAGAGTAGAGTAGAGTAGAGTAGAGTAGAGTAGAGAAGGACTGAGTGGAGTAGAGTAGAGTAGAGAAGGACTGAGTAGAGTAGAGTAGAGTAGAGAAGGACTGAGTAGAGTAGAGAAGGACTGAGTGGAGTAGAGAAGGACTGAGTGGAGTGGAGTAGAATAGAGTAGAGTAGAGAAGGACTGAGTGGAGTGGAGTAGAGTAGAGTAGAGTAGAGTAGAGTAGAGTAGAGTAGAGTAGAGTAGAGTAGAGTAGAGTAGAGTAGAGTAGAGTAGAGTAGAGTAGAGTAGAGTAGAGTAGAGTAGAGTAGAGTAGAGTAGAGTAGAGTAGAGTAGAGTAGAGAAGGACTGAGTGGAGTAGAGTAGAGAAGGACTGAGTAGAGTAGAGTAGAGTAGAGTAGAGAAGGACTGAGTGGAGTAGAGTAGAGTAGAGTAGAGAAGGACTGAGTGGAGTAGAGTAGAGTAAAGAAGGACTGAGTGGAGTAGAGTAGAGTAGAGTAGAGAAGGACTGAGTGGAGTGGAGTAGAGTAGAGTAGAGTAGAGTAGAGTGGAGTAGAGTAGAGAAGGACTGAGTAGAGTAGAGCAGAGTAGAGAAGGACTGAGTAGAGTAGAGTAGAGAAGGACTGAGTGGAGTAGAGTAGAGTAGAGTAGAGTAGGACTGAGTCAGGCTGTTGGAAACTGAGCTAGTGAGTGTTATAATGCTAACACTAATACTAAATTGTTGCTTCTTTATTATGCTAATGTTAGAGATTAGATTGTATATTAGTGTATATTAGTTATTGTTCATTTATCTTGTGCTGTGTTTTTCTCATTCCTACTGTTCTGTAAAGGTGATGCAACACTGACATTTCCCCACCGTGGGACCAATAAAATATCTCTAATCTTAATAATGCCATGGTGTTTGTCCACAGTTGAAAGCTGACCTATACTCTTCAAGAAAGTGCAGAGTTTGTGAGCCGCCTCGCTGACGTCCAGTCCAAACTTGACGGCGAAGAATGGCAGAGACTGTGGGCAGATGGAGACCACTAGCACCTTGTGTTTGGACGCGTCACACTTCTGAAACACATCACACAGCACCTTTAAGCACTTCGTCATGTTCGTGTTCGTCTCTCAGAGCTACACACCGCAAAAATATCATACAAATGATGATTTCATAAATACTTATTATTATGATGCTAAAGTCAGAGATGTTATACTTAGTAAGAGAACCACTTCGTTCTTAGTTCTCCAAAATTGTCTAAGGATTGCGAGGATTGACTAGATTCGAGCTAGCCTGGTCTTACCACACCATTGTACGCATTTCATTTTGTACTTCTGTCTGGCTTTGCTCCATTGAGCTCCGTTAACATGTGGGAGGGGTAACTCCTTTTGCAGATTGAAACGATTAGATCTGAGTTTAGTATGTAGTATGTAATGTGCCTGAGTGAGAGAGGCATTTAGCATTTAGCCTAGCTTTAGCCATTTCCTTTGCCACTAACGGAGCCCATGGGGAGTAGAGCCACAACATATTTGCAGCAATGACATTTACTAAACATTCCTCTTTCTCCGGCTTCAATTTCTTGATATTTGGAGAATAGAGTCCCATTAGGTTTGATGGGGTTACCCAACACCGATTCTGGGGAAAACGAGACAAACCTTTTTACAATTGAATTCCCCTGAAGAAGAAGGAAGTGGAAGAGTGCCATCGATCCCAAGCGTCACTTCCCATCACAGTCTTTGGTGTGTGTTGTGCATTTTGATGTTTGTTTTGGAAAGATTTGAGGAGGATTTGTGGAGAAAACAGTGGTACCTTGTTGAGTTCCAGGACTCGGTGCAGGTCCTCCAGACTCTGCTGTGAGATCATCAGGGTCTCCTCCTCTGACAGACAGCCGTCACAGGACAGACAGGCGCTGAGCAGCAGCTGAGCCCCGCCCCCCTCCTGCTGGCACAGGGCCACAGCAACAAAGTTATAATGTCAGACAGATATTTATAAATATATAAAAGGTATTTGGTTCTTCTCTACCAGACAACATTAAGCTAGCCATGAAATACGATGACATTAACGGTTAAGCTCCTGAGGAAATGTATGTGGCCAGAGACTGGAACAGTCTTCCTGATCTTGTGAGACAGGCCTCGTCTCTGGCAATGTTTAAGTCCAGTCTGAAAACTGTCTTATTTAGCTCTGCATATGACTAATTTGAAGCCATCCATCCATCCATTTTCTTCCCCTTAATCCATTTCTGGGTTGGGGGGTGGCAGTCAGAGCAGCACCCAGTACACAGAGCACCAGCAGGTGGTGAGTCTACAGGAGCCTAATTTGGTTCAAAAGCTTCTAATTTAAAGCTTTTTTTTGTTTTTGTTTTTAATATTGTTGTAACTTTTATCTTGTTTACTGATTTGTTGTTGATTTTTTTTCATACAACAAGTTTTAAATGTATATGCATTCTTTTTATGTTTTATTGTAAAGGATCTCTTAATTTTTGAATTGCTTGTGAAGCACTTTAGGTTACACTCTGTGAATTGTACTTTATAAAAATTTGATTGATTGAAGAATTACTATTGTTTGGTAAAGAAGAACCTAATATCTTTATTCTACTAAGAATACGATGAACCCTCCTGAACTATATATAAATGTGTGTGTATGTGTGTGTGTCTGTGTGTGTATACACTGTATAGATAAATACATACACATTTTGTTTTCCCAACAGAAACACGTACTAAAGTAACAATTTGAGGTTGAATCAGATCATTTCTTTACCTTCAGCACTTCTACTTCTTGTGCTCTGTGAGTCACTATTTGACTCTTTGGGCTGATGTCTGTGACGGAGCCAAAAAGTACATGCAGGAGAAAAATCGTGATAGAACAAAACTAAAGCACTGAACACGGCGCTAGCTTGATTGTATCATATGCGACACGTTCATTTGATAATTGTAAAAAGAAATAAATAAAAAACAGTATTTACAGTATCAAAATTTTGACATTAATCAAGAACAAAAATAGTCTGGGGTTGATGGGGAGAAGGGTAAAAACATTTCTGATGTTTTCTGTAAATATTTTGAGAAAAAAAGGATTTTGGAATGAACTGCAAACAATAAAACCAGCTCTTTTTTTAACAACATTTAAACACATTGCCAGGAAGATTCCAAATGAATACAGCTTTATCTGACCTGAGCAGACACTTCTGTGCTGTGGTGCCGTGAGTCCTCATCCCCCGTCTGCTTCTTAATGCACTGAAAACCCACAGAACAAACATACAGAAAGGTCAAAATGATCAAATAGTCCGATGTCAACACTGAAAAGTACCTGTTTGGTGCAGTTTTCACACTTCTCCTTGCGTTTGCCTAAGCTGACCTCGGCCATCTCGGCTCCTGTTACCTGGAAATCAGACGAAACATAGTCAACTCTTCAAGAAGTGGAAGTGTAGTGAGAGCGCCGCCTCGCCCCCTCCCTGCTCATATCTCTTCTTGACAGCCTTTAAATGGAGGAGAATGGCAGAGAAAGCAGACCAGCATCCGGTCGTTATGAGAGATAGAAAACGCTCTTGTTAATTATATCCACACAGAAACAAAAACAGCAATCATCATGCGTGGGATCAGCGCAGTAATGACAGTGACAGTGGATTAAGACAAACTTTCTTAATGCCATCATTCTATAACTCAGACTCTAAGGCAATGTGTCCAACACCAGAGCCACTAATACAGCAGGATCATCATTATTATTATTATTGTTTACTTTTCAGTGAGCTGGAAACAACAGAACGTTCTAAGTAGCTCGGAAACAGTTGTGAGTTTGTGCTTTTTGAATTGTTACTTTTGTTGCTTTTTTCTATTCAATTCAATTCAATTTGTTCTTGTATCGCCATAATTCACAACAGCAGTTTTCTCAGAGGACTTAACACAACCGTTGAAATCGCCAACACAGATCAGAGAAGCAAACAGTTCAAACACAAAGAAGAGGTATTGGTCCACAGGGAGAGACCAATGTCCATGAATGTTGTAGAATGTTAGTGACCACAGATCTTCTTGTTAGACACTAACTGTCCAACAGACTCCTGCATCAGAGGAAAAACTCTAAAACCCAGTGGGAAAAAACACATTGAAAGTAAGAATATTGTAACTTAATAACCTTTAGAATGATGTATTTATTTGTTTGTATGGATATGTTTCTCTACGGGGATCAATAAAGTATCTATCTATCTATTAGTGTCCCTTCAACTTATTTTCAACGTATTAGTTATTATGGTTCACTTGATATGGCTCGCATCTTAAAAGGTCGTGGAATAAAAGGGTTTTAAGAAGTGATTTAAAAGAAGTGGTGCTCCCCTTATCTGCTCGGAAGGTCGTTCCGGAGCCCGGACCAAGGATTGTTATTCCTCATTTACCAAATTCGTCAGAGGACCTCTGACTACAGCTGAAGCAAGTCAGGCGATTAAGCTGTACTAACTTCTTTATATTAATAGAGGATTATAAGCCTCGAGTATAAAGAAGACATTTAATGACACTAAACAGTTCTAAGATACATACAAAGAGAACAGAAACAAACCATACACACACACAGGGACACATGGTCCGGCAGTGAGCTGCATGGTGTTGTCAGAGAGTGTCCACAGTGAAGGTCCCCCCCAGGATACATCAGAGGGTCACCTCGGTTGGTCAGTCAATAATTCCAACAGCATGTCTTAGATCTCCACAGATTGTCTCAATTATGTTACCATTTGAAAAAACGATAACATACTTATTTGAAAATAAATGGCTTCACCGATCACAAAATCATAAACTTTATTTGTAAAGCACAAACACAGATCTGGATTTTCAAAATACTATTATTTTTTCTAATGACACTTGGATTTACCTTGAAACGTTTGAAACTCTTTATAAAAGTTGCTTTTTTCAGAAGTTCTCACTTTTCTGATCTTCATAACGGTGTTACTCACATTACTTTTGGAACTTCTACCTTTCTACCGTTAGTAGTATTTGCAGTATTTTCTGTGCTAAAAGTTGTAGTTTTTCCTGTTATATAAAGGCACTTTTAATCTTTTGAATTTTAGGTTTGAATGTTTTTGATCTTTTTAGTGTTATGTAATACTTTGTTTATGTTTATTGTATGCATGTGATAAGGTTGCAATAGTATAATAAAAGTGTAATAGTGCGATAGGGGTGTAATAAAGGTGTAATGTTTTGGATCTTTTCAGTGTTTTCTTTGTTTTTGATTATCACTCACAATTCCTTCAGCCGTTGTACAATTTCTAGAAATATTTTGCTGTGAATAAAAAATAAATGAAAAAAATTAATAATATTATATAAAAAAATATATATATATATATATGAAAAAAATGAATATACTATTGTGTAAGGTCAACTTGAGTGTTCAGACTGTAGAAATATTTTAGATATTGTCATAGATCTCCTAAATAACAAACCTACAGAAAATGACCCGTATCTTAAAATAACAGTAGAATATTTGAACACCATATTATAAGGACAGGCCAGAGTCTCACCTCTCGGTCGGACACCTCTGGTTGAGACCAGCGGACAATAGCATCAAACCAGCGGAGCAGCTAGTGACACACACCAGCAGCAGGCGGACAGAAGGCGGACAGAAGGGCACCCTGAGGCCTGCTCTGGGCAAATATTTACGGATGAAGTGTTGCCTAATGGCTGCTGTCACCTGCAGCGTACGCCCACGGCTTTATACTGCATTTCACAGAGTTTATAAAGTGAAATCACCGCTGGAACACAACACACATACATGCACGTACTGCCTCTGCCGGGGAGACCGCGCATGCGCATACCTGCTGGAGAGGCAGACCGGAAGTGGTTGTTTACGGCTTTGGTTTTTACTTTTTCAGTGGTGTTTTTTTTTTTTTAACAGAATATAAATTATAACGATGAAATACCTAATATATAACTAACAAGGTAAAACACTATTTATTCATACAAACAAATAAATTCATATTTCTAAAAGTCACACTTTAGGTAACAGCAGCAGAGGTGGTGTAGTCACTGGGAGGATTCTATGCATTTTTAATAACATTTTATGAGTAAAACATTTGAATATGGTTGGGGATGAACCATAGACCGTGTATTGGGAGACTTTTTTTTTCATGAAATATTAGTAATATAGAACAATATAAACGTGAATCCATGGACAAGGAGCATAGGAAATAGATATGTTTGATCTACTTTTATTTTGAAGTTCGCTTTCAAGGACTGACGGAACGAGGAAGACGTCCGTTCATGACAGTTGCCAAAGAGGAGCAAAAACAGAAGTGCTTCCTTATCATTGCATTCGCCGCATGTTTTTCTCCATTTCCCCTGTGTGTCTTTCTAACACGTCTGATTAACACCACGTGGACAAACTCAGCGTAAGTCTCCACAAAAAATATACTTTTATACTCCAGCATGCTTGTGTTTACATCTGTCACATGGTACATCAGTATCCTCATCAGCTTCTGTATTCTCTGTGTGCTTCTGGTGTGGTTTTTTGAAAGTTAATTCCATCCCACTGTGTCAAATCAATAGTTTTTTGTTCCCCCCCCCCCCCCCCCCCCCCCCATTGTCACTGTCTAATGCAGATGGGCTACATGAGAGTGGAGGAACACAGCCCCACCCTGCTCCATCTCAAGAGGGCCCCTGGGATCCGCTCTTGGTCACTTCTGGTTGGTAAGTGCACTTTCTATTCCAGTGGTTTCCAAAGATAATGGTTGGAAGCTGCTAGAAGACTCTCAAAGTCATTATGCTAAAGTTATGGCATTGTATTAAAGCTCGAGTACCTAACTTTTAACAGTGGCGACAGTGGCTCAGTTGGTAGAGCTTTGGCCTTTGAGCCTGAAGGTTGTGGATTCGAGCCCACCACAAGACTTTCTCCACTGACTCCCACTGATGTCTGCTGTCGTTGTGTCCTTGGGCAAGATACTTAACCCTACTTTATCTATTTGTGGCCATTCTTCCATGCAAAAGCCAGATCCCATCAGACCTCTGAAGCTGTTCAGCGCAGGGCCTGGTTAGTACAGTGATGGGAGACCAATGGGAACACCAGGTGGGGCGATTGCGGCTGTAAAGTGCCATACAGAGCGGCACGGTGGCTGAGTGGATAGCACTCTTGCCTCTCAGCAAGAAGGTCCTGGGTTCAAATCCCAGTCGGAACAGGGTCTTTCTGTGTGGAGTTTGCATGTTCTCCCCGTGTCTGTGTATGTTTCTTCTGGGTGCTCCGGTTTCCCCTGCCACTAAAAACATGCTCACTAGGTTAAATCCTCCAGCTCGACCAAGCCGAGCATCAACATCTGGTTTCCGGGAGCTGTACTAAGGTGTACTAAGGTGACCTGCTCCTGACGTAAGCCTTAGTGGCATCAGGATGGGTCAAATGCAGAGGACAAATTTCCCTACAGGGACAATAAAGTGCACTTTATTTATTTATTTTTTTACAGCCGTTGTGTCCTTAGGCAAGACATTTCACCCACATTGCTAAGAATGAGCCTGGTGTGTGGGTGAATGGTTGGTGGTGGAGGGGGGGCCACATACTGGTTGCCTCATGACTCTCAGTGTGCCCCCGGGCAGCTCTGGCTACAGTTGTAGTTTATCACCTGTGAATGAATGACATGTGAAGCTTCTTTGAGTGTCCAAATAGCACTATATAAAACCAATGCATTACTATTATTATTATTTTAAACTAAAAACAACAGAACTGTGTAATTACATCGACTTGCCTTGATGAAGACCCGAGCGGGTTCCTCTTTGTTTTCCACTCTTTCCTCTTGTATTTTTATGTAATTACATCTTTATAAACTAGTTCCTATCACTAGTTCTCACATGCATTTGTTTTGGTCTCTGCCACATCTTTAGAGCAACCTTTTCAGACCGAAAATTGAAGATGAAATTTATCCTTCCTGTTGGGACAAAACAACTATAATTCGGAATCTAAACAAAGGCATCAATGGTTGAATCAAAAAAAGCTTCCCTGTGATTTTCCAGCATCAGTGGCATTGGGTAGTTTCAATATTATTGTTTATCACAATCATTTTCTGAAGTGATATGTCGTCGATCAAAATGTGTGACAGGGTTAGTTTTCAAAAAAAATCCAAAACAAAACCTTTTATGTTTGTTGAACTAGTACTTTTTCAAACCACTCTATAATTCTTTTGTTTCCAGGAATAGCATCGATCGGGTTAGCGGCGGCCTATTACAGCTCAGGTATGTCTGGTGAATCATCTCTGGTTCTGGTTTATTATTGTATGGTCTCATGTGTTCCCTGCTGCAGACAGCGTCCTCTGGAGGCTCTTCTACATCTGTGGCTGTTTGTTCGTGGCCATGCAGAATATGGAGGAGTGGGAGGAGGCGATGTTCGACAAAAATCAGGGAACGATCGAGCTCAAGTCGTTCAGTCTCTACACGTATATCCTCACGCTGTACAAGAAGGGACACGAGAAAGGTGAGGCGCTCCGGCCCGATACCAACATGGAACACTAGTGCAAAAGCATCAGCATTAGAGAGAAGACCGAAAGACAGATAGATACTCATTTCTATTCAATTCAATGTATTCATGTATAGCCCTAAATCACAACAGCAGTCATCTCGGAGGACTTTAAAAAACCGTTGAAATCGTCAGCACAGATCGGAGAATCAACAGAAATTAAGACACAACAAAGATAGAACACATGGTATTGGTCCATAGGGAGAGGCCAATGTCCACTTTGATCTATACTTTATTGATCCCCATAAGATAAACTCAGGTGTCCAGTTGCAGCAAAACACATCCATCCACACAAACAAACAAATCAACAGATCATTCTAAAAAAGCTAACAATAGTAATAATAAGCAACAGCACTTTAGGTCACAGCAGCAGAGGAGACAGCACAAGACAGATTATTGTGGGGTTACTACTCAGGTTGCAAATTTTATTCTAACTCGGGGTTAGGGGAATCGGCAAAAATGGGACGATAGCTAGATAGATGGATACTTTATTGATCCCCGTAGGAGAAATTCATGTGTCCAGTAGCAGCAAAAATAAAAAATAAAATTGATCATACTAAAAGGTTAAAAGTAGTAATAATCAGCAACAGCAGAAGAGGTGGAGTAGCCTCTGGGTGGAGCAGGACGGGTCACAGCAGAGGTGGAGTAGCCTCTGGGTGGAGCAGGACGGGTTACAGTAGCAGAGGTGGAGTAGCCTCTGGGTGGAGCAGGACGGGTTACCAGGTGGAACAGCCGCTTGGTTCGGACCATTTTCTCTGCTGTAGTCCAAAGAAAAATGCTAAATACTTCATTAGCATTTTTCAAAAAGTTAGAGATTTTCACCTGATCCACTTGGTTCGGCCCATGAATCCTCTCCGTTCCGGTCTGGACCAGTGCAAAACCATGAACACTGTACTGCACCAACATCTCGGGTAGAAAAAAGAAATTTAACATGATTCACATAGTATTGCGATAAAGCATGTATCGCAATTTTATTCTGCGATAAATTGCGATTCATGTCCCTCGTATTATTCAAAGATATTACAGTAAATTAGGAAAAATAAGAATCAACTCAAATGTCACATTTATTATGGTTTGTACATGAACTGAAGCAAACACTGAGGAGGGAAGGACCTTATAACAGATATTACAGACAAGACATAGAGTCACAACAAGCAGACATCATAGAGTCACAACAAGTAGACATAGAGTCACAACAATCAGACGTCATAGAGTCACAACAATCAGACGTCATAGAGTCACAACAATCAGACGTCATAGAGTCACAACAATCAGACGTCATAGAGTCACAACAAGCAGACGTCATAGAGTCACAACAAGCAGACGTCATAGAGTCACAACAAGCAGACGTCATAGAGTCACAACAAGCAGACGTCATAGAGTCACAACAAGCAGACGTCATAGAGTCACAACAAGCAGACGTCATAGAGTCACAACAAGCAGACGTCATAGAGTCACAACAAGCAGAAGTAATGGAGTCTCTGTTCCCTCTTTGTTCCTGTAGTGGTGCTGGACATGCGGCACCTGCAGGACGTCTGTGTCCAGGAGGAGAAGGTGCGGTACCTGGGGAAGGGCTACCTCCTGGTGCTGCGGTTAGCTACCGGCTTCTCCTACCCCATGACCCAGAGCGCCACTCTGGGGGGACGCAGGTACCAAGCACTTATCCAAAAAATCCAAATGTCGCCCTGACATTCCACTTTCCACGTTCATATCTTTTTGGCCATCTTTACATCATATTTTTTTAGACGGAAAAGTGAATAAGAGAGGACTCACCATCAGCTATCACAGGGCTCATGTTTTATTTGTATTTGTTTTTTATTTTTTATTTAAGAGTTTTCATAGTTTACAGAAAGTATATAGAAGAGAGAAAATAGGGAGTGAGTGATAAATACCAAGTTACTTTATAAAAATGATAAAACATATATATACTAGGGCGGCACGATATATCGACAAAATATTGTTATCGCGATATTGGTGCGGAGGTCTGCGTGCTGATTTGTCAGAACGCTCACATGTTTCTCTGGTCCTGCGGAAGTAGACCCACCGCATCTACAGCGCGAGACCGGGAAAACCAGATCTGCCCAGAACGCATCACTTCCACTAGCAGCAGACCGCCACAGAATGGGAGAGGCATCTGGCTGCAGAATTCCCCCCCTTGCAGACCTCCATGTTCAGCCCCTGTCACGTGACCTTCGCTGTTTCACTTCACTGCGACTTAAAACGTTTTTCTTCATAAAGTTATAAAGCTTATATTTAACATATAGTATATATTATGTAACAAACAAAAATAGTGACGTTTGTTCCACAAATTGTGACCAGGTATTATGTATATGAGCGATCCCTGTTTTCATCTGGGCATTTGGGATGCCAAAGGACAATTCTGTGGCCATTTGTTTACAAGAGCGCCACCTACATGTCACCCATAGTATAGCACATGAAAACACGTCAAAAAGACAATATATACATGGTAGAGATACCATCGCGAGGTTTTATTATAGTAAAGGGCTGCAACTTCTAGATGCTTATTCCATTCATCTATATTATTCTCACAACAGCTTTAAAGTTACATAGGTATCCACTATTTTTTTTTATTTTAGAGGAATAAGAGTTAGCTTGACCTATAGGTCTACACACATTTTTGATTTTCCTACCGTTCTGTAACCTGTGATGCTTTACTGAACATTCCCCTTTTGTGGTGAATAAATTATCAATGATAAGGCCGTTCAATTATTTATTATACATTCACAATACAACACATATCCCATCTTATCAACACACTCAACAGAAAAGCGTTCCATGTCCTCAATATGAGAGAACTCAGTCTCCCTGCATTCACTATAAATCATTGTATTTTACATTCCTGTGGTAGGTAGTTGCAACCAAAAAAAACCAATAGTGAAAGATTGTTGGATAAGAACCCGAGTTTTATGACTCACTTGTGTAGCAGGCAACAGGTCTGTCTGTTGCACAGGTGCCAACTTGCGCTTTTTCACCCTCAGAACTGGCTGTACTTCCCCTCGAAGCATAGCCTTGGCTTTCTCCGTCCAATGGGCAAATAATTTGCCATAGCTTGAGTAAGAGGGTATTAATGGAACATTGAGAATATTGACAATAGAAACATTCTCTTCGAGTAATACTTTGAGAACAAATGAATCTCACCTCCCAAGGTCAAAGGTCTCCATCAGTAACAAACACCACCATTTCCTCAGAGTTGGCATGTCTTCCTTAAAAGTCCAAGAAGAGACAATTATTGATTATATTTATTATTGTAAAAATTAAAAAAAAATCTTACCTTTGTAAACAATTGCCTGCCTTAAATGCGACTGCAAGTGTATCTGCATTTTATGTAACTTTTGGGGTTTCACCATTGGACATATGGGGCAGCGAAAGAGGGTGCAACAGGTTGTGCACCGCTCCACAAGAAACTCTCCTTTTCTAAACTCTGCCACAATAACCTGCGGCCACTGCACCTCCTTGTCCCCAAAGGGAGGGGGGGAAAACTTGTGCTGCATGGAAACCCCTAAGGCATTTTGGATAGAAATGATACCCCAATGTGCACAAAAGAGACAGTAATTTAACACACCCTCAAACATAAAGTAGTATTTATTGTACACAAGTACAATAAACAATATACAATGAAATTGCACACGATATAGAACACTAACAAGTAATACTCACAAAAGTCCTAAGCTAAATTCAGCTAACCTATCTAACAATAAAATCAACTAATGTCTAAAACTACAATATTCAACAACAACGCTATTAACACTACACAATTATCTATAATACAAACAGCTATGCTAATAATCGCAAACCTGACAATTGATGAAAATACTCTCTGCTATTCCTTCTCAAATGGTGCTTTCAGACCGGATCATGCGTTGCGTCGGGTTTCAATGCAAAGTCTATGGTGACGCGCGTTCGACCGTCACAACGCATGGACCGCTCGGTTCGCACGAACGGACTGTTCAGTAGATACGCACGGACTTGGTGGGAAAGTCAAAGGGGAGGAGCAGGAGCGAAAAATCAACGCCCACAGGAGATGGATTCTGCTCATCCTTTCCTTGGGACGTTCGTGCAGCGACCAATCAGAGAGCAGCAAAGTGGTCACGGGGACATTAGCGGACTGAGCGAGCAGACTGAAAATACTCGTAAACAGCCAAAACAGGATCCACACCAGGCTTCACCAGAACTCCAAATAAACAAATAAAAAAATAAATAAAAAATAAACTCAAACCAGGGTTGACAATGGGGGACTGTGTGCTTGTGAATATATGCGTTGTCATGCTCCCGTGAACTTATGCAACTGCTTCGAGTGTGTTTGCTGATGCGGAAATACCGTTTAATAATATGAAAAAACGCATAGCGCACCTCCGTAAACACATACTGCTGTTATATAAAGCCCGTGGAAGGTGTCTGAGCAAAGACACGCTGCAAAGCTGCATATTGGAGAAGATCTGTACACAAGAAGCCGCTAGCATAGCTCTGTTAGCATTGGAGCCGGCCGGCTACTTCCGGTACTTCCGGCTCGCGTCAGGACGTTCTGGTGTGAAGACCCCTGCGTCTGAAAACTAGAGAATGCGCGTCTGGTGAGCGAGGCTTCAGCGTTTCAGCGTTGCCGGTCTAAAAGCACCATAACTCGCTACGGGGGCGTGAACAAAACCAGGGCCGCTTACTTCAGGGCAGCATGGCAACTGACGTCAGCCTTCACTGCAGACGTCAGCAATCACAGCTGCGCCAATGGTGGCGCCAGATTCAAAATTCAAATGTAGTGAATACAAGTCGCCTGCAGATGGCGCCTCAGACTGTTTTAGGCAGAAAGTTGATCTTTCAACATATTTTCACTAAAGTGACAAAATTATGAGCAGGATATGTAGACAACACTATTGGACACTCATTTATACCGTTTATCAGCACAAAAAAGTGGATTTGAGGGTGAGTTGTCCTTTAACTCATTGTGTCCCATTGACGCACAAATACGTCAAAGCAAATAGTAACGTCGTGTGCCATTGACGCATTAATCCGTCAATTGCCTTTTTCGCTATTTTCACGTTCCCAGATGTCTATTGTATCTAATATGTATGGGGATGACTTGAGACCATATTTTATCGAGCCAGCAGGTGGCAGCATTGCTCTCTGAATGGTTTGAAAACATGTAGGTGCAAATGTTGTGCCTCTTTTTTCTCAACTTTCTGGTGATTTCTGGTGATTTCAGTAAAACTTCCCTCTACTCGACGGAGGATTACAGGGGAACGAAAAAAGCTATAAACAAAATTCTTTTTGCTGAGGAAAGTACACAGTCCATTCTTTTAGAATCTGGTGTCGGATTTCAGATAGTCATAGTACACAATATTCTGTGGGTCTTGAAAAATCAGTAAAAATCATCAGAAATGGCTGGCACTGTGGGAGTACCTGTTCTGAAATAGGCTGGCATTCAATGAGTTAAGGGTTAATGGCCTAGAAAAAAAATAATAATTCAAATTTCTGCTGGGCTGGAAATGTACATTTAATCTGGTTTTGAGACTTGTCAAACTTAAGCTTTAGATCAGATGAGAACCAAACATTTAATTAAGTGATGTCTAGAGTTTTGTGGGCGAAGCTAAACCAGGAATAAATCAATCAATCAATCCATTCCACTTTAATAACATAACACATTTCATAAACGTTTCCAAAGTGCTGCACAACAAGCAAAAATGTATAAAAATCAACACACAATCAAGAGAATGTGTGTGTTCTTGCGTTGTGGAAGATGGGGTCTAATTTGAAATGACCATAGCCACAAATAAAGCATGAATAAGAATCCTGGTTTGTGTTTGCTGTGACAGTGACGTGGAGGAGGTGGCAGCCTTGCTGAAGCGGTTCCTGAAACTAGAAGACCTCCACAGACCAGAGCAACATGAGGAGGAAGAAGAGGAGGAGAGCAGCAGCCAATCAGAGCAGGAGCTGTGACCACCGTAGGCGTCCTCCCTCCGCCCAGTTACTGACTACACTGCAAAAAGTGTTTCAAAAGAAGTCAAAATGTGTCTTAATCTGAGCACATTCTGACTGTGCCTTAAAACAAGATTTTTCCAAACAAAATTATCTTATTTTAAAAAGACACAAGAAATGTTTCCCTTGGAACGAGAAAGTAAAGTAACAGTTTTTGGAATAGGACTAAATGCCTTTGTTCGAATGGAAAATCTAGCTTTGAGACAGTCAGGATGAACTCAGATTTGGATCAAAACCTATTGATTTAAGCAATTACTTCTTTATATATGTTTATTTTTACAGTGTACTACATGTATTCTCTGTCCAAAGATGACCAACACATTTGAATCATTTTTGGTAATGTTAAAATCATTACAAGTGCCAAAGGTGGGTGCTGGTGTTGTATCTGCTCTTCTCTTCTTGTGTTATTACCATGGACTGTAAATATGATTGAATGCATCTTAGTTATTAGATGCATTCAAATGTGTTCTGGGACATTACAATGAGGCTTGGAATACCTTGGACACTGATGGACCATTTTCCACGCCAGGCCTCGATGTCTGTGTCTGGGATCCGGTCATCCATCCATCCATCCATCCATTTTCTACCCTTTAATCCATTTCTGGGTCAGGGGGGTGGCAATCAAAGATGCCACCCAGGTGGTGAGTCCACAGGAGGACGGCTGCTCTCTGAGTGTGAGCATAGCCTTGATCTTTCAGATCCGGTCATGTGTTATCAAATGTATGGACTTATTCCCATTCTATAATTGCTACTCTCAGGACAGTGCCTTTGAAACCTGGTCTTTCTGCCATTATCTGTTGTTTAGACCCAGACTTACTTTTAGCCCAGGGGTAAACAGCGGTCCACAAAGGGTCCTCAAAGGGTCCTCAAAGGGACAGTGTGGGTCTAAAACCTGCAGCCAAACAGGTCCTTTCTGGAACCAGTCTGACACCCCTGGTTTTAGCCTGAATTAGCCTGAGAGTGCATTCCTTCTCCAACATGTATTGCTGTAGTGTAGATGATACAACCCCTCAAAACAGGAAACATGAACAATAACTGCGTCACAAAGAAAACTCTTTACTCTAAAAGCTTGTTCTGGTCTGTGAAATGTCAGGTTTGTTTTTTTATAAACCCATAGGTTAATTCGTCAGAGGGTTTGATCACAAAAAACCTCACCAAGGATCTGTAGTCTCTCTCTCTCTATACAGTATCTATCCATCCATCTATACATACACATTATAAAATTATGCACAATAAACATATCTTTCTTTCTCCTCTCTGAAATATCAATGTAATATGTTTAGTGTGTTTGTACCAGTGGGGGCAGGTCCCGGCTCCAAAAGGTCCATGAGCATGTGCGCTGACCAATACCACCCCAGGCCAGTGGGGGTGTTCCCGGGATAATAATTAACCAATGCTTTTGTGTGGCGTCTTCTTTCCTCTCGAAAACGTCTATCCAGGATGATCCAAAAGTCGCTCTTGGTCCAACGCTACGTTCCAGATGTTGTCAATGCTGAGGGGAGTTTTTTTTTTTTGGGACCAGTCTAGTTTAGCTGCTGTGGACTTCAGAAGGCACTCGTTGAATTAATGGGGCTCATGCGTTTTTTCCACATTTTCCTGCCCCGCGGACATTTTGAAAATGTGGTGGCACATTAGTTTCAACGGCGCAGATAGACTGTCAATATTAACATATGTAGTCACGCCTAAGTCAAAGGTGTCAAAGTCAAGGCCCGGGGGCCAGATCCGGCCCGCGAGACCATTTCCAGTGGCCCTTGAGATGATTTTAAATTATTATCTTAAATAGCAGCATAAATGATTATAGGCGACAATGGCATGTTATCCATTATGAAGAAAACAACCATAACATTTAATTCCATAATTAATAAAGGATTTCCCAATTTTCTTAGGAAAGAACCACTTCCACTTTGTGAACAAAACTGTCTGGACATTTTTGACGAGCACAAATCATCAGAATGATTGACAATTGAGAGGAGCAATAGTCTTGATGATCCACCCAAAAGTAGAAAATCTTCCTGCATACCTTCAATATATTTGGCCCAGTTTTGGTCCAGTTTTGGTTCAGTCCACAGCAACTGAACTAATTCTAATCAGAAAAGAATATCCAACTAATGTGAAACAAGTCATTTATTTACCTTCATATTCCCAATTTTTTTTATAAATGAAACCCACTTATTTTTTCGGCCCCTGACCAGCCCTTTTTTTTATTCGGCCCTAAACCAAAATAAGTTTGACACCCCTGGTCTATGTTTTTTTCCCCAGACTTTAAAGAACTAAACGTAATTCATTTTCACATTGGTAATACTGTCATACGTATTACTTTTGTATCTCTGTAACTAATAACATTTTAGAGTCATGTGACCGCTGTTTACCTGGACAAAGACAAACACAAGTTCACTACAAACCATTCAGTGGATTTTTAAACTCTAAATGGATTACTATTTTCAACAACCATTGGACTTTGGACTAATCTTAAACACACACTTTTCTATCAACACAGCAGATTTCACCTTCCAAGTTGTTGCCTTAAATGAGGATTTTCATTGTACACAGTGTACATATTTATTTGACAGTTTGTTGCCCCGGGTCATTTAAGTCAAGGCTTTTCTGTGGCCAGATGTCAGGGACATTATCCTTTCCTTTTAAATGTAAAACACAAACTCCTTTACACACTCCGCTATATTCCAATTCATCTTCTGCATTTTTCAGTGAATTAGTTTTCTGTGAGAGAAAGAGAACAAAATTGTCAAATACAGTAAAATACCTCATTAAAATGTCATCTGTTTTACATAGACTTGTTATCTGTGTAAACTTCAGGAAGATTCTGGTAAAGAAACTGTATTGTTCTGTGCCCTACCTCACTCTCACTTTTATAATTCCTGTTTTTAGTTCTTTCCCCACCCACATGTTAATTACCATTTAACGATTTCCTAAACGTACAAATGCAAACAATAGTTAAAGCATGAAGGATTTGGGGCCACAAGGGAATGAGGAAATGCCTCCAATTGTTGTTTTGTAGAGTTGTGTAACCAAAGGCTGTAAGATGCAAACTCAGGGGATGTGATTAACTGTTTGTCTGTTTGTCTGTGCACATAAAGAGATTTTCAAAGTTTTTTCACTGCTTATTATAAAAGGTCCAGGATCCATCTGTTATTCAGGCTTCATGAGCGTCTTATAAGATCAAATAACCTTTTTTCAGTGTTATTGTGAACGTTACAGGTTCTCCTAAGCCGTTAGAAGTCAGGAAGTCACACATATACACATGTTATACTGTATTCTTGGGTTTCATATGACGTTGGGGCAGTGGCGCAAATGACATACGTGGGACAGGACCGGACCGGGCGTGACGTACCCTGGCAGTGCAGTCTGCCGGGTATATACACGGAGAAATAGTAGAAGAAGAAGCGCTGTCAAAATGCCATTTTTTTGTGCAATGTACGGTTGTACTGAGTTGTCCCATCTCTGCTCATTCTCCCCCTACAGGCCAGGTTAATGAAACCCAAGAATACTGTTAAACGCTAGTAATACTGTCACGTTCTACATTTCTATCTCCATTACTATTATAACATCATCAAAATTCAGCTCTAAGAAAATATTTAGGGTATTAATTATTGTGGCGGGTCAATTTGAAAATGTGAGAATCCAAATGGAGACAAATTTCCGAATTTGGGGAGAGCAACGACCAAGCAACCAAAAAGCCAGAACAACAGAGTGCCGCCTTAGAAGACATGTCTGGATTTGCAAAGACAATACAAAAACGAAAATAGCAAGATCATGTAGCGTGTTAAACAAGTTTTTAGCTTTTATATTTTTATTAGACTTCAGAGAGCAGGCTGTTAGCATTGTCCATTTTTATATACATGATGACGGCACATATTGGCCAATTTTAAATGCAAATTGTATGGGCCCTATTTTTGGTGAGAATCTTCATAATTCAATTCAGTTAAACTTCATTACAGACTCGAGGATCGATTTAAAACAGACAGACAAGACACAAGTGAAACAGTCCTGACAGTGTCTCCACATCTTGAACTGAAATTGAGTGGCACTGAATCTGCAGATTAAACACCTGGAAAAGAGTCATTGTCGTTCCACCTGCAGCTGCCGCGGACTGGCTCTTTTATAGTTATTGTAGTTATAGTATACGATAGTACAATCACTAGATATAAAAGGGTCTAATCCTTTAGTTTATTAGGGTAATAATGGTGAGTGTGACAGAAGTTAGAAGAGATTACTTTTCAATGTTAGTCAGTAGGAGCCAGAGCGAGTTTAAAACTTCACCCATGGGCACTTCCCTATAGGGCTTCATAGAGCTCGGAGGTTGGTATTGTCCACAGTCTACAGGCAGGCTGCAGTCTCCTCCAGGATCCGCTGCAGTGGAGCGCGCACCAGCCACACATGCTCCTGCTCCCACTCCTGCTGCGTGGGCTCTGGGTACAGGTGCATTATCTCCTCCCTCAGGACGTCCCACTTCTGCTGCAGCATCGACAGATACCTGAAGACAGAGTGGCAGTTAGAATGAGGTTGGAATAGTTTGGGATTAGCCTGGTTTTACCACATTATTGTGGTCATTTCATTTTGTACTAAGGTCTGGATTTGCTCAATTGACTCTTTTAACAGGTGGGAGGGGTTAACTCCTTTTGCAGATTGAAACGATTGGATCTGAGTTTACCGTGACGTATTTAATGCACCCGAGTGAGTGAGGCATTTAGCATTTAGCCTAGCTTTAGCCATCTCCTTTGCCACTAACGGAGCCCGTGGGGAGTAGAGCCACAACATCTTTGCAGCAATGACATTTGCTAAACATTCCTCTTGCTGCGATTTCAATTTCTTGATATTTGGATTGAACCAGATTATTTTACTATCGCATTCTCTGCCAAACTACAACCAGCAAATACTGCGCAAACTCTTCACCTCACCGACACCCCCCGACAACACCCGCCTCCACCGCTCTCTGATTGGTCGGAGAGGATTCAACCCAGGAAACTGCATCCACTAGGATTTGACCCAGACAAACATGTAGACCGGAGTTTACCGATATTACAAACATATATATTATAACATATTTGGATACATTCAGACACACACACAACAACTGAAAGTTCCTGGGTGTCACATCACAATGTACTTGCGGATGAATTTACAGCCTGATCGGACCAGGACTACGCACAAAAGAAGCTAATCTAAAGGATTAATTGCACCCCTAGTGGTCAACCATGGGACATGCACCCTCTGCGTAATGTAATAATTTGGAAAGGTTCACTCACTGAAAATTGCACAAACAGGATCTGGCTTTTCCATGAAAGCATGGCCACATAGTAGTAATGAGGAAGGGCCTTTAAATTAGACCACACCATGTTAGATTTTGAAGCTATTTAGCAGAACGAAAGTCCCCACTTCTACCTCTAGAGTGAAGTGTTGTGTGTTTATTGACATACAGTTACAGAGCTGTTGTTTCGTAACCTCAAAAAGATGTTTCATGACTTGCAATACCTTTAATAGCTTTGAAAGTATGTAGTAGTATACTACATAATAAATGTACAATTCTTACTCTGCGGCTTGGTTCTGGATCTGCTTCACGATCAAAGGGTTGACCATCTTTCTCTGTCGCTGGTGAGGACTGAACCAACCTCTTACAAACCTGCAAGACAAAAGGACGGGCTTGGTTCTTGTGGGACAATAGTTCAACACCAGCCAAGTCTCAGTTTGTGATAATAAAGATTCAGTAAAGGTTTAAAATGTACATGACACTTTTGGTGTTTAGCAGCAGTCAGTCAAAAATAATCTAACCCCATTTAGACAACAAAGACATCTGAATTCAACATCAAGAAGGTGATATGAGTTGTAGATGAACGCGAAGGGCAAAAAACTCAAAGTACTTGAAAAAAACAACAAGAAGCTGGCTGCGAAGAAAAAGTAGCAGTGAGCGAAGAATACACAGATAAACCGTCCCGTTATGGTTAACAGCACTACTCGACATGGCAAAGCAAATGGAAGTCCTAAGTCAAGAAATCTAACAGAGATTTCAGTCTTTTAAAGAAGAAGTTAAAGTTGATATTAAGGAGTTTGATACATTCAAGATCGATATAAACAAGAAACTAGAGAACATAAAAGAGCATTATAAGAAGAGCACACACGCATTGGCAAAGTTGAACAATGGAGTAGGCCATGGAGTCTGAGGATGTCCTTTTAAAGTCCCTTAAAATGCAAAGGATTATCAAAAACAAGCTCACAAACTTGGAGGAAAGATTGGCTGTGTATTTTTGGAATACCAGAGAGGGCAGAGGGAGACTCTGTGCCCCACTTCAAAGAGAATTTTCTCCAAGGAGAACTTAAACTACCAGCAGAGACCCATCTCATGGTTCAGCGTGCACACAGGGCACAGGAGACCTGCTCAAGGAGCCAGCGTGAACTTTTTTTGGTTTGACCTATTTGCACCCCTAGTGGTCAACCGTGGGACATACACTCAATGTAATATTTTGCCCGTATGGATCTGCGACTTTGGTGCAGATTAAAACATGTTTAGGTTCAAGGCCTCCCATAGGGGGCGATCTAGAGTTCATATTGAGTGTGTATTTTCACAATATTATGCTCATCACAGTTATGAGACAGTCATAATGTAAATAGAGCATAAAACAATCTCCAACAAACTAACCCTAACACAAAAGCATCTGACCTGGACTCGTACACCAGCTGTGTCCGTCAGGGCTAAGAATTGAACCACTAAACTATCAGCGGGGACAGAACTCCAGAGATTTACGAAGGTACTTTATTCAGCAACGGGTGCACCACTAGTGGTCAGGTTGGGTATTGCGGCCCTAAGGTCATGTAAAATTCACTGCTGCATCGCATGATGAAATTCTAACTTTTTGTCAATGATTTTATAAACTTCACTAGGTCCAGATGGAGAAATGACATGGTAGAAGTCTGTGTGAAGTCAATACGTATTGACTTGGGCTAATGGCTCAAACATGCCTGAATCGCTATAAACGCAACAGGGGAAAAACAGACATCACAATCAAAGCTGTGAAAGTCCAAATGGCACCTTATGTTCTATTTAAACACATCCAAACAACATCACAAAGAAAAATATCGAATTATTCCAACAAAATCAATGTTTTGAGCTTCACAACCTGGTGTAGCATGTGTGTATTGTTGGGGCTTAAGTTGGCAGAATCCAGGTTAAGCTGTAACAACTGAAGGATTGTATCTTCACTCTTTTTATTGTACGGTGATTATTTATGATATTAATGCCTTGTTTTTTTCTATCTTTATCTCTAAAAGATAAAATGACAACGTAAATAGTCTTTAATTATTTATTTTTTACGGACAGGGCGACAGTAGCTCAGTTGGTAGAGCATTGGCCTTCAGGCCTGAAGGTTGTGGGTTCAATTCCCACCTCTACACCTTCTCCACCGACTCCCACTGATGACTGCTGTCGTTGTGTCCTTGGGCAAGACACTTAACCCCACTTTGCCCAAAGCCCCCACTGAAAGATCAAGGCTATGCTCACACTCAGAGAGCAGCCGTCCTCCTGTGGACTCACCACCTGCAGAGGATCAGTGAGGGGCTGGTGCTATGTGACTTGGGTGGCATCTCTGACTGCCACCCCCCCGACCCAGCAATGGATTAAAGGGTAGAAAATGGATGGATGGATGGACAAATAAAACACACTATTTATTCTCAAAGTCAGGGAGAAGCTAATTTGACATAGTATTTAAAACTCTGAATAATAAAGGACTTACATGTTGTTCTCAAAATAACGGACGTCTTCAGAATTGAGAAACGAATTTATGTCGACGATTATCTCTGCTAAGAATCTTCCAGGAAACATGACTGTGTCTTCTGAAATTCTGTGAAGAGAAGGCGAAAAGGCGGGAGAACGTATGAGAGTTTTGAAAACAAGTGGACGATTGCCACTGCAGAAGTACCTCTCCATGGTCTCCACCTCCACGGAGGAAATCCCCAGTTTGGAGCAGATCTTGCTTTGGGTTTCAGCAGAGAACTCTCCATCAGTGAGAGTTTGGAGACACGAGGCCAGCGAGGGCAGGGCCACCGGCAGCAGCTCACACAGCACAGACATGTGGTCATACCTGGATTCCAGCAACACACACACTGCTTCTGCATTTAAAGTGTATAAAGTGAATGTTATACAGTCTCCAGTATAGAGAAAATAAGTGTGTGTGTTTCTGTGTGTGTACTTGTTTTTATATCCTGATGGGTCCACAAATTTTCAGTTTCACTCACGTCGTGGGGCTTAAACCCTAGACTCCCAAGTCCACGTTTAAGGGTGTATTAAGACCAGAAAAGTCCTTTGCTCCGCTTGCTTGTTCCGAACCAAAAGCGGAGCAAACATTTTTCTTTTTCTCCGGTTCGTATTCAGACTGTGCTTTTTGCAAGTGAACTTTTTTTATAAACATATCAACGCGTGTGGCGATCGGCGCTCCTATTGGACAGCAAGAGCTCACAGAGAATAGATACGGAAATGGAGGAAAATATTGAGCTCGTACGTGCTGCATGTCTGCTCTGCCTATGTTTGCTCTTTTTAGAGCAAAAGCACCTTCAACATCAACAGCAGCTCATTCAACTAGGGATGTAAAAAACTATGAATTTTCATGACCGACCACCGAGCCTCATTAACTGGTTGAAACCGGTTAACCGCGTAGTTTAAAATAGTCCACGTTCTTTGAAATAACAGCCATTTTGAGCCGCGTACTTTTCATAAGTGCAGCTGAGCGTTCTACGGGATCAGAGCCGAGACAGCGGCACCAAACAGTAGTGATGGGTAAATGAAACCTCACGTATCGTTTCGGCACATCCAACAAACTGTGTTGATACTGTGCCGCAACAGTGTTGCTTGTGCTGCTCTATACTGACACCTGGTGGATCTGATAAATCATTGCATCCAACTCACTGATTCAATGAGCTTTACATACTTGTCTGCACACAATATTACGTAACTGCATTGTCTGTGTTATTTTATTTTATGTGAAAATTAAAGTGATAGTTGTGAATGTATTCATTAAGCAAAATGTCATTGAGTGATGTTTTTTTTTTGTTTTTTTTTTTTCAAAACAATAAGCATGTCCAAAGTGCACTGTAAACCATGGCAACTAAAGTATACTTGAAAAAAACCTTTGACATTTTCTGCACTTCAATTTCTCAAAATCATTCTTCAAGACTGTGATGTCAACATAAACCTTTGAAGTCCGACTGGGATTCGTACCCAGTTCTCTCAAACGCGAGGCGAGAGCGCTATCCACTCATCCACCATGCCTAACTAGATTTTGCTTTTCAAACTAAATCTGGATTGTAGATAAAGCGTGAAATGTGAAATACAAACATTGCCTTATTTGCTGTTATTTGCAGTATCACACTGCAGAATACTTTCTTTTAGTGGCAGGTTCCATTTTTTTATGCTGTAAAATGGGATGCTTTTCCTTTTTGAAAGGGTTATTTTCTTTTTCTGAGAGCGGTTCATACCGGTGACACTTGCAGATGCGGAACCTTTTAAACACAGTTTGCCGTGTCGGTGACAAGCGACACTGCGGCTGTATTGGTCACGTGGCTTTTTCATAAAGCGACACGCGCGCCGATACGAGGTTTCGCTAAACGAACTCGGCACATGCGCCGGTGTATCAGTGTTGCTGGACCCATCACTACCAAACAGCTTTGGCACCTGCGCATAGAAAACTGCTCTTTTAATCTTCCCATTCTTCTGTGCTGCGGCTTAAAGCATTTTAAGCAAAAGACAGCTCGTCCACATGGTCAGGGCAGCGAGTGACGAGCCGCGTCTCGCAGGTCTCCGCTAAAGTTTAAAAGTGATCAGTGTGGAGCTGATGCCAAGGACCAGCAGCACAAACATGGTCCATGTGGTTTGACTGGAGCCGTGTATTTGCAAGAATGCTTTGGGCTCCGTGACACAGAGGAGCGCGACAGACCGGTATGTGTTTGTGTACAATACATGTATGTATGTGTGTATATGTCTGTGTGTGTGTGTGTGCAATACATGTATGTATGTGTGTGTAAATATAAGCTCCAATGTAGTTCTGACCCGCACCAGTGTGCAACTAGCAGGCGGTAACAGAGAGGAGAGATGAGGCGTGTGGATGTTACGTGTCAATGGAGGGGGGGGAAATGTGTGTGTGTGTGTGTGTGCATGTACATGTGTGCGTGCATATGTGGCGCGTACGGCGTGAGAGTCGGCCCAGAGTTTACTGTTACATTGGCGCACACAGCTAGATAGGGACCCGCTCGTCACATCGTGCAAAAAGGGCTTAAAATAGTGTTATGAAGAGACCTCCCCTCTCCCCCTTTATCTGTTTTTAACCGACAGCTTTGACCGGTTAACGCTGTGACGGTGAACCACCGGTTAAACGTCACCGATTTACATCTCTACATTCGACACAGGCGAAACGCGTTGTTTCAAATTTTGGAACTGTGTCGACGAATGCGTGCTGTCGAAAGCCCAAGGAGACTCGCTACGTGCCCTGTCCGTGGATCTATAATAATAACGGCCCTGTCCCACAACTTACTGACAGCAGCATTGCGGATAAACCATGGATCTATAATAACAACGGGATAAACAGACGACGGAGGATCAGGTATGAACCAAAGAACACAATTCCCTACATGATACGGGATATTGCTTTTTGAGGCGTGAGTCAAACACGTGAGGCTTTTAATAATGCAAATGTTTTGAAGATGCTGCCATTAACATCACTGTATACTGTGAAAAGTTTTAACTCCATAAGCCTGTTGCACAGTGTTTCCTCGTTGCTCGGTCATTGTTGTTGTGTAGCATGCGTTAGCAGCTGTGACGCGTGGCTAATTCCTCACAGTTCCTGTCTACGGTGGCTTGTTAAGCCCAAAAAATGCGCACGTTTCCTGGAGTTGTGTCGGATCGACACAGGTTGTATTCAGACCTGAATCGACTTGGACCAGAGTTCGTTTGGAAGCGGACCGAGACCACCTTCTGGTTCTTTGGTCCGGACCAGGATTCGTTTGTGTGTATTCACACCTGCATAAAAGGTTTGGATCAGAGTTCCAAACGAATTCTGGTCCGTTTAAAGTGGACCAAATGTGCAGGTCTGAATACACCCTAAATATCAATGGCGAATGCTTTTCCAACGGTCAATTTCCCTGAAAAAAAGTCTGATGTGATAAAAGCCCTGGTGGTCAGTGTGTGGTACTGCAAGCAGGAAGCTCAAGCCAAAGTATGTGCAGGTGTGGCCAGGCAGCGAGTATTTTATTCGTAGGTAGGTTCTGCCACAGGGACCGATTTCAGCCAATCAGAAAGCTAGTCAAAACTGACGCGTTCAGTGCGCCAGCACATTACATTATTACAATGTTTATCTTTTATGTTTTCTTTCACCTCACATTAAAAAAAACATTTCCCATTAATTAACATTTAACAAGACACAAAGATTGAATATGCTACAGATGCACCTGCCTGTTCTTGGTTGAGCCTTCGGTTCTAAGCAGCACTTACATGTGTTCACATCGGATAATGTGTGACGAGGCAAATGTGGATATAAACATTGCACGACTCAAGAGCGGCAGCAAGTCAGAGAGCAGCAAAGTGGTCACGGGACAAAAGCCAGTGATCGAAACAGGAAAATGAAGACACTTGACAAAAACCAAAACAAGAGCTAAACCAGGACTAAATCAGGACTGACACAGTGCTTGTGGACATAATAAAGTGACATGTTACGATCGGTGAACTCAAGTGACACTATTGACTGTTGTCGCGCATGCGTACCTGTGTACAGTTGTGCACCCCTGTATAACATTAATATTTACAGTACTTGGTATAACCTCGTCTCATTCGCGGGTGTTTGTGTCTTCACATTTGGACTGTGGGTGTGACAGTTCCATTGATGACTGAAACCGTCACGGCTAAAGGTAAAATACTTATGATAATAAAGGTTTATTCATGAATGATGAATTGTAAAGGTAAAACTGTTAGCTCTTGGTTTAATGTTCACCTTCCATGCCTTACAGCTAGGGGGCTCTAGCGCTCTTTGTTTAGCGCACATGTGGGTTCTTGTATGAAGACCGTAACAGGTGGATGTATGTGGAACCTGCGTGGGGTTAACGAAAATAAATGTAACGAACTACAAGTGGAGTTTATCTTGATTTAACATGGTAGCAGAGGATGGCTTGTAACTACAGAGTTCCACCACCGTTTGAAGAGGGGAAACTCTACGAAAGCTGGAAAAATGAAGTCGGCATTTGGGCCAGAGTCACGGACTTGGAAAAGAAAAAACAAGCCCTCGCTGTTGCTTTGTCGCTGTCGGGCAGAGCACGGGAGACTGCAATGGAAATACCGGTAGACGAATTAAATGAAGACACAGGAATGAAAATTTTGCTGGATAAACTTGACAGTTTGTTCCTCAAAGAAGAAAAAGACAGGATTTACGAGGCATACACTGATTTTGACCGCATTGTTAAACATGAAAGTGTGTCCATGGCGGATTATATTATTGATTTTGAACAGCGGTATTCACGTATGCGCAAACACAAAATGGAGCTACCTGACGCAGTTTTAGCTTTTAAGCTGTTGGACACTGCGTGCTTAGATGGGACTGACAGGCAGCTGGCTTTAACAGCATGCACAGATCTTACATTCGCCTCGATGAAGTCTGCTTTGAAGAGGATATTTAGCGGTAAAATGAGAGCTGCATCAGAGGGAATCAGTCAAGAGTCTGTGTTTGCCACGGAGCAGCATCGGCGGGATAAAGGTAAAACCTGGCAACAAAGCGGCAGACCCAGAACTCCACAACCCGGTACGAACCCGTTGGACAAGTTCGGACGCCGATCAAAGTGTGCAGTGTGTCAAAGCACGTTTCATTGGGCCAGAGATTGTCCACACAAAGGTGAGAGTGTGAATATAACTGAAGATAAAGCTAAAGATAAAGCAGGCGTTGAAGAGTGTAACATTACATTGTACACCAAAGCATCGCCAACAGATGCAGAAATATTCATGACGGAATGTTTTGGCTCTGCTATAATAGACACTGCGTGCACAAGAACCGTATGTGGACAAGAGTGGTTAGACAACTACATTTGTGTGTCCGGAAAGAAAAACGTCAAGTCAATGAGAGCAACAGAAATGCAGAGTCACAGGCCCTTCAAGTTTGGGGACGGAAAAGTAGTGTACTCTGTCAAAAATGTTAAGATACCGGCCAAGATTGGTAACACAAAATGTAATATCGAGACAGAAGTTGTTCCTGTTAATATCCCTTTGCTTTTGAGTAAAACATCTTTGAAACGTGCTGGGACAGTTCTGGACATGGAAAAGGACAGTGCAGTAATGTTCAATCAACCTGTCAAACTGGATTTTACAAGCTCAGGACATTACTGTGTGAACATAGTTGATAATGAGAACAGTTGTCCTACAAGTGCTGATCAGATATTGACAACTATTGAAGAAGAAGTACTTACAAACACGAACGAAATGAACACAAGTGAGAAGATGAAAGTTTTAGAGAAACTTCATAAACAGTTTGGGCATGCGTCTGCCTACAAGCTACAGAGACTTTTGAGCAGTTCTGGCAACAAAGACACAGAATGCATTAGCCTATTACAAAAAGTAATTGGTCAATGTGAAGCCTGCCAAAAGTACTGTAAGACCAAACCCAAACCTGCCGTCGGTTTACCACTTGCGTCAACATATAATGAGACTGTGGCTGTAGATCTGCATGAGCTTCAGCCAGGAGTGTGGTACCTACATATCATTGACCAGTTCACTCGATTTAGCGCGGGGAGTGTCATTACCACAAAGAGGTCTTCTGAAATAGTCAAACATTTTATCCATGATTGGATAAGTGTTCACGGTCCACCACAAAAGTTGTTCAGTGATAATGGTGGGGAGTTTAATAATGAAGAAGTTAGAGATATGGCTGAAAACTTTAATATTGAAGTGAAGACAACACCTGCCTACAGCCCTTGGAGTAATGGACTGTTAGAGCGTCATAACCAAACCTTGACTGAAATGATCCTGAAAGTGAAAGCCAACACAGGATGCGACTGGAACATTGCTATGGACTGGGCTCTTATGGCAAAGAACTGTATGCAAAGTGTTCACGGTTACAGTCCACATCAGCTCGTGTTTGGGCAGAATCCAAACTTACCCTCTGTTCTAATTGACAGGGCACCTGCATTAGAGGGCACCACAAGAAGCGATTGGGTTGCCAAACACATTTCAGCTCTGCTCAATGCACGGAAGGCATTTACAGAAGCGGAGTGTTCAGAGCGGATACGGAGAGCACTGAAGAAACAGCTGCGTTGCAACGATGAGAAGTATGAACTTGGAGACAAGGTGTTTTACAAACGTGTGGACTGTGCAGAGTGGAAAGGGCCAGGAGTGGTCATTGGACAAGACGGTGCTGTTGTTTTTGTTCGACATGGAGGTATCTGTGTCAGAGTTCACCAACTTCGGCTGAGAAAGGTTACTCAGGACCATGTGGAACCTCTGATTAACTCTGAAATTGAACAACACAACACCTATGACATAAGTGATAATATAGAAGAAACAAATAGTGAAAACATTGACAATGACCAACTGAATGCTCCTGAAAATGCAGTGGCTGAAGGAGGTTTTGATGGAAATGTGAAGACTGGTCAAATTGTGACATTCAGAAACACAGAAAGTGAAGCCTTGCAGAAAGCAAAAGTGTTGGGACGTGCTGGTAAAGCAAAAGGAAAATACAAGAACTGGTACAACTTGGAGCTACTTGAGCCTGCTGAGAGGGCAGGTACCAGTGAAGCTGTTGATTTGTCACAATTGGATGATCTTCGGGTGCAAGATCAGACGCAAAACACAGAGCCATGTGAAGATGTTTTTATCACAAAGGATGTCTCATTTGATGAAGCTAAAATCAGTGAAATAAAAAGCTGGATACAAAAAAATGTGTGTATGGTTTAGCTGACGCTTCACTGTATTGGTATAACAGAGTAAAAGGCATAATGATTGAAGCCGGAGCCGTCATATCTAAAGTAGACCCTGCAGTTTTCTACTGGTTAGATAAGGAAAAAAATGTAACTGGTATACTAGCAGGTCATGTGGATGATTTCATTTGGGCGGGTACAAAAATGTTCTCTATGAACGTCATACCTCAAATAAGATCCAAATTCAATGTAGGTCGTGAAGCTCAGGATAGCTTCTCTTATGTGGGTGTTGATTTTGTTACTTTAGGCAAAAAAGTCCAAATTCAACAAGAGAAATATATTCAGCATTTACAGCCCATCCCTCTTGCTCCTTCACGGGCTGCCGAGCCAAGCTCATTGCTCACAGAAACTGAGAGAGACCTTCTAAGATCTAAGATAGGGCAACTGTTGTGGGTTGCCAGACAAAGCAGACCTGATGTTATGTTTGATGCAAGTAACTTAGCATCAAATCTCAAGCAGGCTACTATACAAACCATCAATGAAGCAAACAGAGTTGTGTGCAAACTTAAAGCCAAATCAGTCGAGTTGAATTTCCAGCACCTTGGTAAAGACAGTAGCTTAAAGATTGTTACTTTCACTGACGCTTCTTTCGCTAACCTATCAGATGGGGGTACTCAAGGTGGGCACCTTATTGTTTTAATGGGTGACAATGGACACTTCTCTCCAATATCATGGCAGTCAAAGAGGATCAGGAGAGTTGTCAGAAGTACACTTGCAGGTGAAACGCTAGCAATGTCTGAGGGAGTTGACAATGCCATTTTTCTTTCTACATTGTTTTCTGAGCTGAGTGCAGGTTGTACAGATCACAGTGTGCCAATAATCTGTGTTACTGATAACTTTTCTCTTGTTGATGCACTGAAGTCTACAAAGTTTGTGACTGAAAAGAGACTACGCTTGGAAATTAGTTCTATAAAAGAACTGATCCAAAACAAAATGGTTCAACAGGTGGTGTGGTCAGAAACCAAAGACCAACTTGCAGACTGCCTAACAAAAAAGGGTGCCTCTTCAGCTAGGCTGCTAAAGGCTCTTCATGAAGGACAGTGGGCTGTTGGGTGACCATCTGAATGTTATAAAACGATTCTGTTAATAATGTTTACATGTCCATGTTGTGTTAAAAAAAAAGGTTTTATTTTTTTTATTTTTTATAAAGAGAGTGAGTTTGTTAGCTCTTGGTTTAATGTTCACCTTCCATGCCTTACAGCTAGGGGGCTCTAGCGCTCTTTGTTTAGCGCACATGTGGGTTCTTGTATGAAGACCGTAACAGGTGGATGTATGTGGAACCTGCGTGGGGTTAACGAAAATAAATGTAACGAACTACAAGTGGAGTTTATCTTGATTTAACAAAACAGTCTATGGGTAAGGAAGACCGCGGGATTTTGGCCTAATGTCGAATGCTAATGTGCAGCTTCATTTTTAGATTTATTTCTGACTTATTGTAAAATTTCAAAGTTTGAAACTATATAAATGCTTGATAAAAATAACATATAAAATAGGTCTTACAAGGGCCAAGAATATATATAAAAAACAACATTGCATGAAGAAGAACAAATAATACATTAACATTGAATGTATACATATGTGTGGGATATAGTATAACTAATTTAATGTGAAATCGCCATTAACATATGTCCATGTTTTTAGGAAAAATGAACACATTCAACATTGTCTGATATTATCATTGTAAACTATGTATACATGGTACATGTAATACAGTAGGTACATTTTGCATGTAAATCAATAAATGTTTTATTACACTTTGGACTAGCTTTCTGATTGGCTGAAATCGGTCCCTGTGGCAGAACCTACCTACAAATAAAATACTCGCGGCCAGGCAGGCTGCAGGGAATCAGGGACTTCAGAAGGTTTCAGTTTCATTTTCTATTTATATATTTATGACGTTCCTAACAATTCTGACAATTTCAGGCATTTGGAAAATAAAGTCTGAAACAAGAATAGGCTGCTAATATAGCTTTATATGACATGTATATGAGACGGGGGCTTTACTAATACAATGTTCGAACACTTAGCTTGCACACCTCCATTAATTGATTGATCATGTGGTTGTTGTAACCAGATGTGTGACCATGTGCGTCTTTCGGGCTTTGGATTCTATCAATAAACGGAGACCTCGGTGTCGGGGGAATCTCCAATTACAATTATCCACTTTATGTCTCTGTCATCTCTCTCCGTTTGCTCCATTTGAATAATACTCTTCTAAAGCAAAGTCTTGATGAATAGACAAAAAGACAGGTTTGCTGAGGGCCTCCTCTTCATATAGTTTAGTATCTCTCTTTTCAAATGTTTTCAAGTAATTACTAAATTCATTTGCAATTTCATTGGGATGGACAATCACAATTCAATGTTTTGTTTTAAAAGTGAGCGGTGTGTGTGTGAGTCTGTGCGTGCGTGCGTGTGTGTGTATCTGTGTGTGTGTCCCAGTCAGTCGGTCCCTTCTTTGGTTTGCTCTGGTGACATTACCTCTGCCAGCCGGTGAGTGCGATTCCCTGGAGCCTGGTGGTGGGGGACAGGGCGGCTGCGACTCTGAGCCAGCCCAGAGTGTTGTCCACGTGTCTCTGGGACGAGGGGACGCAGACGTGGACGCCACTGGAGCCTTTGAAAGACCCAGCCGCCCACACCTCTGCCATGCCGGCCGCCCCGTACTTCTGCAGCAGAGACACTGGAAAAACAAACGCACACGTCTCAAAGATAATAGTCTACATAAAAAAACAAGACAACTTTATTGGTCAGTTTTATTCACTCGCCGTCTGGAATTTTACACGTTCAGAAAAGTAAAAGTGTAGAAATAGACGGTACCTGTTTTGTTCACATCTAAATCCGGTGTGTAGTCCCACAGCATCGGCTGCACCAGTCCCACCAGACCACTGTCTGTGGGAGGACATCATAGAGTCACAACAAGCAGACGTCATAGAGTCACAACAAGCAAACGTCATAGAGTCACAACAAGCAGACAGTCACAACAAGCAGACGTCAAAGAGTCACATCAAGCAGACGTCATAGAGTCACAACAAGCAAACGTCATAGAGTCACAACAAGCTGACATCATAGAGTCACAACAAGCTGACGTCATAGAGTCACAACAAGCAGACGTCAAAGAGTCACATCAAGCAGACATCATAGAGTCACAACAAACAAACGTCATAGAGTCACAACAAGCAGACATCATAGAGTCACAACAAGCAGACATCATAGAGTCACAAAAATCAGATGTCATAGAGTCACAAAAAGCAGACATTATAGAGTCACAACAAGCAGACATCATAGAGTCACAACAAGCAGACGTCATGGAGGAACTGATGTAAACTCAGAGAAAACCCAAAAGTGAAACAAATAATCATTTAATTAAATATTGCAATACTTTGCTCTACTGCAGGGGTCTCCAACCTTTTTCCTCCTTTACCTTTTTTTTCGGACAGCTACTTTTATACAACAGAAGAGGCAGAGATCTATTCCTTTTTGCAGTCATCATAAAAATCTATGCAATAATGACAAAAGAGAGCACATATAGAGAGCATATGTAAAATAGACCTATATTCATACTTATAATATGCAATGACTCAAAATGTATTCCTTCAAGATCGATGTATTCAATTCTTTATCCTTTAAGGAGTTACCAGAAAGGGGCTGCCGAGCTACAGTACTGGTAGCTCTCGAGCTACAGGTTGGAGATCTCTGCTTTACTGTATTGATTAAATTGTGTACATAAAAATATCACAATACTGAACAGAATAATTTCTTTTCCTGCACAACTAGTTACACAGACGGCTGAGAAGGACCCACTTTAGCAAAGGGGTGATGTGCTCTGAGCATGTATGTGGCGGCCTCACCTCTGAGCGTGTCCTGGCTCATGTCTCTCATCATGTCGTCCCACATGAGGATGGTGAGGTGGGGCCACGAGGTCTTCACGGCTCGGGCCACTGCGGTCACATGTCTGAGGAAGAGCTGTTCCAGGCTGCGGCCGGGAGCCTCCTGCAGCCACCTCTGGGACTCCACCCCCTCTCCCAGCAAGTACACCTGCCATGCACCCAGAGGAGGCGCAACATGACGGAAGATCCAGGCAGTTCTGAAGGCATGGCACTAATGTCTATTATCAAGGTGAGTTGGACAGTCAAGCTGACAGGGGCCGTAATAACTTACTTTTGAATGCAAAGTCGCTCTGATTACATTTTATTTTAAAGCGCCTTTCAAAACACACTGTACAGTACATAATAAGAACATTGAAAACAGGTGCAACAGAATTAAACAGTAGTGCATTATGGGATGGTGGGTGCGTGTGTGTTAGGTGGGGTAGGACAGTCTGAACAGATTGGTTTTGAGTCTGGATTTGTAGAGTGGAAGAGAGTCAATGGTACGGAGGTCAGGGGGGAGAGAGTTCCATAGCTGGGGGGCAGAGTGGCTGAAGGTTCTGTGTCCCAGGGTGATGGGTCTGGCTGGGGGGACGGAGCGTGTGAGAGTGGCGGAGGAGCGGAGATGTTGTTTTGTGTTTTACAATCTGAGATGTTCCTGCAGTACAGTATTCATGGTTTTGCACTGGTCCAGACCGGACCAGAGAGGTTCATGATTTTACACTGGTCCAGACCAGAGCAGAGAGGATTCATGGTTTTACACTGGTCCAGACCAGAGCAGAGAGGATTCAAGGTCCAAACCAAGCGGATCAGGCAAAATACACTGGAGGAATGCTAACTTTCCGAAAAATGCTAATGAAGTATTCAGCCTTTTACTTTGGACCAGAGCAGAGAAAATGGTCAGAACCAAGCGGCTCCACCTCTGCTGCTGGTGCATTTTATTATTACTATTGTTAGCTTTTCAGAATGATCAATCTTCATTCTGTTATTGTGGATGGATGTGTTTTTGCTGCTACTGGACACCTGCATTTCTCCTACAGGGATCAATAAAGTATCTATCTGTCTATCTATCTATTTATCTGTAAGGGATTTTACTACAATGAGTCAATATAAATCAGTATTCTAAAGTGATTACTCCTATATTAAGTTCTTCTAGTAATCCTACATAGTTGAACTAAAGTTAGACGGGACAAATAGAGCTGGTTATGTAGAGACTAGATCTTGGCTACTAAACCCTAGAAAAGAGGTATTAGGACTAGAGCCGCACGTAAACTGCTTTCAGGACCTACACACATGGACATTCATCTTCAATAAGGAAAAAATAAATGCATCAGTATAGCGTTGCATTTATCTACTTTTTTACTGAGCTGAATTGAAAGTTCCCTGTATATACTGTAGATAAGGGTCGTATGTAGGGTTGCAAACATTTCTGGGAATTGTCAAAGATGAAATGGGAATGAATGGGAATTTAGGGGAATAAACTAGAAATGTTCAAAACTGAAGGTTGGTTTTTCATAGGGAACTTTATTATAGCAGAGGAAAGTATATTTCAGCAGAATTTGGACTAAAACAAACAGATGCCATTCTGATACACTTGAATATCCAGGTCATTCCTCCATCACCTGCATAGAGCACACTGCTACTGAGACCACGCCCCCTACTGGCACTGTGTCTCCATCACATGTACAGAAGATATGTGGAATATTGGAGACACTTTTGAGCCCAAAGCACAAGGCTATTAAAGTGAACTAAACACAGTATTGATGATATTATAGAGAAATATTTGATTAAATGTAAAAATCTATATGCAATATTTCCCAAATTCTCCAGCTTAACTTCCCAAGGAACTTTACTGGTTCCGTAAATTCACTATACATTTTCAACCCTGATCGTATGTTGTGGTAAGTATCGAGATATGGATTTTAACGGCAGGTCTGAAAGAAACTCAAACATAAAGGTTTCGGATTCTTTTGTGTGTGTACCTCGTCTGCTCCGATGTGCAGCGTGCTCAGGCCTGGGTGTCTCTGGATGACCTGCTGGAGCATGTGCATCAGCAGCTGTAGGGGGCGCTCTCCGTGTGGGCTCAGGGTGCCCAGGCACTGATCCACCTCCCGCAAGCTCCGGAGACTCTCGTGCTTCAGGACAAACTGCAGCAGATAGGGAGAAAGGGAGACAGAGAGAGGGAGACAGAGAGAGAGAGAGAGAGAAATAGAGAGATAGATAGGGAGAGAAAGAGAGAGAAAAAGAGAGAGAAAAAGAGAGATAGAGAAATAGAGAGAGAGAGAGATAGGGAGATAGAGATTGGGAGATACAGAGAGAGAAATAGGGAGAGAGAGATTGTGAGAAAGAAATAGGGAGATAGATAGAGAGATAGAAAGATAGAGAGAGAGAGATCGGTAGATAGATAGAAAGAAATAGGGAGATACAGAGAGAGAGAGAGAGAGAAATAGGGAGAGAGAGATCGGGAGAAGCTGTGAGAAAATGTGAGACAGGCTTCTTCTCTGACAATGTTCAAATCCCGGTTAAAAACATTTCTCTTCATCTGTGCAAAAAACTGATTTTATCTTTACTTTTTCAAGCTATGTACTTATTCTAATCTTGTGTGTTTGTGTGATTGCCTCCATCTTGTTTAGTTCAGCACTTGGAGTTGCCGTGTTTATCAAATCTTTGCTATACAAATAAACTTGCTGTGCACAACCAAGGGCAAATGTTACACCATTTTGAAGTGTTTAATAACAGCAGAAATGATTAAAGGATCTATTTTTTTTATTTTTTTTACCATTTCATTTCAGAAGTTTTCTTTTACACATTACAAAAGGGAAGAAAAAAGGATTTATCCTAATCTGTTATTTCAATGTCATTTGTAAAGTAGGTGGAGTCATGTGATCACCTCCATGTGTCCGAAGGTCTGGATGAGTGGGATGACCTCCAGGCCCTGAGCTCTGGCTGCTTCCTGGATCCGCATCACCTCCTCCCCACTGTCGGATTCAACAAGTTTGAGTGAATATTAGGAACAAAAGATCCCTTACTGTATTAAAAAACAAGCAAACATTTAATTCGGCAGAACAGGATGCACCGTGTAATATGCTATTTACCAAAACATAAATAGAATTTGGTTAAAGCTGTAAAAAAATTTATATCTTGGTTTATCTAAGGGAATAAGCAGTTACAGTTGTATGCAAAAGTTTGGGCACCCCTCTCAATTTTCATGAGTTTCCTTTATAAATCATTGGTTGTTTGGGTGAGAAATTTCAGTTTAATATATATATAATAATAATAATAATAATCATAATAATAATATTAAATATAAGAGTGATAAAAATCCAGTGATATTTGAGAAGTGAAATAAAGTTTGTATCATTCATAAAAAGGCACCAAAAAAGAAATAATAAACTCAATTTTTTGTACGTCCTCCTTTTGCACAAGTAGCAGTATAACAATGAGACTCTAGATTCGGGCGGAGGGTATTTTGGGCCCTTCTCCTTTGCATCATCTCTAGTAAGTGAGTCATGTTTATCTATATAGCACATTTTACACACCATGGTCACCCAAAGCGCTTTACACTATGTTTTTAGTGGTAGGGGAAACCGGAGCACCCAGAGGAAACCTATGCTGACACAATACAATACAATACAATTTATTCTTGTATAGCCCTAGGTCACAACAGAAGTCATCTCAGAGGACTTAACAAAACCATTGAAATCACCAACACAGGTCAGAGAATCAACAGTTAAAACACATGAAGAATATAAAGCACACACAGAAGAAAATGTCCATACATGTTGTAGAATGCTAAAGTGTCCTGATCATCACCAATCCTTTCTGTTGGACACTAACTGTCCAACAAGACCCTCCTGCATCGACAAGGAAAAACTCTTAAAAAACCCAGTGGGAAAAAGTGAGAAACCTTGGAGGAGAACTAGGGAAACCCACAGGGAGGGAGACCCATATGAGAAAGGGATCCGCTCCTCCGGACGGACAGGCTAATGATCTAGGACCTAAGCTAGCTACAGAACGTGGACCAGTGGACGCTGAACGTGGACAGGTCCGGTGCAGGACTGAAGCACTCCCAGGCGGGTCAGGCGGGGCAGTCCGCAAGTGTAGATGGAGGAGGCCAGGCTCAGAGATCCCGTCATCGTACCATGAAACAGACAATGGGACAACGGGTGAATAGCAATGAACAAACTACAGTCAGAATCCTAAAAATGCTAAACAGATAAAGGAGGAGAGGATAGTGCTCAAGTTACCATACTTCTCCCAGCAAACTGACTCCCTATGCAGCTTGACTAACACTCTGAGGAGTTTAACCTTCTCCGAGTCTTACCTTCCTAGCCATATGCTAAACTAAAGAGGACTGTTTTAAACCTAGCCTTGAATAAAGAATAACATACAGCATAATATATAACATAATATACAACATAACACAATACATTCTTGAATAATATATAACATAATATATAACATAATACAGCATATATATATAATATATACACTACATATTATATATTACCTAATTATATGCTAAATTAAAGTAAAATGCTTTAAGCCTGGCCTTGAATGTGGAGACCGTATCTGCTTCCTTAACATAAATGGGAAGCTGATTCCACAGTAAAGGAGCTTGGTAGCTAAATGCTCTGCCACCAACAGTGACCTTTGAGACCTTAGGGACCACCAGACGTCTGGCGTTTTGTGAGCGCAACGCTCGACCTGGTTGATACGACACTAACGTGTCTTGGAGATAAGAAGGAGCCAAGCCATTTATGGCTTTATATGTTAAGAGTAGGATTTTAAACTTTATTCTGTACTCCACAGGGAGCCAGTGGAGTGATTTTAACACCGGAGTTATGTGCTCCCTCCTTTTGGTACCTGTTAAGATCCTAGCTGCTGTATTCTGAACGAGCTGGAAGCTCTTCAAAGAGGCTTTAGGGCATGCTGCCAGTAAAGCGTTACAGTAGTCGAGCCTTGAGGTGACAAACGCGTGAATGAGTTTTTCCGCGTCACTTTTAGGAAGGAAATTCCTAATTTTAGCGATGTTCCGTAAGTGGAAGTACGCCGTTTTAGTTGCTTGGCTTATATAAGCCTTGAAGGAGAGTTCTTGGTCAAAAATGACTCCAAGATTCCTCACAGTGTTACTGGGTATTATACTGACATTATCGAGAGTAACCATCTGGTTAGTGAGGGAGTCACGCAGGCGCTTCGGACCGAGTAGGATCACTTCTGTCTTCTCCGGGTTGAGAAGTAGGAAGTTAAGAGTCATCCACATTTTAAGGTCCTTTATGCAGGCACTGAGCTTTTCTAGCTGATCTGTCTGATTAGGCTTCATCGACAGATAAAGCTGTGTGTCATCTGCATAGCAGTGGAAATTAATTCCATGCTTTTTAATAATGTTTCCCAGTGGCAGCATGTAGAGAGTAAAAAGAATCGGTCCGAGTACCGAACCCTGCGGCACACCGAATTCCACTCCAGAATAAGGCGACGAGTCCTGATTCACATTGACGAAGTGATATCGATCTGATAAATAGGATTTAAACCAGCCAAGGGCTGTTCCTCTAAGACCTATATCACATTCTAGCCTCTGCAGTAGAATGCTGTGGTCTATTGTGTCAAATGCAGCACTAAGGTCCAGTAGGACCAGCACTGTCACTTGTCCATTATCGGCAGCTAGTAGTAAGTCATTTGTGACTTTGACTAGTGCCGTTTCAGTGCTATGATGAGCTCTGAATCCTGATTGAAAGACTTCAAACATATCATTTTCCTGCAGGTGGCAGCGGAGCTGCTCAGCTATAAGTTTTTCCAGGATTTTAGATATAAAAGTGAGGTTTGAGATCGGTCTGTAGTTTGTAAGTATTTCTGGGTCCAGGTTTGTTTTCTTCAGAAGGGGTTTGATTACCGCGGTTTTAAAAGCTTGTGGGACATAGCCACATTGTATGGATGCGTTTATTATATTTACGATAGGCTCAATTATCAAAGGAAGTATGTTTTTGAAGAGCCATGTCGGGACTGCGTCTAACATGCAAGTTGAGGCTTTTGAGGATGTGACCACAGAGATCACCTCTGCTTGGCTCACAGCCATGAATTTATCGAGGCCCACTGAAGAGTCTAAGTGGGAAGTCACGTATGCCGCTTCAACCTGTCCACCACTAACAGCAGGAGCAACCTCCTCCAGCTTGTCACGGATGGATGTAATTTTATTATTAAAGAAGTGGAGAAAGTCGACACTGCTCAGTGAGCTTGGAATTTTAGGCTCGATTGCGCTATGGCAGTTTGTGAGTTTAGCGACGGTACCAAACAAAAATCTACTGTTGTTTTTATTCGCTTCTATTAAAGTTGAATAGTATTGAGTTCGAGCCCCGCGAAGGGCCTTCTTGTAGTTTCGGAGACCTGCTTTCCACTCCCTGTGGACAGGCTCCGAGTGGGAGTGGCGATATAGCCTCTCCAATTTTCTGACGTCCTGTTTTAAAGTGTGGAGTTGAACACTGTACCAGGGCGACGATGATCTAATCCTAATGGTTTTCTGTTTTAAAGGAGCTGCTGCATTTAATGCAGATTTTAAAGACTCCATAGTGTTGCCCACCGTTTGGTCAATGACTGAGGGACTGCAGCTGCTGTGAACAGGTTCACCTGCAGCAGTATTCAACATAGGCTGTATTAGTTCTTTGAACCTTGTGATAGATTTATCATTTAAGGTTCTTTTCATTATGGTTTTATCTTGCGGGACAGGAAAGTCCTCCAAAGCGAGATCAAACGTGATCAAGAAATGGTCAGACAGCAACGAGCTTTGACGCTGGATGTCAACATTGGAGACATCACAGCCGTAGGTCAGGACAAGGTCCAAGGTGTGGTTATGAATGTGAGTAGGTTCCTCGACATTCTGAGTAAAACCAACACCATCTAGTACGGCGCTGAAAGCTTTGTTTAAGCTGTCAGTGCTGTCGTCCACATGTATATTGAAGTCTCCAGCTATAACTATGTTTTCCCATTCCAAAACTAGGTTTGAAATGAAGTCAGAGAATTCTGTTAGGAACTCGCTGTAAGGACCAGGAGGTCGGTATAAAACTATAAATAGTACTGCTTTTTGTTTTCTCCACCCAGGACAGGTGATTGAAAGTGTTAAGTTTTCAAACGAGTGAAAAGCGTTGTTGGTTTTGGGACTAAGAACCAAGTTGGTGTGTGATATAATCGCAACACCACCGCCGCGACCTGTAGCTCTGGCTTTCTGGTAGGACACAGGGAGAACATGCACACACAGAGCCATAGGTCCATAGGGAGCAGGATGACCGATGTTCGTAAATCTTTATTGTATATGCGATATGTGGTAGAACAGGTTTACTATAGCCGCAGCCCTGTATGCTAGTCGTTTTGGAGGGAGTAGCAGGAACGCCCACCTGTACGCAGAGTGTGTGGAGGCCTGCAGCACCTTCAGCTCTCCCTCATACGGGAACATGTCTTCATACTCCACCAGCAACCCATCCGCTCCCAGCTTCGCAAACAGCTCAATCAACTGGCAAAAAAACAATACACAATTTTCTCAAGAGCACAAACAGGGAAGAGGAGATCTGCACCAACCGATAGACCAGGGGTGGGCAGGTATTTTTCCCTGCCCACCCCTGGTCTATATGTAAGTCAGTAAGTAAGTAGGTAATGTATATTTATATAGCGCATTTTACAGACCAAGGTCACCCAAAGCGCTTTACAATGTTCAGAGTTCAGATATTGTTCCAATCATTCCACACACGGTGATGACGGAAGCGAGTCGCCGAACACACTGGCGCTTCAGCCCCCAATCAGCACCATCCATTCACTCCTCTCTCATTTACATTCATACCTATTGCACATGTTTTTAGTGGTAGGGGAAACCGGAGCACCCGGAGGAAACCGGAGCAGACACGGGGAGAACATGCAAACTCCACTCAGAAAGGCCTTGTTCCGACCGGGATATGTTGGATTTACCATTGGATATCTTCAGGTATATAAATAGGTTTGGGTAAAGTGTTGGTTTGTAAGTAAGTAAGTAAGTAATCTTTATTTATATACCGCCTTTCACAGACCAGAGTCACGAAGCGGTTTACAATTGTTATTTTTTGGGCCTTTGTCCTCTCACTCCACACAGAGATGGGAGCGGGGTTGTGATGGTTTGTGATTTTATTGTATTTTCATTAGTATGAGTTATTGTCATTTATCTTGTGCTGTGTGCTCCTCATTCCTCCTCTTCTGTAACTTGTGATGCAACACTGAAATATCCCAACTGTGGGCCAAATATCTTCATCTTAAAGCTATTTTTTTTGCAGCTGCAGCTATATCATTGTTTTAACCCAGTTATTCTTAACCACTTGGCGAGATGAAGCGACATCTGAACTGGTCTTTCAAAAAGCAGAAGTCACTGGTTTTCAGGTATGTAATTTGTTATGAGTTCAATTTATTCACAGAAAAGATAAGAGGGGAAATTTCAGTGTAGAAATAGAGATTTACCTGGAGTAGATATTCTATTTTTGGAGGTGCACCTTTCAGATCTAGATGCACAAGCTTCTTCCCAGCTGACCACGGTGATGCCATTCTGCAGGAGAGCTCGTAATACGCATAGACTGTGTAATAAGACAAATTACAACACAAATAAGACTAAATTCGAGTGGACATCTCTCCTGCAGTCACGTTTCAAGATCGTACTATAATCCCAGCCCACTATGTAAACACCTTCATGTTAAACATCTGCGAAATAACTCGGGAAACTAGCAAAAACGTGGAAGCTGCTGTTGTTTACATTGGACCTCCGGGAGTCTGACAAAAAACCAATCACAGTATCGCTTCCTGTTAGGACCGACCAATCAGAGATGGGTGTGGGTAAACCAGGAAGTGAAGCAGGTTGCGAGTCCGAATCATGTGAAAAGCCCAAACTTTGGCGAATGGCGTGGTTTTTCGGCGCTTTTGAGGGAGTTTAGCAGTCGTCATGGCCCAGATACGGATGAGGAGCGCGAAGGGCCCCAATGCCAGTGAAATAGAGAAGAAAATAAAGCGGTGAGTACGGGTTGGATGGTGAAATATGCTATGGCTACAACACAGGCGTGATACTGAATGAATGGCAATAACAAAGAAACAACACTTGGATAGGACATTTCTGTGTTTATTTTAGATGTTTTATGTGGTTTATGACATTTGAATTATTGAAACTTCTAAAAATTACATAAACATTTAAAATAAATTATAGATTCACTCTATAATTAGAGTGAACTATAATTCACTCTAGTAACTTTATCTTGCACTTAGTTCCAACTCGATATCGAGTTTTCACCTTTTTCACTTGGTGGTCCTTTTGGGGATCATAGTTTTACTTATGGTCTCGTTTAAAATAGAATAAATACATCCACACATATATATGAGAGAGGATATATATATATTTATAGAGAGAGAGAGGATACATATGTATCTGGAGAAACAGATGGGGTGTTTCTGGCAAATGGAAATCCTCCGATAAAAAAGAGGGATTCTCCAACCACAAGTATTCCATTATTTTCTTTTTGTGAGCTATTTGTATCGTCCAGGTTATCAGTTTCACTGTTGACCCTCACTGTTGCATGATAAGGTGGCATCATCTTCATGTTGAAGGAAATCTGGCTTTTCTTGATATGTCCAACTTTTTCGAAGGTTGGTGTGAACATATGTCCTCCTCTTTTTATGTTTGCAATCACACATTCCAATATCAAATGCCACTCTTACTCGTCTAAACATGATTTGGCTATGTTTTTCTCAAGTTAACACCGAAAAGTACATGTTTCTGGATGAGTATCCGTGGCCATTGAATTGTTGTGGGTACACAGACACTGCCTTGTCTTGTAGAGCTTTGCTCTGTAACTTCACACAAGGCCCTTTTCTACTAATGCCTTCATTGAAGTATCTTTTAAAAGGGGTGGTGGTGGATGCGCTCGGGCAATGCCAGTGACAGTGGTTATTGCTCTTGTATGGAAACCTGGTCCAAAAACACACAGGCTCACACGCACACCCAGTACTTCTTTATGTTAAATACAGTTTATTGATGTTGTTAATATGGACGTGTGTCTTGTCTATGCCCACAGCGGTAATGCCCTGAGGCAAAGCTCCTCCTGGCTCAGCACCAGAGTAGTCCTGGCCCTGCTGCTGGCCTCTGCGGGTGTGTGTGGAAGCTTCATGTGGCTGTACCTGTCCTCCCTAGACCCAGAGATCACTGAGACGCTGGCCAGACAGAGTGAGCTGCTGTCGCCAGAGCCACGAGTGTTCCCTGTGCCCTGTTCCCAAGACTACGAGCAGCACAAGCGCTTCCCAGGTGAGAGGGGCAGGGAATGGGCAGGAGAGGTGGGAATGGTCAGGAGGGGAGAGAATGGGCAGGAGGGGTGGGAATGGGCAGGAGGGGTAGGAATGGACAGGAGGGGTAGGAATGGACAGGAGGGGTGGGAATGGACAGGAGGGGTGGGAATGGACAGGAGGGGTGGGAATGGGCAGGAGGGGTGGGAATGGGCAGGAGGGGTGGGAATGGGCAGGAGGGGTGGGAATGGACAGGAGGGGTGGGAATGGACAGGAGGGGTAGGAATGGTCAGGAGGGGTAGGAATGGACAGGAGGGGTGGGAATGGACAGGAGGGGTGGGAATGGACAAAAATGTGACAATTCATGAGTATTGCAATATTTTAATTTAATTCTGCAAAATATTGCAATACTGAACAGAATTGATTTTTTCCCCCACCACGAATTGGCAGTTTATGGCAATAAAGCTGGGGTATCTAGCCTTATTTTTTGTTTCACAAGTAAATATTTTGTCTGTCTCAACAGAAAGAGTCTTGTTTAATTCAATTATTTTATTTTTGTATAGCCCTAAATCACAACAGCAGTTATCTCTGATGACTTTACATTGATGATGCTGATCAGAGAATTAAACAGTTTAAACACAGGAAATGCAACAATAGAAAACACATATGGGCATAAATGTTAATGGGTGTCCATAAGTAAGTAATGTTAATGTTAAGATGCCCCGCCCACTCACATGTGACTGTTGTGTTCTGCAGGTTGCACCATTCAGCAGTGCGCCCGTGCGGTGACAGACGCCGTGGTCACCAGAGAGGAGGCCCACGTGCTGCGCAGGTAAGGACCGGTACTGAAGGACCGGTACTGAAGGACCGGTACTGAAGGACCGATGCTGAAGGACCGATGCTGAAGGACCGATGCTGAAGGACCGGTGCTGAAGGACCAGTGGTGCTGAAGGACCAGTGGTGCTGAAGGACCGGTGGTGCTGAAGGACCGGTAGTACTGAAGGACCGGTAGTACTGAAGGACTGGTAGTACCGAAGGACTGGTAGTACTGAAGGACCGGTAGTACTGAAGGACTGGTAGTACTGAAGGACTGGTAGTACTGAAGGACCGGTGCTGAAGGACCGGTAGTACTGAAGGACCGGTAGTACTGAAGGACCGGTAGTACTGAAGGACCGGTAGTACTGAAGGACTGGTAGTACTGAAGGACTGGTAGTACTGAAGGACTGGTAGTACTGAAGGACCGGTGCTGAAGGACCGGTAGTACTGAAGGACCGGTAGTACTGAAGGACCGGTAGTACTGAAGGACCGGTAGTACTGAAGGACCGGTAGTACTGAAGGACCGGTAGTACTGAAGGACCGGTAGTACTGAAGGACCGGTAGTACTGAAGGACCGGTAGTACTGAAGGACCGGTAGTACTGAAGGACTGGTAGTACTGAAGGACCGGTGCTGAAGGTTTGTGTGTGTGTGCGTTACAGGCTGGCGGAGCGGGGACTGTCGTTGGCGGGCTCGGAGGGAGGAGTGAGTTTTCATCCATGGCTTATGTTTTCAGTGTCGTCAGGTTTAGAGCTTTTTGAAAACTTGAAACAAAAGCCTTGTTCCAACTGTGGAAAACTTTCAACCATAAAGGTCCCACATTACGCTTTTGTGCTATTTGGCCTTCATGCACAGGCCCAGAGTAGTTCCGTATTTGATTCCCTCAAGTTTTAGTTAGAGAGCGATCTCTTTCATTCTCCAGAGGAAGCAAAACGCCTCGTTTCACTCCTCCGGGAGGTGATGGACTGAAGAAAGAAGCCAAAACAGCGAATCAGCGCGCATGGAAAAGAGCACAGATCCAAGCCTTTCAATAGAGGCAACATCACTTCTATGCAAGAAATGGCAATAATTTCTAAGTTTTGAGTGTTGTATGTATTAAGTGCTCAGGATGGACTGTGAAAAATGAAGAAAAGCCAAACATAGGACCTTTAAACCCTGGGTCTCATTTACACCGAGCAGCGCTGGGGGAATCTAACCCTCTCTCTGACCTCTTCTTTAATTGTTATTTGTTGAGAGGTCTTTGTTTAAGATGAGATCCTTTATTCTTCCCACAGTGGAGACATTTGGTGCAGCATCACCAGTTACAAAGTTAAATCAACAATAAGTCTTTACTCAAATAAAATAAAATCTTTAACTTTAGCATAATAAAGAAGCAAGAATAAAATCTCTAACTTTAGCATCGCTGCCTCTGGTGGTTGGAAGACGGTGTTAAACGGCATGTTATGTGCTGGATGTGTGTCCTTCACAGGCTTCCATACTCGACCTGCACTCCGGAGCTCTGTCCATGGGAAAGCAGTTTGTCAATATCTACAGGTGAGGAGTTCCTTGGGACAGGATGTAATGTTTTCATTTGTAAATTCACCTTTATTGTGTGTTCCCATATAACGGTTATAAACAGTTATTCTTCATTAAAAAGAAAATGGACATGAATCGATAAAGTGTCAAATGCAAAGTAATGCCTTAAAAAATGTAAACTTGCACATGAATCCAAGGCAGGCAAGTCTAAACTAAGGCCCGACTCCACCGGCTGCGTAAAACGTACTACCTATCCGTCCAAACGTGTCCGTTTCATCTCCGTTTCCGTTTTCTCCATGAGGGTGAATGTAAGTGGCTCCACTGCCCGCGACATGTGCGTCCACGCAGGGTGCAACGGACGTGGACTGACGAAATAGAGACCTATTTTTTACGTACGTTTTCCATTGGAAATACAAATGAAAAATATATTTACTACATTATTATACATGAAATTATATATACTGTAGTCCTTGGTTATAAGTGTTTGACAATGATTTTTGACAAATGTGTGTAATTTTTTATTTATTAAATTGAAATAATTTTTCCTGACCGTAAATCTGTCGTTTATTTTTTGCGTAATGTCACTATTGACTCGCTTTCAAAAAAAGCCTGGATATGTTGGAGTTCTTTTCTCTCTCCATCCCTTTTTAACAATTACTTAGTTTCGTGGCTATGAGCTATGCAAAGCACGACACTATTGGATAGCAGCTCCTCCATCTCTTCTGGATACAGCTGGACTCCTGCCACAAGGTGGTGGTAAGAACCAAACTCAGGCCTGTGTTGGTTCAAGGGATGAACCCACATGGATTGTCTTCTCCTTCGAGTGGCTGCAGCAGCCGGTGTGGCCACTATTCCGTTTTACACACGTTTGGCGCGCAGCAGCCAATGCGCGTAGACAGAGACGCAGCCGGTGGAGTCCAGCACTAAGGCCTGTGGGCTTATTGCCTCTCTCTGTCATTATTTGTGACCCTCTGCCTTGCTAACCCTAACATTGTCATTCAGCCAACTTCAGCTGTGTCACAGCTCCTTTTAAAACTTAGAACAGCCTGAATCCAGTCTAAACAGTTTTTCAATCTGGATTGTTGGCCCCTGGAAAAGCCTGGTTGTCTAAAGTGGCCCACACATGGTTTCTAAACTTATTTTGATCTTGACATAATAAGAGTTGGGAATCTCTTGGTCCCTCCTGTCGTTTATTCATGCGCACCATTTGGGGTTTGATAATGCCAAAAGATGACTAAATGTGTCCGTTGCATTGCTTGCAGGTATTTTGGGGAACAACTAGACGAGGTGTTCACGGAGGAGGATTTCCGGCTTTACAGGTGAGTGAAGTGTGATCGATGACGCTAAAAGTAACTAACAAATGTAATAAAGTGCCCCAGCAGCAGAGACGGTGCAGCTGCTGGTAACGAGCTGTTTCCTCTGGGTGAGTCTGTTTGGTTGGGACCATCCTCTCTGCTCTGGTCTGGATCAGTGTAAAACCATGAACATTGTATTGCAGCATTAGCCTGGTCTTTTCCATCCGTAAACTTCAGCTCATGATAATTTGCTACATGTACGTCTGGGTCTGATCCTAGTGGCTGCAGATAACTGCAGCTGTTGTGATTCAGGGCCTGACAAAAAATAAACAGAACTGAAACAGCATGTGCTCTCTTTAGGGACGTGAGGCGAAGGATCCAGAGCGTCATTGCACGGACCTTTGATTTGAACGCAGAGCACATGTACCTCACCAAGCCCACCTTCTTCTCCAGGATCAACAGCACGGAGGCCCACACGCAGCATGACGAATACTGGCACCCCCACGTGGACAAGGTCAGACTCTGAGACATTTATCACACCGCCACCGCTCATCGTCAATGAAGACTTCTTTTACTGATGGCGCTGTTCGTTATTGGAGCTTATGCACAGTACATGTAGCATATTAGCACTCAACTCAAATCAAAACAATGTATTTAACACACATAACACGTATACACACAGACCTCGCTGACTGAAAACCCCTGCTCTACAGTAGGGGTCAAAGATTTTAGCCCGCAACCACCATGATTCAATTCAATTCAAATAACTTTATTCATCCGTGAGGAACTTCATTTACAGACAGAGCACCAGTGGGGGTACACAAAAACAAAGAAACACACGATCTAAGTAGAAATGCAGTAAAAGAGTAGAAATGCAATAAAAAATACATAAAAACAGGCCTCCAGATCAGCAGTTTAAAAAGCGCATTGAGGTGAGGAGTGAATGAAATATTGGGGGACAACTAGACAAGGAAGCTGGATGTGGCCCTTATTGTTTTAAATGGGAGGGACCTGAACCTACGCCTTGATGGGAGCAGACTATAGTGAGAGCGCAGAGTGTGGGAGCTGCCTGTGGAGATCTGGGAGCCTTTCCTTAAAACGTTGTTATTGTAGATGACTGATAAATGTGTTACTGCCCGGCGACACCCCACTCCCCCCTCCACCTCCCCCACGACACCTCAACAACCCTTCTCGTCGCGGGAAATGTAAAGCATGTATTTCCTTGATTTGGAGTAAGCCGGGTTCAGGTAATGGGCTCGGCTGGCTCCGCCCTTCCTGTTCCACGCTAACCCTCTCGGAATTTCCCTCCGCCGCAGTCTTCACACCATCAACCCCGCCCTGGAACATGTGACTTTTCTCCCCATCAGCCCCCCCACCCTCTGGCACATGTGAAACGCTGTTGAAATTTAGAGATGATGAGTTCGGTATTGTCCTGGAAAGTGAGTTTATGGTCGAGTATGCACGCCCTTGACTTTTACGTTTATAACCCTTTAGGTGACGTACGGCTCCTTCGACTACACCTCGCTGCTCTATCTGACCGACTACGGTGCGGACTTCAGCGGAGGCAGATTCATCTTCATGGACCCGGACGGAAACCGCACCGTGGAGCCGCGGGCAGGTACGGTGCCCGGAGTCATGGTCCCGACCCCCAAACCCACACTGCTCATTAGTGGTTGGCAAAACATAAGTTATGCTTGGTTGAAGGCAGTCACAAGTTTGAAGGCATAAGTTAAGTGAACAATAGCTATACTAATTAAAATAAAACAGAATCTCTAACTCTAGCCGCAGTATGTTTACATCTGTACATTAGCAGCAGTATGTTAGCATCTGTACGTGTTAGCAGCAGTATGTTTACATCTGTACATTAGCAGCAGTATGTTTACTACTATGAGTGACATGTTAGTCCCATATGAACCAGCCCGGACTCTGAGGAGCACAGAGACTGGACTCCTGTTAGTGTCCAGAGTCAGAACTAAACATGGGGAGGCTGCTTTTCAGATTCATGCTGCTAAAATCGGGAACAATCTTCCTGAAGATGTGAGACAGGCCTCTTCTCTATGTTTAAAACCAGGTTAAAAACAGTTCTGTTTAGCTGTGCATACAATTGAGGGATTTCATATTTTTCATGTACTGTGATTATTTATGCTTTTAATGCTATCTTACTTTGTTCAGCACTTTGAGTTGCCTTGTGTATGAATTGTGCTATACAAATAAACTTGCCGTGCCTTGCCCAAAACAGAAAGATACATGTTACACTGGCTCCATCCTCTTCTTCCAAATGTCTGCGGGTTCAGCCTGTTATAAGCTCTGAGGATTCTTAGTACAAAATGTCAATGTAAATGTTTCTTGTATAGCACATTTACAACACAAGCTGCCCAAAGTGCTACAAACAAGAAAATAGTATTATGGTAAAACTCAATACAGATGTGTCTTTTAAAGGATTTATGAACAACAGTCTATGGAGTATGATACATTATTTGTTTTCACTTTTGCACTACACTGACGGAAGGATGAGCAGAAACAATAGATTATGAAAAAAGAGAAACATCCACACAGCTATGTTGCTCCAAAGTCCTATAGTCTTTTTTTACTAGTCCTAGTGTCAGTCCTAGTCTTACACTCAGCACTTTCAAATACACATCTAGACACACATACTGCCTTGGTCTGATGGGTGGGCCTCCCCAAGGTTTCTCACTTTTTCTCACTGTTTTTTGTTTAGTTTTTTTTAACCAAATGCATGAAGGTCAAAGGACAGTGGTTATGATCCAGGACACTCGACATTCAACAACATCCCTGAACATTTATGACCACTGGCTCTATGAGTTTTTTATAAACTTGTTTGATTTTCTGATCCATGTTGGCAATTTCAACGGCTTTGTAAAGACCTCAGAGATATTACTGTTGTGATTTAGAGCAATACAGAAATAAATTGAATGAATTGAATGAACACCGTCACATGATCAGAGTTCTTTCTCGTGAGGAGCACTTTAAAATGCAGCCAGGTGTATCTGGGCATTACTGTCTGATGAAGGTCTTCAGCCCGAAGCGTTACGTACATGGTCTGAAAATACGGTCTTTTTTTCATATCGTCTACTATGTGAATTCAGCGCTAGCGTCGCGGCCTGACTTGAAACCTTCCAGAATGAGACGACATCTTACTTAATGAACCTCATCCGTTTTTCTTGTGAATTTATCATCTTTTTATTTAACTTTATGTCACAAACTGAGAATGATGTGAAACCACAGTATACATTTACCAGATGTTCAATCCCACAAGGAAAGGGCATCAATTGGAAAAAATGTCACACCATGGAAACTGACCTGTAATAAGGCAATTACATTTATACAAAAAATAAGTCAAAAATGGCTCAAACAAAGCTAAATTGTCTTGTTTTTTAAAAAATATACAAGAAATGTCTCTTTTGGAATGAGAAAATGAAGCAACAGTTCTTTAAATTAGACTAAATGGCTTTGTCCCATTGGAGAATCTTGTTTTAACACAGTATGTGCTCAAATTAAGGTAAAAAACATTCGATTCAAGGAATTATTATCCTTTTTGAATCTTTTCCAAATGGATTTAAACTCTTTTCATCCATTCATTCACAATATCGACTCTTGAAAGACGAGTGCATTCATCCAAGTCCTGGGTTTGTCTCCGTCCAGGTCGGCTGTCCTTCTTCTCATCAGGCTCGGAGAACTTGCACCGTGTGGAGAAGGTCACCTGGGGCACCCGCTACGCCATCACCGTGTCCTTCACCTGCGACCCGGCCTACGGCATCTCGGACCCAGCACTGCCCACGGCCGGACCCTGAGGACCCAAGCACAAGCTCATATCAGACTGTGTGATCAGGAGAGCATCAATTCACCCCAGTTTCAATGTACTATGGGAAACTCCACAGGCCGGAAAGCAACTGCATAGCAACTGCATAGCAACTACAGAGCCAATCAGGAAAGAGGCCCTGTTTGTGTTGTATTCTTAACATTGGAAAAATATCAAACGTTCCAACTTATATATGTGGAGAAGTCACCCAAATAATAAAATCAAGAGTGGTCACAATTTAGAAAATTGCTAAGACTGCTTTTATTATTATTTTTTACAACCTTTGCCAATATGTGCCAATATATGTGTTTTCATAAAGAAGTCACACGTAGGCTGGTATTTTTATAGTCATTTATCTATCTACTATCCTACCCAGTTATAAGCTGCAGGGCTGAATTTCAATGTTTCATATTATGTCATATTTCTTTAATAAAGTTAATCATTGGGTTAAAAAAAGATAAATTAATAAAAATAGCTTTTAACACAGGTCCATCAAGTGCGACGGCTCACTGCCCGCGCAGCTCTGAAGGCTTTCCAACATATGACTAACAACATGAGAGCTGTGACATGAGGCTATGTTAGAAAGGTGCTGCAAGTCAAGAATTTGGCGATTGGAGGTAAGAAGTGGGACTGGCCAGGGGCGGCAGGAAGCATGTGTTTCCTATTTAAACCTTAACCACCTCAACTGGTTCCTCTTGACGTGGAGAAGCAGCGGCTCTACTCTGAGCTCCTCCCGTGTGACTGAGCTTCTCACCCTATCTAAGGGAGCTTCCAGCCACTCTGCCCAAAGCTCATGACCAGAGGGAATGAAGATCGGTAAATCGAGAGCATTACCTTTCAGCTCAGCTCCCTCTTCACCACAACGGTCCGATACAGCTTTGACTGCAGACGCTGCTCCCTCTTCACCACAATGGTCCAATTCAGCGACCGCATCACGGCGCACGCTGCATCAATCCGTCTTCAATGTCACTCTATCCTTCCCTCACTCGTGAACAAGACCCCGAGATACTGGAACTCCTCCACTTGAGGACGGACCACTCCACCCGGAGAGAGCAAGGCACCTTTTTCCAGTCGAGCATCATGGCCTCAGATTTGGAGCTAATTCTCATCCCAGCGTGAAGCGGCTGGAATGAGAATCAGCATAAATATGCTCTGGTTTTGCATATTCACACAAAAACACTTTGACCAAAGCACTTGTGCTTCATTTCCAGGTTCCATACGGATGACAGTATCAAGTTTAGGGTAGACTCTCCATTATCTAGACTTGGATAATTATATAATGACGGCAAACACCATTTATTTTCATTCTGTAAAGAATGTTTAATCAAACACCACAATGTGTGACAAGTCATTTCTATATGAAGACCCTTCTAAGGGCATCACCAGAGCTTTTTTCAGATGTTCCTGACCTTGATTAATGATAATTGTTAATTACAGCCCTAGACGATGGGTTGAATGTGTTTATGTGTGTTTTGGCGGATACATGGAGACGTGGCCACGGAAAAGTCTAATTTATTTCAGTTTATTTTTTACCCCTTTCAAGATTTTAGACTTATTTTATTTTGCAACTTTTAGTAACAAGCCTATACATTTAGAATGAGCTGACTGAAGGACAGAGCAGAAGGCATCTGATCCTTTTATCATCGGCCAAATCTCCATTTACAGAGAACCTCGGTGCACGTCTTGTGATTTTGATTTGCTGTTTGAGACACACTGAAAACAGCACCAAGTCAAAAAACAAATAACACGCGTGTTTGTTAGTGTCACCGAGAACTGTATGTGCAGGACGGACAGAGCCAGACCATGTTGTTCTTAGAACCAATCGGATCAGATTCATTTATTTGCCATTTGCAGTAAAACCACATTGGAATACATTTGCAAAAGTCCCCAGTTTGTGATGTTTCCAAACCACAGTCCCAGAACCAACAAGTAAACTTTCAATGGTGCAGCGATAAAAGTGAAGCAGAATCTTAGAGTTCGTGGTCAATTCTCAAAGTTTTTGCAGAAAGTAGAGACGCTGACAAGCTTTCTTAACCTGATTAGTGTTTTTGTCCCATCTCAGGTCATTAGAGTTAAACCGAGAAACTTGCTCCTCTAAAATCTGCACCTGAGAGTTATCAGTGACATCAAGAGGGTGAGAACTATTCTGACTAAAGTCAAACCCCAGTTCACAGCTGGAGGTCGTTTACTTTACTCCACTGAACCACATTTTGGATCTCTGCTCTGTAAGAGGATTCATCATTACTGAAGAGACCGATGATGGTGGTGTCAGTGTATTTAATGATCAAGTTAGAGTCAGAGGAAGACACTCAATCATGAATGAGCATTGTAAAAAGCAAAGGGCTCAAAACATCCCTGAGGAGATCCTCACAGAAACATCTGAAAAACAAATTGTTTATATGTATATGATTTCTCTTTCTTCTTATTCCGCTCCCTTTAACTTTTTTACTGATTAGATTCGTGCAGCAGACTCCGCCATGATTGTGTGAATGTGGTCTTTGGGGCGGGGGGATTGGACATACATAATTTAAATTGCTATTCATATCTTGATTGTACTGTACTGTCAGGCTTTATTATGAAAAATGTTCAATAAAAAAAGTAGGAAAAAAGCAGTCTAAAATCTATATCTTCAGCATGATAAAAAAGAAGTCTAAATCCTCTAAGTGAATTATTAGGAAAAAATACGAGACAAAAGACAGTTCACTTATTTATAATAAAAAACACAGTAATCATTATATCAACATTACACTGCACAACGTCACTTTCCCGGTGGAAGGTTCAAGTTACCGTTTTATTGTGATTTTTATCAGTGATTTTAAAGGTACAGACATGAGCTACAAGTTTGGTCTCTATGCCAGGTAGCGCCCCCTGTCAGAAAAGTTCCGCAGTGCAGCTTTAACACACAAACTATAAACACATTTACTCCACACTGAGAAATCGGCGTTTCTTTGACGTGTGGGTGTAGGCGTGATGGCGCCACTCCACGTCCGCCGTGCTCTCGTTCTCCAGCGTCCCCAGTTTGATCATGTACACTGCCAAGACAAAGGCCTTTAGAAACCAGTTTGTTTTTAAATCCTCACCCAAAGGACTTCATACTTACGCTTCATCTCAAACCTCGGCCCGACCTCCGTCAGCTCTACGTTCCGGTGGTCGCTTTTCTTGTACGTGTGATGCCTGGAACACAACCGTTTTGTTTTTATAAAGTCTGTAACTTTCTCCATTGTGAGATCCAAAAGACGTGATTTAGGCTTTTTAAAATCGACATTGGTTTGACTACTTTGATTCTATTTCTGCAAATTTGAAATGCGGATATTATTTGTCTTTTATATTATTATTTTATTTAGCCTTTGTTGAACCAGTTAAGTCCCATTTTTCAAGAGAGGCAGCAAAAGTTACACCCAGTTACAGATTATAAAAACAGTTACAAGTCAATGAGGACGTCTCAGTCTGGACTTCAAAGCATCAATGAAAACACGTATTTTTTGCAACATGTGAAAGGAGCAGAGGATACAAAAGTCTTATTCCCAGTTCTGTGCGAGTGAAGGAAGCAGAGCGACAAAAGATCATTTGACTGGGATCCGTAAAGCCTAGTTTATACTCGCGCGGCGCGGAGCTTACGGAGGTGACGTCACTTGCGCAACGCGTTGGTCACCGCAAGGCCCTTACGTCGCCTGCCGCGCAGCATCGAAATTTTCTAACTACGTAAGGGTCGCCGCAAGGAATCTCCGCTGTTGTTGGTCCGTGTGTGTGTATTGGAAGGAAGCACGGAGCGGCTGCAGCAGGAGCATGGAGGAGGCACTATGGAGCAGAGAACTTTGTGCTTCGAAGGAAAAGCAGTTTGGGTTCAGAGCCTGATATACAGGAGACTGTGGACTATCTAACATATATATATAACTTATAAACTGTGCAGTCGTTTGTTTTGCACTGTTCCTGTCTTTGTTTGAATCCTAGCTGCGTTTGTTGCTTTCCTCCTGCACTCGTAAATCGTTCATGTTTGTCTCAGATATTTACCACTATTATTGTTTTGCTGTTTGTGCTGAAAACTATTTAATAATAACTATGTTTCCAACAGAACTGTGTCTTTATTCACAGCATAACAGTTGAAATGACTTATAAAATAATGAATCCATAAAACTATCACATAAACCTACAGTAGAAACATGTGTAATGAGCTCAAACAGCTTTGTTTATTATTGTTGTTCTGAAGAGGACAAAGTAGCAGCATAAATGGGGCCGCTCCTGTGTGATCGCCCTCATGTGGTTTGTTGTGGGATTACAACATTCTCCTCAAAACTCCGTAAGGGGAACGCGCCAGTATAACATCCATTGTGCTTACGTAGGTCCACCGCAACCGCTAACGTAAGCCACGCCGCGCAAGTATACACTAGGCTTAAGAACCAACATCTCTCTGTGTTAAATGTCAGATGTAAGAGGACAGCAGACCAAGCACCGCTTCATAAACTAAAGTGCAGCAGTGTCCTGAGCTCCTGCTGGACACAGACTATCACACTCCAGGGTATAATATGTTTTAACACGTACACACACACACGTACACACACACACACACACACACACACACTTTTGTTCAATAGGTGGCACTAATATTATTTCAAGAAAAGTCAAAGTAACAAAATTACGATAAACACTATAAATGAAAATAAACAATAAAGTGAACAGACTATATTCCTATTCCTATAATATAAATGCAATAAAATACTGTTGTGTGTCTTTGTGTGTTTATGCTCGCATATATGTGCGTTATGCGCTTGTCTGTGTGGTTACATCTTCAGTGTCGTTCTGTTTAGTTCAGCGCTCGCTGGACTAAACAGAAGGTAAACAGAAACTATCAATGAGCGCAGGCTCAGTGATAGTTTTAGCAATAGTCCACTTTTGTGTGGCTTTTTTGGGGTGCACCCCTGGTCTGCTGGCCTGACCCTCCACATGGTCTCTGTCAGCTCCAGAGACACATTTACTGCTCAAACTGCCTCCAAATGTAGCCTGACCCTGACTATATTACTCCAAGCCTGCTTCACCGCTGTCTCTTCTGCTCACAGTGATCTTTGACCAAGACAGAGTTCTGCTGCCACCTGCTGGCTTAATCAAACACAGTCAAACTACAGCCAACCCTCAGACATATAGGATACAGGGGACACAGACAGAGAGGAAAATGGTGAAAAACAGTCTTTTTTTCAATAAATAAGTCAATGGCAGTCAATATGTCAAGTGTGACCTGAAAGAGATGTAGTCCTCCTGATTGGAAAAGGTGATGACTCGGCGGCTGTCGTCTTTGGGAACTGGAAACAGATACTTGAGGATATTGGAAACCTGCAGAAATAAGGATCATTAAGACCAAAGCCAGACCACAGTGAAGGAAAAGGCTTTCAGGTTATAGTCCTACGGCTTCAAACTGCGACCTCAGATTGATATTTTCTCAACCCAGTGAGCAGAACATTGTTGCCATGACACAACAAAAATCTTACATGGGAAACTTGCACATCCTACTATCTGAGTGTAGCATGGGTGGAGCATGAATGTAGCATGGGTTTAGCATGAGTTTAGCATGGGTGTAGCATGAGTTTAGCGTGGGTGTAGCATGAGTTAAGCGTGGGTGTAGCATGAGTGTAGCATGAGCGTAGCATGGGTGTAGAATGGGTGGAGGATGGGTGGAGGATGGGTGTAGCATGGGTGTAGCATGGGTGGAGGATGGGTGTAGCATGGGTGTAGTATTGTTAATGTAACAGTAGCATTAAGCAGAACATCCGGGCGGTGTGTGAGATCAGCAGTTGGAGGACCTGGAGGACCTGGAGGACGTGGAGGCACTCACCCGTCTGCCGAGGCGGGATGAGAAGTTGTGGAAGATGAGGTGTGGGAATGCCTCGGACATGGTGCCGATGTCGGGAACGTCGTGCCTCATCACCACGTTGTACAGAGTGAAGTACGCCGTGGGCCCGAACGGCAGGTGGCAGATCACCAGCCCATCTGCCGGAGCCAAGGGACAGGCGGTTTAGAGGTTTTTGGTACTTTAAAAATATGTTTGTTTTATGCTCAGTGTAACAACAACTGTCCTGTGCAGTGTCAGCAGCTGAAGGTTTGTGTAGCTACAGATCTACAAACACTGAACCAGTGTGAGGCATTCAATTAAATTCATTTTGTACAGTCCTAAATAACAACAGGAGTTATCTTGGAAGACTTGACAAAGCTGTGGATTTGCCAACACAGATCAGAGAATCGGTTGAAACACAGGAAATGCAATGATAAAAAACACACACAGTGCATTAGGGGTGAGCGATATATATCAGATGAAAATATTGCAGAAGTGAATTTGAAGATATGCCTTTTCACATTATTGTCTTTAAAATAAAAAAGTCTCCAATACAAATTACAATTAGAGCAGACAAGATGCTCGTTCGTCAAATGCAGGTCTAAAAAGCCAATCACTGCTTTATTTGTACATTTCACAGAAAGAGCTGCATTTAGTAACCTTTTTCTTTTAAAGAGGCAGGCCTCACGTCGTGGTTTAAAAAAACAATGGAGCCAAACGTGAGATTGAAAGTGGGTTCTACATGTGGTCTCCCGTCCTGCAGCAGCCTCTTACCTGGCTGTCCTCGAGTCTCGTGGATAATGACCAAGTCACTGACGTTGTTGGCTTTGCACGCTCTGACCAGAGACGCGATCTCATGGTTCCCTCTGTTCATCCGCTGGGCTCCAGGGAACATCAGCTTCACTTCCTGAACCCACCAAACAGCATCAACTATTATATTATTATATTTAGTATAAATTGTACCATTATATTTTCCCAGCTCCCAGTGACGACAAAAGAACATTGCATCATTCATTTTTCTTGACACATTTTTTACTTAGTGTTTGTGTTGCGTCAATAAAATGGAGTAACTAACTGCACAGAATCAGAAACGCAGTGTGACATGGATTTTGAAGGAAATGTAAGTTCTTTTATTTCAGATGAAGTCCTCACATTTGGCTGCATTAAACATTGTGTGCGTGTGGATGTTTGAGTCTGCAGACTGAAGCAGACAAAGTGCATTCTGACCTTGGAAAACATCTTGAGCCGAGAGCTGGGGTCTCTGGACGTAGTGACCATGACTTTGGGATCTTCCACTCCTGCCCATTTGTACTCGTCGTCCATGTGGGAGTGAACACCTGCCAATCCACGCGTCAATCACAATCACGCTCGTATTTATAAACAGTTACTCTCATTGATAATTAGTTAATCAGAATCCTGATTAGAGACATTTCTTGTTTTTGAAAGTGAAATATTTAGAGTCTGGCCTCTATCGCATTAACTAATTACAAAAATAACTTTCATGCATTTTAAAATCAATTTGCTCCGTGGAAGGTTTGTCTTTGGGATTATACTTCGGACAATAACAAACCACAGTCAACATGAAGGAATAAGCTGACGGCAGTAGTTAACACGGAGGATAAAAAACAAACAGATGGGAGCGTTGATAAGAGCAAAGTGCGTGTTCTCGTATCAGGGCAGTGTCAACTCAATGCTAAACAAAGAGCAGCTAGCATGGATGTTAGCCCGAGTACAAAGGCCCACACCCAAGCCACACTCCACCAGGTGACTGGTTTAAGACCAGAGGAACTAAGACCATGTCTGAACTAATAACCAACGACCTGGATCGCTGATTGTACTCGACTGTAGACCACAGAGTTGTAAAGATAATGATAAATGTATTTTATTTATAAATATGCTATTGCTACACTTAATGGCAAATGTTAAAGAAGTTTGTTGAACTTGGTTGGACAAAAAAATAAAAACGGGTCGTTGCTTAAGCGTTTGAATCGAGTCATCACTAAAGGGACCGATTAGAATGTTAGAGAGTTCTGCTGAACATCAGTAAAACCACGAGACTCTTTTGTTTTTGTCCAATGGCCTCATAATGATCTCATTCTTGGGGACAGTTCTTTCTAAAACCGGTGCAAAGAGCAGAGAAATCACCAACAACTATTTTAAAAGTAAACTATACTTTTACTGCCCTCAAAACATGCAAAAAGCCTCATGAATTAAAATAAAATAAAATAGTAAATGTATTCAGGAAAAACTGTTTTTCTTTTCAGAAAAACTGCAGACTCACCTTCTGCTCCTTCATCGTCAAACTCCAGAAGCTTCTGCAGCTGCAGAGCGTCTTTGCGAACCTCGGTGGGAAGAAGGCAGTTTTCTGTAAAAACACACTTGGTTCAGTGACAATGACATTCTCAGAAACCAAACCTCTCTCTCCCTCTGGGGTCTCTCTCCGTCCCTCTGGGGTCTCTCTCCGTCCCTCTGGGGTCTCTCTCCGTCCCTCTGGGGTCTCTCTCCGTCCCTCTGGGGTCTCTCTCCGTCCCTCTGGGGTCTCTCCCTCTGGGGTCTCTCCCTCTGGGGTCTCTCCCTCTGGGGTCTCTCCCTCTGGGGTCTCTCCCTCTGGGGTCTCTCTCCCTCTCCCTCTGGGGTCTCTCTCCCTCTCCCTCTGGGGTCTCTCTCCCTCTCCCTCTGGGGTCTCTCTCCCTCTGGGGTCCCTCTCCCTCTGGGGTCTCTCTCCCTCTCCCTCTGGGGTCTCTCTCCCTCTCCCTCTGGGGTCTCTCTCCCTCTGGGGTCCCTCTCCCTCTGGGGTCCCTCTCCCTCTGGGGTCCCTATCCTTACCATCGAGGGCTCCTTTCAACTTGAGTTTTTTCTCCTCTATGGTCCGGAGCCGGTCTTCCTGGGCTTTCCTGTAGAGGTATTCTTTCCGTAGTCTCGCCTCTCGTCGAAGCTACGGCACAAAAGCGTAAGATAAGCAGGGATGCACCATGTGAAAACTGTGGCCTTTATATCAATGTTGCCGTGGCAATAACGATATCCGATCTCAATATATTTAAAACATATTTTTGGACGTCTTGATGCTTTGTTACTATTACAACACCACATTATCAGTAGGATTAAACTCACCTGTCTCACCTGGACCAAGACCATGATCAAAACCAGACCCAAAATTCTGACTAAACTTGTACCAAGGTCAGACCAAGACCAAGACCAAGACCAAGACCAGGCCAAAACCAGGCCAAAACCAGACCAAAACCAGACCAAATATCCTACAAACTTTATAGATAGATTTTAAGACCAGTACTCGGACCCAGACCAAATAACATGTGTTTTGTGGACACTATTTTGTCACTCCTCCGTGTAACACTCACGCACACATTACGTACAAGGCTAATTTATATGTATAGCACAATTCATACACAAGTGCTGAACTAAACAAGATAGCATCACAAAATAATCACAGTACTTTAAAAATAAAAAACAAATATAAAATCCCTCAGTTGTATGCACAGCTAACCTAAACTGCTTTTAGCTCACATTTTCAGGACGACTGTTCCAGTATCACACAAACAGGCTTCAAGATAAGTCCACTCCAGAGTCTCTGCAGTTCAGCCCAGTTTACATGTCTATGGTTATGGGGCCGACGATGATGAGGTAAATAAATAAACACAACTCCTTCCATGCGGTTGTGGCTGATGACGACAGCAACAATATTAATGTTTTGGGGCAGGTTCTCTGTAAAAGTTCAGTGTTGTAGTCTTAGCACAATTGCGGACGTAAAAATATTTAGTTAGAGAAATGTTTTCTTACCATGATTCCTCTGGTGGGCTCGCGAGCTCCTCTCACGTGGACACAGGAAGTGAATGAACTATGGCGGCTGTGATTGGTTGAAACGAAACCAATGAACGAGCATTTTACTCAAAGGTAAAAAGAAAAGCCTATTTCAAACATCTGTAGTCTTTAGGAGCCGCGACACATATTACAGAGAAAATGTAATTATTTATTTTAATCTAAATGTTCCACAGAATACAATTGTGAGAAGAGTAGTTATGTTTATGAAGTACAGACCAGTTCAGTACAGACCTGATCAATAAAGGCCAGTACAGACCCGACCAGACCAGTACAGTAAAGACCAGACCAATACATACCAGAGGCTAGATCAGACCTGTAAACACCAGTACAGTACAGACCAGACTAGACTAGACCAGAACTGACCAATACAGACCAGTATAGACCAGACCAGTACAGTAAAGACCAAACCAATACAGACCTGTACACACCAGTACAGTAAAGTCCAGACCAGACCAGATCAATACAGACCAATACAGTAGACCAGACCATTACAGTACAGACCAGTGAAGGAACAATGCAAAACAACATTTTCCCAAACTAATAATACAGCTATGAATTTGTTTTGATTTAAAATAAATGTTAAAACATCAAATCTACCTGTGTTTTAACACTGACATGTCTCACTGTGGGAATTCAGGATCCCTCCATCAGATTAAGAATTAGAAAGAAGCCTTTGTTTTACTTTATGCAATTTTATGAATCTGAACTGGATTTGATGAAGGTTCGAGCAGAGATTTGGAGACATCTGGTGTTGAGAAAATGTCCTGACGTTCCCTCTGCTGAAAAGAAAAATCTCAGCTTTTACTCACTACATTTATTATATTTGTGTATAATAAATCAGCGACAGACGTGACCTTTTCTGTCACATTTGTTTTCTCCTCAAGATATTTTCAAGTCACTGTATCTTTCACAGGGATTCTGCACATACCCACAAGATTAACATTAGACAGAGTTAGAATCTCACTTTTTTTTATTAAGTTATAGCCCAGAAATGTTACAAGGATAATAAGACTTCTTCAGCCAAGTGAGATACTTTATTTTCTTCAAATCAGACAATTTAGAATTCATCACATAAGAAAAACATATAAGGTGAGACTGGACTGCCTCGTCTTACACCTTAAGAGGAGCCATAGAGAGGTTTCACAGCACAGTTGTTATAAAGTTATAATCCTTGAGGAATCGTCGTGACCATTTGTCAAAAGAGACTATCAAACGAAATGTAAATAAACATAAGACAATAATAACTCAAAAAAACATTTAGTTATTAAAAAAAACATTTTTAACAAGTTGCAGGAAAACAACACAAAAATGCTGCATCTCCAATAACTGGTAAAAACATAGGCCCACCGGGTGCATTACGGCCCACCCTGCACTGCCCCCTTTATCCCCAAGGTGCCACTAAACTAAACTGAAGTAAACCCAATATAATCTACAAAAATATCTAAATTACCAAAAAATACACATTAACTTCAGCAAACAATTACTAAATATAGAATAATATACAAAACCCCCAAATAAATTAAACAAATTAAACCTACAAGCAAATAGCTTCTACAGTTGGTAGAGCATTGGCCTTCAGGCCTGAAGGTCGTGGGTTCAATTCCCACCTCTACACCTTCTCCACCGACTCCCACTGATGACTGCTGTCGTTGTGTCCTTGGGCAAGACACTTAACCCCACTTTGCCCAAAGCCCCCACTGAAAGATCAAGGCTATGCTCACACTCAGAGAGCAGCCGTCCTCCTGTGGACTCACCACCTGCAGAGGGTCAGTGAGGGGCTGGTGCTATGAGACTTGGGTGGCATCTCTGACTGCCACCCCCCTGACCCAAAAATGGATTAAAGGGTAGAAAATGGATGGTTTCAAAGTTCTGATTGAGGAGGCAACCCTGCACTGCTCCTTCAGATGTGGCGGGGCTGTTAGACGTGGCTTTAATTAATGTTATTACTGTTATGTATTTGTTCTCCCACTTTGCCTAGAATAAGTCTGGTGTGTGTGAATGGTTGGTGGGAGGGGTTGATGGCACAGACTGGTTGCCTCGCTTCTGTCAGTGTGCCCCAGGGCAGCTGTGGCTACAGTAGTTCATCACCGCCGAGTTTGGAGTGAATGAATAACAACATGTGAAGCATCTTTGAGTGTCTAAAAGAGCGTTATATAAAACCGATAGTTTATGATGAAAACAGACTCAAATCAGTGAAACGAAGGAGCCGGGGTCGTTTCCATATGAGCTAAAGTCAGTTTTAAATGTACATTTCTGGACTTCCTGTTCATCAGGGGGTGTGCTCAGTTAGACCTTTTTTCTTGTCTTGAGTTGACGAATAAGCGTTGAATTCTGTGGCTCTGGGACTAACTTGACGTCAGTGCAATGGACTTTTTTTAGTCCCATGAAAAAACATTATTAGTCAGATGTGAATTTTTCCCAAAGCCTGAGTTTTTATGAATGTTCATTGGGTCGCATCAGGGATCAAAAAGAACAAATACATAAGTAATAACATTAATTAAAGCCTCAAGCGGCGTCTAACGGCCCCCGACACATCTGAAGGAGATGGATCTAGAGGTGGATCGAGTTGTTCAGGTCATTTTGTCTGCACTCATTGTAACAAATTTTCTTAGAGGAGGTGCACTAACAACATGGATCATTTTAAACAGTAGACAAACATTGGAGTAAAATGTTAGGTTTTCAACGTTGAGAATATTTAGAGAGGATGGGACAGTGATGGTGCCACCTGGACTTCTTATCATGGGTCTATATTACTGCGCATATTTGTACAGTGACAAGGATTTCTGATAGTAAAGATTGGAATCCTGATTCCATCATTCTGCCAGAGGGCGACTGTGGCTACAGTGGTGGCCTGTAGTGAACGGGCAATAAACTGGTGTCATGAAATAATGTGATGTATTTAATTATTTGCTAGGATTGAACGGAAAATAGATCCATGTGTTCATCACCTTTACACTTTTAATTAATATTATTTTCAAGATATAGATTTTATACTTGTTTTATTTTAATTATTATACCTATTGTTCACTTAACTTGTGCTGTGTGCTCCTCTTTCCTACTGTTCTGTAACTTGTGATGCAACACTGACATTTCCAGGGACTACAGGTGGAAATTAGCATCTTTGCTATAACCTGGTACATGCATCTCTCCTTTGTGTTAATGTTTAATTGTACACTGTCCCTGCTCAAATAAAGTACATACCGTTACTATCCTGAAGAGGACAAGGAGTATTTTCTATTTCATGAATTGAGACGCAGGCTATTAATGTCCGAGCTCGACCGTGCTCAGCAGAATACAGACACTTTCAGATTCCAGAGACATTCCATCATCACAAACAAAACAGACGTGTTGGATATGAAGAAATAACTGTTTATTGGTCAAAACAAAAGAGGCAAACTCACATCGTGTAAAGATGAAACATGTCATGAAGTGAAAAATATATTGTTTTTCATCCAAAATGTCTGTCTGCAGCCAACAGCAGTTTAACCTTCAGGCTCAGAAGGTTCTTTCAATAAGACAAAAAAGTAACAAAAGCTATTACTGCTTGATTACTAGCTTTTTTAAATTTTTAGTCTTAATAACCGTCAAAGCCTTAAACATAAGACAAATTTAACTTTACATTTAAGTTTAACCTTAATTTTTAATTCTCAGTCTCGTGTTGCAGCCTCTAACGTCCGACAGTGACACAGGACCAGCGCTGCATAGTTCCACCAGAGGTTAAAATTGTAAAAAAGTCTCGTTAACTTTACAGGAATTAAAACCAGGAAGTTTTATCTGAAACACGTCCAAAATACATATTTCAATCCTCAAAAGCAGAAGGAGGAGCAACACATTATTTTGGATATTTTTAACCAATAAAGGACTAATTTACCAGTATCATTTTTGTTGGAATTTAGTGATTGTTTTATTTGCAGAATCAGGAGCTGCACCCAGTTCATGGTGAAGTCTGGTGAGTAAAATAACATTAAGAAGAGTAATTTTTAACCACAAATACTTAAAATTCTAAGACAGTGATACATTTCCACACAATTTAACATGGAATTTCACTCGTGTAGGTCTATAAAAACAACATATGAATAGTTTATATGCAAAAACAGATATGTACCACGGAAAACATATCGGAAAAGCTTACAGTTTTCTCTTTACCAAGTAGCTTTGTGAAAATCCAGATCTATTTTAGTGCCATACAGATAAAGTTTCCCCCCTTCTTGAGCGAATTCTTTTAAGTGTACTGCCATTAACAGAACATGTTGAAGATTGTAACTAGAGTAAAACAACATTTGGACAAAATTTCAAAATGGAGATATCCGTTTCTTGCATATGAACTCTCGATATGGATGTAAACAAAAGAAAATACAGATCAAACATTCATGAGAGTTTAGATCTTGAATGGGGGAGGGGGAGGAGTCAAAGCAGATCCAGAAAGCACCGGTCAGACCCGATTCTTATGAAAGATTCACAGCAGAAAAAAACTCAAATAAATAAAGTGAACATAAAAGTGGCTTGAATGAAGTTTGACCTTTGAGAGGAGCCGTAGGGAAAGGTGAAGCGTCACAGTTTAAAAACAGTTTACAGTAAGAACACTTTTCATGAAATGTCGATGGATTCTCTTTAAGGCATTTGCTGAGAACAGGAAGAAACTGGGTTCAGAAAATGTGGAAGCGGTACATCCAATCTAAACGGGCTTTGACAAGAGGCCTGTACGAATTACACTTTTTTTTTTGTGGCGCCACATGCATGTGAAAGATCTGGTTAGCTCTCAGAAGCTAAGAGGGGCAGGGCCTGGTTAGAACTGTGATGGGAGACCTCTAGGAACAGCAGGTGCCACAGTCGGACAGGTGTGGTAGTAGGAGCTTACCACCACGGGGGACAGAAGCGAGCAAAACATCTATAAAACAGATTATTGTTATTATTAGTAGTAGTAAATGACTTCTAATCAGGACCATTTTGACTATTTTAAGTCTATTTGATTTACTATTTTCAAGCTGTTTCGGGCAATATTCAACTCTTTCTGATTGGAGGAGACACCAGTTTGGTACAAGCCTCATTGGTAAATTGTAAATGGTATTGTATGACTAAAATCTAGCAAAAATATTTCAATTTGTTCTTTTTCAGGCCATTTATTTCTTTCCATTTTATGCGTTACAGGGTGATGGAGGCAGCAGTCCGAGTCCATGCGTCCAGACATCCCTCTCAGCGTTCCTATGCCAGAGAGACATGGTTCTTCCGGCGTGTTCCCCAGAGACGTCTCCTCACGACATGGAGGAGCAGGTTCCTCATTTCATTTGTACTTGTGATATTTCCCTTTGGGTCATTCTCCAAATATCTCGAGCATGTGGGAGGAGCATGGGAACTTCGGGTTTTTTTTCATTTGATTTTTCCTTTACCACAACAGCCACTGTATTATTGCACCAATCCGTTTGTCAAAAGTAGCTACGTCTAGGGTGTAGAATAATAATGATAATAATTATAACCTGAATCCATGTAGCCAACCGTGTAATTGTGAATGAGATTTTCTACTTTTTACTCATGACTCCAAACAAGACACAGGAAATAAAAGTAATTCAGAAACAGTCGTAAAATAAATATGGCTTCCTTTCCAATTGAAACGTCACAACACAATTGCCCTACTTGGTCTGCTTAGATTGGATATAGCTGCTTAAAAGTTACGCAATAGAAATAATTACATATTATTTGGACACAACACTAAAAACAGGACCGATTATCTGCCATTCACCGTTTACATGTAGCAAAAGAAACGACACGGAGGATTCATTCATCACTTTGTGCATGCTCTCACCACAAGACATTCAGTCTAAATGTAACCGGATATTTACAGCCGCTCACAGGAGTGGATTTAAAAAAACATAGCCGCACCGGAGCCCCTTTTAAAATGTTTTTACCCAACCTAAAAACGGGACAATGTTTTCCAGAGTGGAGTATTATAGTTATCTGCCACTCAAAATCTAGCAATGGCTTTCGAAATAGCTCCAAATATACAAATTCAATATTGTTTATAGTTGATTTCATCATATTCACATGTTTTTACATTAGGAAAGATAATCGTTTTGAGGCTGCCATGTCAAATATAAAAATCAGCTTAAAAGGGGCTTACGGCGGCTCCAACATCAAATCCCAGTCTTTACAATATGTCCGGGCCTCCTCTCCCCTCTCTTCTCCTCTCATCTACAATGGAAGTGACGGCTGTAGTGCCTGAAGGGGAATGTAGTCCCAGGTCCCAGGTCCTGGTCCCAGGTCCTGGTCGTAGTCCGTACCCGGGCTTGTATTGCGTATGGCTCGGAGATGAGAGTTCTGCGGTGGATTGAAGAGGCCTACCGTGATGTCGGGAAGTCAGGAGTGTGTTTTTAGAGTTCTTCGTAGTCTCCGTCGTCGTGTTTCGCTGCCGCTGTCCCACCGCCCAGAAAGTCCTCCAGCTCATCCACCTCAGACTTTTTACTCCTGGATTTTTTCTTTTTTTTCTCCTTGTCGTCGACGGCTCCGGATTCCTCCTTTTTCTTGTGTTTGTGTTTCTTCTTGCTTTTCTCGTCGTCCTGAAAAACAGTGAGAGAATAAATGCGATGGATTGAACAGTGCTCCGTGAGATTTCCAAATCTTGGGAAGTCTTGATATGAGTTAACGCTGCTTTAAACTCCCCTGACGTCTGTGGTGTGTTCCTTAGACTTCATGATGCTGTTTAGTGACCACTACACTCACTACACTCATCTGTATTTAAACTGACAGTAGATCACACACAGGACGCCTCTATTTAATCTTTAGAGCACGGTGTGAACCTTCAGCAGTCATTTTGACTGTTTTAAAGGCAGTGTTGGGTGGAATACTTTGTAAATGTTTCCGTTCCAGAACAATGAAGTCAAAGCTTTTTAACCTAAAAACGTAATGTGAGAAAGAATGTATTCCTGTGAAAGTAACCATTCTAAATACTAGACTGTAACTGAATACAGTTACTCAGAAAGAGTATTCTGAATACGTAACAGCGATACAGTGCCTTGCGAAAGTATTCGGCCCCCTTGAACCTTTCAACATTTCGCCACATTTCAGGCGTCAAACATAAAGATATAAAATTTCAATTTTTTGTCATGAATCAACAACAAGTGAGACACAATCGTGAAGTGGAACAAAATGTATTGGATAATTTAAACTTTTTTAACAAATAAAAAACTGAAAAGTGGGGCGTGCAATATTATTCGGCCCCTTTACTTTCAGTGCAGCAAACTCAGTCCAGAAGTTCAGTGAGGATCTTTGAATGATCCAATGTTGTCCTAAATGACTGATGATGATAAATAAATGCACCTGCTCTTTGATAGTCTCAGGGTTCTGTTTAAAGCGCAGAGAGAACCATGAAGACAAAGGAACACACCAGGCAGGTCCGAGATACTGTTGTGGAGAAGTTTAAAGCCGGATAACTACAGCTGAGGTGGGAGAGTCTGTCCATAGGACAACAATCAGTCGTGCACTGCACAAATCTGGCCTTTATGGAAGAGTGGCAAGAAGAAAGCCATTTCTCAAAGATATCCATAAAAAGTCTCTTAAAGTTTGCTACAAGCCACCTGGGAGACACACCAAACATGTGGAAGAAGGTGCACTGGTCAGATGAAACCAAAATCAAACTTTTTGGCCACAATGCAAAACGATATGTTTGGCGTAAAAGCAACACAGCTCATCACCCTGAACAAACCATCCCCACCTCAGCTGTAGTTATCTGCAGTTCATCCAGAGCGATCATGGGCCTCTTGGCTGCATCTCTGATCAGTCTTCTCCTTGTTTGAGATGAAAGTTTGGAGGGACGGCCAGGTCTTGGTAGATTTGCAGTGGTCTGATACTCCTTCCATTTCAATATAATTGCTTGCACAGTGCTCCTTGAGACGTTTAAAGCTTGGGAAATCTTTTTGTATCCAAATCCGGCTTTAAACTTCTCCACAACAGTATCTCGGACCTGCCTGGTGTGTTCCTTTGTCTTCATGGTTCTCTCTACGCTTTAAACAGAACCCTGAGACTATCAAAGAGCAGGTGCATTTATACGGAGACTTGATTACACACAGATGCATTCTATTTATCATCATCAGTCATTTAGGACAACATTGGATCATTCAAAGATCCTCACTGAACTTCTGGACTGAGTTTGCTGCACTGAAAGTAAAGGGGCCGAATAATATTGCACGCCCCACTTTTTAGTTTTTTATTTGTTAAAAAAGTTTAAATTATCCAACAAATTTCATTCCACTTCACATTTGTGTCCCACTTGTTGTTGATTCATGACAAAAAATTTAAATTTTATATCTTTACGTTTGAAGCCTGAAATGTGGCGAAATGTTGAAAGGTTCAAGGGGGCCAAATACTTTCGCAAGGCACTATACATGTGTTCAGTTACTCCCAACACTGCTTAAAGACACTTTATTATATCAGAGAAAAGCTGTGTGAACTAGAGCAGGTCTTAGGTTTCATTTTCATCCTGAATTGTGAACAGATTGTTAACAGTATTTTTTAACAGATTACTTGGATCTAAAACTCCAGTCCACTCCTTCATTCTTCACCAGGAGCTCACCCAGAACCACTCACCTCTTTACTTTTCTTCTTCTTCTTCTTCTTCTCTTTGGAGTGTTTTGTTTCTTTTTCTGAGCACAAAAACACACACAGTTCAGTGTAAAGTAAATGACCACAAAATGATTTAAACACATTTGATCTTTCGCATAAGTTTGAGAAAGAGTTTGTTTGAGCAGTTTGAACTTTTACCCTCAGGACGACGCTATAGGGCTCTTGGGTGTAGGACAAAACGGTTGGGAACTACATTTATCCCAACAGCTGTGAAGCACCTTAACAGCACATAGCACTTTTACAAACCTTTGCGCTGAACATTTGTTTTGTGACATTCTCTTTTGTTCTTGTTTTCTCAATGTTGTGATTTTACTGTACCTGCCTGTTTTTTTAGATGATTTATGCTGCAAAACCAATTTCCCCTAGTGGGACAATAAAGACAACTTGAACTTGAACTTGAGCCCGAGAGTCACTATTTGTCATTAGTCTCTTTTTTGCACTATTAAGCACACAGAAAAGCCTTCATTAGTTCACCCTATGCATCTGAGTTTAGGTTACTGACTTGTTTACAACTGACAAATGTAGAGAGTTTTGTTTCAGTTTAGGGTTTATATTACAAATGTCACATCAGATCAATCAGTGGCACCCAGAGCAGCGTCACAGAAACGAGACAGACCAACTATTCACACAAAAATAGTTTGCAGATTCTCGGAGCTTGCAGCCAGGGGTCAATCCCTGGTGTTGTAAGTATATCTGCGACCAAATCTATACACCTTCACCTGCTTCTGCTGTTGTGGGTTTAAAAAAACTGAAACAACATCGACTTGTCTCTATATGGCGCTGTAGCCGCTCGCTGTCCCTCAGTGATGCCTCCCTGATTCTGATTGGTTAAAGCCACAGGTTTGTTTTCATTCACTTGAAGCTCCGTGGGCCAGCACTGTTGCTTCTGAAGGCCTAAAGGCAGATTTCAGACCCTGGCAACACATGATTCTGAGTAATAATAGGATAAAAACTCTGACATAAACACCAGCGCTCCAAATCTTGACCTGGGGATGGAACCAACGTAGGGAAACTATGAAATGATGAGTATGGACTATAGGGAATCATTTAGTACAAATTTGTGGCAAAAATAAATATATATATATATATTCCTGATTATTTTTAGGCAGCAGAGAAGGTCTTCAGGACCAAGAGAAAGATGACATTCATACTGTACCTTTGTTTGGAAATTAGCATCTCTGCTTTACCCTGGTACAATGCATTTCTCCCTTGTAAGTAAGGAAGTAAGTGTTTATTTATATAGCGCATTTTTAATAGACCAGGATTCCAAGTTCAGATATCGTTCCAATCACTCCATACACGCTGATGACAGAAGTGAGACGCTGAACACACTGGATCGTCCAAGCCCCCAACTAGGGATGTAAAAAACTATGAATTTTCATGACCGACCACCGAGCCTCATTAACCGGTTGAAACCGGTTAACCGCATAGTTTAAAATAGTTCTTTGAAATAACAGCCATTTCGAGCCGCATACTTCTCATAAGAGCAGCTATACGTTCTACTGGATCAGAGCCGAGACAGCGGCGCCAAAACCCACAACGTCTTCGGCACCTTTGAGCACAGAGAACTGCTTTAATCTTCCCATTCTGCTGTGCTGCGGGTTGAAGCATTTTTAAGCAAAAGACGGCTCGTTCACATGGTCAGAGCAGCAAGTGACGAGCCGCGTCTCGCAGGTCTCCGCTAAAGTTTAAAAGTGAAGTCTGTGGAGCTGATGCCAAGGACCAGCAGCACAAACATGTTTCAAGTGGATTGACTGGAGCCGTGTATTTGCGAGGATTCTTTTGGCTGAGTGACACAGAGGAGCGCGACAGACCGGTATGTGTGTGTGTACAATACATGTATGTGTGTGTGTGTGTGTGTATGTGTGTGTAAATATAAGTGTGCAACTAGCAGACGGTATACACTAGGCTTAACAGAGGGGAGAGATGATGCGTGTGGATGTTACGTATCGAAAGTGTGTGTGTGCTAGTGTGTCTGTGCGCGCGTGTGTGCATGTGTGCGTGCATATGTGCCGCGTACGGTGAGAAAGTCAGCCCGGAGTTTACTGATACATTGGCGCACACAGCTAGAGACAGACCCGCTCGTCACACCGTGCAAATAGGGCTTAAAATAGCGTTATGAAAAGACCTCCCCTCTCCCCTTTTTCTCGTTTTTAACCGACAGCTTTGACCGGTTAACGCTGTGACGGTCAACCACCGGTTAAACGGTCACCGATTTACATCCCTACCCCCAACCAACACCATCCCTTCACTCACTCATTACATTCAGACCTATTGTGTATGTTTTTAGTGGTAGGGGAAAACGGAGCACCCAGAGGAAACCTACACAGACACAGGGAGAACATGCAAACTCCACTCAGAGGGCCATGTTCCGACCGGGATTCGAACCAAGGATCTTCTTGCTGAGAAGCGAGAGTGCTATCCACTCAGCCACCCAATGTGTTTATGTTTAATTGTACTGTCCTTGTTAAAATAAAGTACATACCATTACAGTAAACCACCATTCAATAATGTGCCTTATAATCCAGTGCTCTTCACTTATATGAGAAAATAAATAGTAGTGGATAGGGATCATAGACTGTAAATATTAATGGACGTAGTCACGCCTATCTCCGCCGTTCTAAATAATGTGCCACAACTTCCGCGGTCGATCGGCAGATTCAAAATGGCCGCGGGGGCTGGAAAATGTGAAAAAACGCATCTGCGCGTGTGTTGGCCGGCACGAGCCCCATTCATTTAACGAGTGCCTTCAAAAAAAAAAAAACTGGTCCAAAAAAATTCACTCCCCTCAGCATTGACACACATGTGGAACGGCGCTTTGGGCCAAGAGCCGACTTTTGAAACATCCTGTAAAGACGTTTTCGAGAAGTAAGAAGATGCTATATGTTAGCATTGGCTAATTCTTATTCCTGGTCCACCCCCATCGGCCCGGGGTGGTATTGCAAGCATGTCAGCGCACGTCATTTTGGCCACTTTTGAGCCGGGATCCGCCCCCACTGATAGGGATACAGGAGACATGGGAGAGGTCCGTGGACAGCACCCCTGCACCAAGTAGACAACCTCCCACTAACTCATGCAAACTGGTATACAAATAAGAAGGGGGAAAAACGGACGATGAGGGTGATGGGTGGATGCATAAATTTGCAAAAATAGGACCGTGCACCCATACACCCACACACCACTGAACACACACCCACATGTAAATATCCACACTATTGTCTGTCTTGTTATTTGTCCGTACGTCTGCACTTGTATGTCTATATTTTCAAAAAAAAAAAAAAAGACAATAAATAATAGTGCTAAACATATTCACTTTTATCTAATGGTCTAGAATCAGAAATAATTAGATGAATTAGAATGAATTAGAATAATTGTCTAAACAAATGGGGTCTGGCAGTCTGAAAATGTTGTGTGTCTTTAAACTGGAGCGTATATGTTCCGTGTTTCTCACCGTCCTGCTCGTCACTGCTGTCCTTGGCGGCCGGCGTGTCCTCAGTGAAGCCCAGCCCGAACAGGTCAGTGTGATCTTTGTGTTTGAAGGACAGGAGTGAGGGCTTCAGCGGCTCCTTCACCCGAGGACGCTCGTCATCAGAGAGGTCAGAGAGCAGCTCGTCCCGAACCGGAAACACCTCCTGCCAGAAGGGACAGGGCCACAGATTTAACACAGAGTTCCTGGTTTGCAACAACTCCTCCTGGCTGCTTCTTTACGTCGGGGAAGTTGCGGTGGTTATAAAAGTGAAGTGGGGCGTGCTAAAGTATGCATACAGCATTTTTCCGTGGCGTTAAATTACCTTTAAAACATTCCCTTCTAAGCCTCAAATCGCCTCCAACCAAAAACTTGCAGTGGAAAAGTGGCTATAGTATGGATGAATCTAAAAACAACTCTAGGTCTTGGTCTTTTTGAGCAGGGAACACTTATGAAATCCTTCTCAATTACTTTCTGCCACCAGGCCCCCATCAGGAAGAAGAAAACATTTTGAGTGTGATGTCATAGCAATACCATGACATCACAGAATCACAGAACATAGTGCCAGAAGTTCCGGACCTAAAAACAACTTCAGGTATGTGACTGATGGGGAACATTGTTGTAAAATTAAGTAAAAAGCTGGCCAAAAGTGGTACTGCAAACTCTCCCACTCTCCCTGACTCAATTTGCCAGATAAGCAGAGGAATCCAGCTGGGACCATAATAATAACTGAATAGACAAGATTTTTGTCAACAACAAATCTAACATCAACACCTTTTTCACAAAGATAGAAATCCTGGTTTTATTCCTTGTTTGGTCGTTAATGATTTGAGGATCATAACGAGACCTTTTTTAGTTCTGTGGCCACATGTACTTTACCAGGCAGATTAGCTCGACGCAGTGAGATCTGGCAACCCGGATCACAGACTTTCTGATTGGTAAAATGGTGGAGGGCGCGACATTGAAATGAAAACAATAACAAGATTTAGGGGCTGTAAAACTAATTTTGAAATCCAAATATCTCTGAAATACTGTTATCAGTTCAAAAAGTATTTAAACAGACCATGTTTTGATAATGCCTTATGATAGATTAGGGCCCTTTAATGATGACTTGACATCAAATTTGCATAATATGTCTTGTATATAAGGACTAATAATCATTTTAGTTCTTTGCATAATGATGATAATAATAAGATTAAATCAGTCTCTATCCGTTACCTTCGTTACTTTGGGAGTGTCGGACGCCTCAGAGTCAAAGTCGGGGTCGTCCATGACAAAGGAGAGCATCTGCTGAGCCACCTGTGCCTCCGGGTCCGAGTCCGAGTCGGTTTTATTGGCGCTGGGTTTCTTTCTGCTCTGCGGCTGCGAGACAGGGGTCAGCGTCAGGGAGATGGGCCCCACGCTCTCAGGCTCTGGGGCTTTAGACGAGATCTTTGCTTTGGTGTTTAGAATCTGAGGCCTGCGAGAGAAAGAAATACAATTATCAAAACAATCAAACATTTATTTTGTGTTAAAATCTATATAAACATAAAAACACAGAGCACAAGAAATATAAAAAAAATATAAAAATAGTAAAAAACTATAAAACATTAAAATCACACATGGGATGGCCACAGTGCATTAAAGAGAGTAAAGGAATTTCAATCTAGATGGAGGTGTTTTACTCAGAGATACAGTGAAAGTATTCGCCCCCCCCTTGAACCTTTCAACATTTCGCGGTGGGACACAATCGTGAAGTGGAACGAAATGTATTGGATAATTTAAACTTTAACAAATAAAAAACTGAAAAGTGGGGCGTGCAATATTATTCGGCCCCTTTACTTTCAGTGCAGCAAACTCACTCCAGAAGTTCAGTGAGGATCTTTGAATGATCCAATGTTGTCCTAAATGACTGATGATGATAAATAGAATGCACTTGTGTGTAATCAAGTCTCCGTATAAATGCACCTGCTCTTTGATAGTCTCAGGGTTCTGTTTAAAGCGCAGAGAGAACCATGAAGACAAAGGAACACACCAGGCAGGTCCGAGATACTGTTGTGGAGAAGTTTAAAGCCGGATTTGGATACAAAAAGATTTCCCAAGCTTTAAACGTCTCAAGGAGCACTGTGCAAGCAATTATATTGAAATGGAAGGAGTATCAGACCACTGCAAATCTACCAAGACCTGGCCGTCCCTCCAAACTTTCATCTCAAACAAGGAGAAGACTGATCAGAGATGCAGTCAAGAGGCCCATGGTCATTCTGGATGAACTGCAGATAACTACAGCTGAGGCGGGAGAGTCTGTCCATAGGACAACAATCAGTCGTGCACTGCACAAATCTGGCCTTTATGGAAGAGTGGCAAGAAGAAAGCCATTTCTCAAAGATATCCATAAAAAGTATCGTTTAAAGTTTGCCACAAGCCACCTGGGAGACACACCAAACATGTGGAAGAAGGTGCTCTGGTCAGATGAAACCAAAATCGAACTTTTTGGCCACAATGCAAAACGATATGTTTGGCGTAAAAGCAACACAGCTCATCACCCTGAACACACCATCCCCACTGTCAAACATGGTGGTGGCAGCATCATGGTTTGGGCCTGCTTTTCTTCAGCAAGGACAGGGAAGATGGCTAAAATTGATGGGAAGATGGATGGAGCCAAATACAGAACCATTCTGGAAGAAAACCTGTTGGAGTCTGCAAAAGACCTGAGACTGGGACGGAGATTTATCTTCCAACAGGACAATGATCCAAAAGATAAAGCCAAATCTACAATGGAATGGTTCACAAATAGACGTATCCAGGTGTTAGAATGGCCAAGTCAAAGTCCAGACCTGAATCCAATCGAGAATCTGTGGAAAGAGCTGAAGACTGCTGTTCACAAACGCTCTCCATCCAACCTCACTGAGCTCGAGCTGTTTTGCAAGGAAGAATGGGCAAGAATTCCAGTCTCTCGATGTGCAAAACTGATAGATACATACCCCAAGCAACTTGCAGCTGTAATTGTAGCAAAAGGTGGCGCTACAAAGTATTAGCGCAAGGGGGCCGAATAATATTGCACGGCCCACTTTTCAGTTTTTTATTTGTTAAAAAACTTTAAATTATCCAATACATTTCGTTCCACTTCACGATTTTGTCCCACTTGTTGTTGATTCTTGACAAAAAATTAAGGGTGTATTCAGACCTGCACATTTGCTCCACTTTAAACGAACCAGGATTCGTTTGGAACTCTGATCCGAATCTTTTATGCAGGTCTGAATACACACAAACGAATCCTGGTCCGGACCAAAGAACCGAACCGAGACCCACTTTTTGAGGTGGTCTCGGTCCGCTTCCAAACGAATTCTGGTCCAAGTCGAATCAGGTCTGATTACATCCGGTGTCGATCCGACACAACTCCAAGATACGTGCGCATTTTTTGGGCTTAACAAGCCGCAGACAGAAACTGTGAATTAGCCACGCAGCGGCTAACTATGCTGCTAACTATGCTGCTAACGCTACACAACAACAATGAGCCGTGTGCAGACCTGGAGCAGTGAGGAGACGCTGTGCAACAGACTTATGGAGTTAAAACTGTTCACAGTATACATTGATGTTAATGGCAGCATCTTCAAACCATTTGCATTATTAAAAGCCTGACACTGTTTGACTCACGTCTCAAAGAGCAATATTCCGCATCATGTAGTGAATTGTGTTCTTTGGTTCCTACCTGATCCTCAGCGTCTGTTTGTCCCGTGGTTATTATAGATCCATGGTTTATCCACGATGCTGCTGTCAGTAAGTTGTGGAACAGGGTTATTATCATAGATCCATGTGTGGGACAGGACACGGAGCGCACAGAGTCTCCTTCGGCTTTCTCCTCACGCATTCTCCGCCGCTGTTCCAATATTTAAAACAACGTGTTTCGCCTGCGTCATATGAGCTGCTGTTGAAGGTGGTTTTGCTCTAAAAAGAGCAAACATAGGCAGAGCAGACATGCTGCACATACGAGCCCTCAATGTTTTCCTCTGGTTCCGCGTCTATCCTTTGTGAGCTCTCACTGTCCAATAGGAGCGCCGATCGTCACACGTGTCAATATGTTTATATAAAAAAGTTCACTTGCAAAAAGGACAGTCTGAATACGAACCGGAGCAAAAGAAAAAAGTTTGGTCCGCTTTTGATTCGGATCAAGCAAGCGGAGCAAAGGACTTTTCAGGTCTGAATACACCCTAAATTTTTGTATCTTTATGTTTGAAGCCTGAAATGTGGCGAAATGTTGAAAGGTTCAAGGGGGCCGAATACACTGTAGTTTGTTATTGATTGTAATGTTATCCATATATTTTTGTACTTTTTCACTTTCTAAAAACGTAAAAATTCTCAGGTCCATATTTAAAGTGACAGTGCTTACTTCTTGAGCTCGGGTTCACTGTGGAGGGGCTGGCTTGTTGTGAGGGTGGGTGCTTTGGGCGGTGCTTCCTCATCACTGCTCAGGGTGATGTCTTTACCCCGGGGTCTGTTCGGCTGCGGCAGGCTGGGCACCGAGTCATCAGGGTCCAGCTCGTCCAGGAACCCAGAGACCATGGGGTTCCCTCTCATTTCTCCGTCACTGCAAACAGACAACAATGTGTAGTTTTTATCTCATAGTGTGCATAAGAGAAAAAATCATGTATTTTCAAATGTTTATTAGAGATGGATATAATAATAATTTTATATATAACACACTTTTTTTCCTCTAAACTATTCCGCGGCTGCTGATCAGGGTGGAGCTAGAGCGGATAGAGAGGGAGCCAAACGAGCAGAGTTTGCATCACTAAAGTATGGTATCCTCCGTGTGCTCCGATTTCCCCTACCACTAAAAGCACGCACAATAGGTCTGAATGTAATGAGTGAGTGAATGGATGGTGTTTGGTCGGAGGCTTTGATGGTCCAGTGTGATTGCCATCTCGCTTCCGTCATCACCGTGTGGAAAGAATGGAACAATATCTGAACTCTGAACTTTGTAAAGCACTTTGAGTGACTTTGGTCTGTAAAAATGTGCTACATAAAAAAGATGACCTACTCACTAGATGGCGCTATAGAACAGTGTATCAAGGTGTCTTAAATATGTGGCACACGCTTTTCATTTACCCATCATTATTGTAAACACACAACTGTTAACAAACAATGGATAACATTTAATATAATTTGCCAATATTTTATGGCAAATTATATCTCTATAAAAATATATATTGTATTTTCATATTTTAGTCTATAATTATACTTTTTTGTATTAAATAGCATTAGCAGTAACGATAATCACATGATAAAGACCTTTGCTATTATACAAAGGGCATACAATGGAAAAAGTTATGAAAAATAAGTTTACTTACTTTGAACACATTCAGACGGAGCCAACCGCCTCATTTTGGCTCGTGCACAATGGTTGGGCATACCCAAATGTCTTTGCTTATTTAAAAACACATCTTACATCTCACATGCTTGTGTGATGCATCATTTTAAAGCTAGAGCCTTCTAGTTTATGTAAAAAAACACTAAAATAATGTTTGTCATTCCTATTTTCCTCTGCATCCTTTGAAGTTAGGGAAAAAACCCCAATTTTTTTAGCCTCGCCTAACATTTTCAATGTCTAAAGGCCCTAAAAAAGGCATACTTCATTGTAAGTTCACAATATTCAAACCCTCTGTTCATTGTGTTGTTGACAACAACTGTCTAAAGTTTTAGACTTCTAAGTTTTATAGTTTTTATGCAGTTTCTCCTTTTCATCAAGTAGTGCACATTTGGCACAATTTGGCACAAGTGTGCCAAATTGTGCCAAATATCTTTACTTACATTTAATCATCATAAAAACAATATTTTTTATTATTGGTACTTATAAGTTACTAATCTATGTGTGTTTTTCTTTTTTAAATGTCAAAGTTATTTTTTTATGAGTGTAAATTCATTGCAGCTTCGGGAGCGTCTTTTGGCTGCCATGACGCACAATGGTCCAGGCCCAAGATAAGACAGGACACCATTGTCCCACCCCTTGTTCGAAAGCTTTCCTCATTGGCTATAAGGACATGTCAATCGTAAATCCCGGAAGTAAACGTAAACAAGTTGGGACCCCACAAAAGATTAGCCACCAATGCGCAAACAGCAGCGCTAGCGTTATTTGCGGGTCCTATTGCAGACCCAAAAATTGGTCTAGCTTTTCGGGAGTAGTCTCATTTGAAAGATAAGGAGCTAAGGAACACGTAGATACCAGATGTTCGGGTGAAAAACAAAGCTAAAAGTCCGTTACAAGTGAAAGAGTAACATCTGTGCTCTTTTTTTTCGTTTTTTTCGCTAAAGATAAATGCACATTTTTGGATTATTTCTGCAGAATGGATTTTACTTTGGGAAATACAAGTGGATATAATTTTCCTTTGGACTGTTCCAGAGAGAATGATGTATTGCAAGCTGGGAGGAGAGCTGATTTATTTGTACAGCACAAGCCCAAAGGTAAAGAACTATTTCCGAATTGATTTATTTTGTGCCCACATTATGTGTTATATCTTTTGAATGCAAAGTCTGATGTAGTTTACACTTGTATGTAAATGTAGATAAGAAAATAAGCTTTAAAATGATATACAGATTTTGGGGTTTGGTGTTCAAAATACATCTGCTATTGCCAGCAGAACATTTAAAAACATAAAAACAACCCGCCGGCGGGTTGGTGGTTGCTAAGTGGTTAAAACAAGATTTAACAACGGGACAATGCAAAATGATCTTGTTATAAAAAGATACAAGACATGTTTCCATTGGAATGAGAAAATAAAGGAACAGCTCTTGAAATAAAACTAAACGGCTTTGTCCCATTAGAAAATCTTGTTTTAACTCAGAATGTGCTCAAATTAAGATAAATATTTTATATTTTATAATTCTTTGCAATTTAATAACAGTGAGAAGGGTTTGAGCCCCGGACAGACAGTGGCCCTGGCTGCAGATTGAAAAGAATGACTAAAATAATGACAAACTTGAACTAACTCTGCATTTGTATTTGTGCCAGCACTGACCTGTCACTGTCCGCTGCTGCAGGAATGGGCAATGGGACTTTGGTTTTGGATGGTAAGCTGTCCTCCAGGAAGCTTCTGTCCAGCCGCTCGTCTGGGACAAAGTCATCCACACTTTGGACCTTGCTCGGACAAACCGGGGCCGGAGATTCCTCTGAAGAAAACATGGAGACACGACGTCAGGTGTTGAACTGAAAGAGCGTCTCCTACATCTGCATTTTCTTTATTCTCCCACAAAAGCTGCATCATATGAAGGATCAGGAGAAAGACATTCCAGCCGCTCTTTGGTCCTTTCAAAGTCGCTTCTGGTCTACGGTCAAAGCACATGACCGCGCGAGATGGATTACACCTACATTCACAAGGGAAAAAGCCAGCACGAGGTTTCTCAAGCTTGTCAAGCCTCCACAAACTGATTTTAAAAAGGAGACATTATGTAATATTTACTTATTTGAGCTTTTAACCATGTTTCAACTGTCCTCTCGTAAAATGGGACAATGTTTTAAATGAAAACACCTTAAGGGAACCAAAAATTAACAAGAGGCAAAAAAAATTCCGCAGGCTCCATTTTCCCATCTCAGAGGAGAGAGAAAAGACTATAACATAATCTTAGACCCTCTAAAGCAGGGGTGTCAAACTCTTTTTGGTCAGGGGCTGATTAAAAAAATAGGAACTGGTCGGGGCTGAAACAATAGAAGAGATTTCCTTTTCTTATCATAGTTTTTATTAAGATATTTTAACATGACTTTAATGTCATAACATGTTTCACTGTTATTTTTTGGTTAATTTTTCTGAACTCAAAATGTGTTTGTTTAGATTGAACCAAAACTGGATCAAATATAAAGTAAAAACATTTTATAACTATTTAAACTTCTAATGATGTGTTATTAGGAACATTTTTAGATTACATTAAATTTGGTTAATTTCCTGAGAAAATAGATGATGTATAACCTGCCTTGGTCGCCCATTACCATCAATGCCGCTATTCAATATAATCAAAAATAGAGCTTTGGGTGACCTTGATCTGTAAAATGCGCTATATAAATAAACATTACTTACTTACTTCAAATGCGGTTAATTTTATCTGGTTAAATAACTACCAACCAATAAGTGCCATCTCCAAATTAGCAGAAAATGGGAATTAGAGCACTTCAGTTCAACATTTCAACAGTAGCACCTCTATGCAGCCGGGGTTTAGCGACGTCACATGCCTCATTAGGAAAATACTCTTGGGCGGTGGTGCGGGGACGATGTTCTTGGAAAGTTTGAAATCCTAAATCACATGGTCCTCTGTTAAAAACTCATGATGAAGTGGATGAAATCTTACTTGTGAGGTCGTATAATTTTAAGTCTGAGCCTCATGATTGCCACAGGAAGTCCCCTGGTCTGTCATAGTTTCACTTTGTGAGTTGAATTACAGAACTCACAAAGTTCTGCAATTCAACCATCGAGTGATATTCTAACTTTCCGAGTTTCAACTATAAAAAGTACGCGGCCAATACCATTTTATTATTTGTTCTAAAAAGCATAGTTTCTGCAGAACTCATCAAATCAATGGAATCAGTTGAACCCAGTGTTTCAAAAACAGCTGCAATGCTTTTAGTAAAAGAGTGTTTCAGGAGAAAACTGGTTAAATTGATTCCCATCTCAGCTTTAAATTTTGGAAAACCTGTAAAACAATACATTTGAATCTTTCAAATGTGAGAGAAATCAGGAATGACATGTCAACTGAGGCCACAAACAGGTTTTACACTCCGTTTTACATCATCACTTCAATTAGTGTCAAACAAGTTGGTCTGAAGTTTACCGGAGAACTTTGAGGCCGTTAGAAACATAAGCAAACAACACTTTTACCATTTGGGCCAGATTCACAAACTTCTGCTTGATGTACAAAGCAACATTAAACGTGTGTCCTGCTCCAGCTGCAGGTCTCACCCGTGAACAGGTTTCTAGAGGATCCAGACACTGCGCCCACAGGACTCTAATAAAGCACCTGACGGAACTCACCTGTCATCACGAATGTTACCTGTCGTGTTTGTAAGAATCAGCATTGTTTAACGTGGCACTGTTATAGATCAATGTCGTTTTATTACGGCTGCAACATTTTCAAATATGGAAACTTTCCATGGGAATTAATGTCAATTTAAGGGGCAACGCAGACTTTCAACTAAATCCAAAAATTTTCTATGGAAGAGGTCTGGAAACTGAGGCTACTCTGTTCATGTGTTTGGGATCATCGTCGTGCTGAAAGTCTCAGCCAAACCTGATGGACGGAGGTTTTGACTCCAAATCTCACTATACATGGCTGCATTCTTTCTTTCCTTCACACCAATGAATTGTCCTGGTCCCTCTGCAGAAAAACAGCCCCAACGCATGAAGTTTCCACCCCCATGCTGGTTTCTTTGGAGGCAACTCTGCATTCAAGAGTTTTTACCAAAAAGTTATCTTTTGGTTTAATCCGACCAGAGGGCATTCTCCCGACCTGCTTCTGGATTGTCCAAATTCTCTCGAGCAAACTTGTATTGGCTTTGGCAGGGAACTTGTCTGGCAGTGCATACATGTACATGTGATATTCATAGTTTAGGAATACCTATGATGGAAAATACAGGCATCTCTCAGCTTTTGGTGCAGCATTTCTTTCATTTCTCCCAGAATAAGGATGATGCAAATGGAGAGAAATGTTACATAGTTCTAATACGTGGTTCTAGTACCTGCAGCGGGGACAGTGTCTTCAGGGACAGGAGAGGATCCGAACCAGCGGGAGATGAAGCTTCTTTTCTGGGGCACGGCTGCAGAAGAGCCCTGCTGAGTCAAAAGTCACTTTAGACTTCACAATGAGGGCACAAAACCTCATTTGATGCAAATGAGGTTTTGTGCCTTAATTTTACAACCTTTTATCTACAGTGAGGAAAAAACATGCAGTTTCCAGTCGTGGATGTTGTAACACTTGTGAGAGTCGTACAATAATTGACCACCATGATATGAAAGCAGGAGGTTTACTTTAAGGTTCAAAAGTGAAATGTATGAAACATATTGACTTTGAAACGCATTGATCTTTGTATAACAAGAGTCAAACCTGTGCGTGCTCAGGAGACTGCAGTTTGGCCTCCAAGCTGGGCGATGCTGCTCCACTGACCACAGGGGGCGCTGGAGGGGCAGGAGAGGCAGGGGCCAGGACACTGGGGGACTGGGGTGGCTCCTGTGGGGGTATGGGAGGTTGCTGAGGGGTGCTGGGGCTGGAGCTGCCCGTTGACGTGCCGCTGGGAGGAACAATAGGAGACTGGGAGCCCGAGGAGGGGGACTGACCGTTGGCCGGCCCGGGAGAGCCGAAGCCTTTGCTCCGGGTTTCCAGGTTCTCCAGGAAACTGTGGGAGGAGAGGTCATGGTTGGATCATTGTTTATTTATACCTGTAGATCTGTGGCCATACATTATGAAATCCATGCACAAGGGAATACTTTTTTTAAAAAATATATAAGATTTTTAAGAAATGTACAATTGCCACAAGCACTAGCACTAGTGTTACGAGTAATTGGTCTCCTTAAACTTTTTCTGTCCAGTGGTGTTTCCGGCTCAGGGAAATTAATATTATACTTATTATATTTGTGGTCATATGATTTTTTGTGACAGTAGCTCAGTTGGTAGAGCATTGGGCCTGAAGGTCGTGGGGTCGAGCCCACCGACTCCCACTGATGACTGCTGTCGTTGTGTCCTTGGCCAAGACACTTTGCCTAAAAAAGCCCCCATTGAAAGAGCTCAGCTCCTGTGGACTCACCACCTGCAGGAGGATCAGTGAGGGGCTGGTGCTCTGTGTACTGGGTGCAGCTCTGACTGCCACCCCCCCGACCCAGAAATGGATTAAGGGGAAGAAAATGGATGGATAGATAGATGATTTTTTTGTATCGCAAAAGAATATTTATTATGAGAGCGAGTTTACACATTTATGTTTAACTTTTGATATCATTTATTTATGTTCATTTTAATTTATTGAAAGGAGAAAAAAAACTGTATATATAGTTCAAGACATTAAAAAAGTTACATAGAAATGCACATTTTCACATGGAAAATGTGGAAATAGGATAATGGAAAACATAAATAAATACATAATAAAGGGCCTTGAAGTAACTTGAACAAATCCAAAAAGCATTCAATGATCAAACACTGCAAGAATAAAAGGGAACAGACGGACGGGCTTCGAGAGAATCTGGGATCAACTAAACACCAGCTGTATTCAGTTTCACCCATCCTGCGTAGATTATGTTACAATTATTAATTAGGGCTGTCAAACAATTAAAGAATTTAACCGGGTTAATTACAGCTTAAAAATGTATTGTAATTAATTGCATTTCAAACAAAATTATGCCATATTTTTCTGTAAATAGTTGTTTGAATGGAAAGATAAATGCCAACATAGTGTACATATGTACTGTATTTGTTTATTAAATAAAATGGTATTAACATTATTAACATTCTGTCTTTCTGTTTAGACTCAGACCAAAACAATTGTTTGATACAGATGAGGGACATTTTTAAACAGTCAAAACAACGTGCGTTAACACGATAATTTTGACAGCCCTATTATTAATTAATACTAGATGTAAATGAGAAAATATTCACATTATATAATTCAAGTTTTATGGCATTATTTACAGTTTTAATTGTACCAACTGTTACTTATGGCTCCTACACGGCTCAATTAAGTCATTAATTATAATTACATGTATTTGGGATGGAGCCATATCCAGCATGCAGACATATATGGCTGGAGTCTGTGTGAAATCTAATTGGGGAAGATACAAGATAAAAACAGGTGGATTACATTTCATAGTTTTGGTCCTCAGTCTCTTGCTGCACACCCAGCTCCTCCAGCGTTGCGTCCATGTCCAGCTGGTTAGTCTCCAGTTGTCTGAGCAGAGTTTCTCTCTGTGCAAAGAACAGCTCAGATCATTAAGCTGCAGATACGAGACATGATTTTACCCCAAAGAGAAAGAAGACTCAAAAGCAGTTTAGAATGAGAAGGTCCGTAATAGTGTAAGTGTTAAACCCTGAACAATAAAACATGAAGGAAACATTCAAACCAGCTTTAACCTTTGAATTACATACTTAGATATGACAAAATACATATTGGAGTAGGTAAGTAAGTAATCTTTATTTATATACCGCCTTTCACAGACCAGAGTCACAAAGCGGTTTACAATTGTTATTATTTTTGGGCATTTGTCCTCTCACTCCACACAGAGATGGAGGCGCATGCCAGACCTATTGTGCATGTTTTTAGTGGTAGGGGAAACCGGAGCACCCGGAGGAAACCTACGCAGACACGGGGAGAACATGCAAACTCCACTCAGAAAGGCCCTGGGACTGTGGCTGTTAGTAGTCGACCTAAAAACAAGACCATACATATTCTGTTGTGAATCAGATAAGTAACATCACTGTGAGGTCGTCCAAAATAAAATATGTTTGTGATTTTTAGCACTAACAATATGAACACTATGAATATTAACACATTTGTCAACAACGGTACTTACACTAAATAATTACAAAACACATGGAAAGAGCCGGAAAAATGGGTTGTTTTGCTCTACTCTACGAAGTATGATTTTTGCATTTCTACCCAAACTTTGTACATGTTTTTGGCTGTCTATCTTCAATAAAATCAAGCTTTGAATACATTTTACGAGTTTATACGAGTTTTGAGTCAAAAGTGCAAATTTTGGCCTAACACACAGCAAGAAACCATATTACGTTTTTACCAAACTTCTTTCTGCCTTGAGTTTGAGCCCCGCCCATACTGACCCATGAAAAGCAATACATTTTCTGACGGGATGGTCCCTCCATCATAAAACCTACAGAAGGCACTTTTAACCCATTAAGGCCTGACACAGCTGGTAAAACAGACCTGTAAAACCTATGGCCGCCTTTTGAACCACCTCCAAAACCTGAAGTTTTCCTGAAATTCAACATCTACAGAATGATTGATATCTCGGCCTCTGTAGCAGATAGAAACATAATTTCAAAAGAATTTGAGACCTGACACTTGTGGCTTTCAATAGAATGGAGAGTAATACAAAAAGGCAATAAAGTGGCACTAACTATGTGGACATTTTTTTTTTTATCCACTCAGTCAAATATTGATTTTCAGGGCTCTTTCTTAAGTAAGCAAAATAAAAAAACAAGACTGTTGTGGTTTGTTCACAATATTTCACAAATAGAGAAATAAGACGTGTCCACTTTCCTGGCCTTAAAGGTAGAAGTGTACAACAGCGCTCTCGGCTCGAAAGGTAGAAATGCTGGAATGCGTTCCCAGCCTCAATGGGTCAAAAGTCACAATGGGAGAGTGAACATAAGGAAAGACAAACCTGGAGCTGGAGAAATGGGATGTTGAAAAAGCGGTGGAGGTATTTCAGACCAAAGCCGTTTTTCATGGAGGACTCAGCATAGTGGATGTAAGAGGCTCCCATGGGTCTGCACACACACATTTGATAAACGGTTGAGATAACTGGAGTTACATCCAAATCTATCATAAGAACTTTTGTTGTATTCAATGTGCTATTAAACACACAGGAAGGCAAACAAAATCGTATTCCTGAATATACAGTGGTTTGCGACAGTAATGTTGGTTGTGGGTCCCCTTTCAGCCTGGGCCTTTCTGGACGGAGTGTGTGCGTTTCCTCCGGGTTCTCAATTTTTCCCACCACAACAACATGCATCTATGGAAGATCATTGGCTCCATCCCAATTTTAAACATACTTTAATTTAATCTTTTTTCTTTGGGGTATAGCACAGAGCTCATGCTGGAACTGGTGCGGTCCGTGGGTAATTTACATGATGTTGTTGGGGACATAGTGGGGATCAGAGCCTGCGTGGCCTCCTGGTGGCGCTGCAAAGCAGGCCTGACGTATTCAGCATTCTGGAGGATCTACAGACATTGAGCTGTCTTGTGCCCTTATAATGAAATATCCCCATTAGTATCCCCATCAGTATATTTTGATGATTTATTTTAGAATTTTATGGAGGATCCATCCATCCATCCATCCATTTTCTACCCTTTAATCCATTTCTGGGTCAGGGGGGTGGCAACCAGAGATGCCACCCAAGTCTCATAGCACCAGCCCCTCACTGACCCTCTGCAGGTGGTGAGTCCACAGGAGGACGGCTGCTCTCTGAGTGTGAGCATAGCCTTGATATTTCAGTGGGGGCTTTGGGCAAAGTCGGGTTAAGTGTCTTGCCCAAGGAGACAACAACAGCAGTCATCAGTGGGAGTCGGTGAAGAAGGTGTAGAGGCGGGAATTGAACCCACGACCTTCAGGCCTGAAGGCCAATGCTCTACCAACTGAGCTACTGTCGCCCCTTTTATGGAGGAATTAAATTTAAAAAGGAAGGAACTGAGATCAGCCAAAAACACAAGGACAAAGTATATATTGCAACTACATAATTTCTGATTACGAAGCAACATTATATCAATACAAAGAAAATATGTCAATGCAGGAAGAAAACTTAAAATAATGGAGGTTTTACAGTTATCAATAATAAGTAAATGGACTGTAGTACAACATGAATTTGGCAGATCCAGCTTTAAATGAAAATAAATATTGTGTACGTACCGGTTTAATCCAGCGATGAGTTCCCTGATGTCGTCAGGCAGGATGACGCGGTGCTCCCCCATGTCCCGGTGGTTTCCCAGCACACACACAGGGACGTGGGTCGGCACTTTGGGAAGCTCCCTCATGATGTAGTTAAAAGTCCTGTTAAAATAAATAATATGTAAAGGTTACTCATGTTGTTCAAAGGAAAGTAGTGAGATTAAAAGAGAAAATAAGGAATCAAGAAGCCAGATTTTTCTGTTCTAATGCCCTTTCTCAATCCTCAGACTATGATGTCAGGGGGAAAGTCTTCTGCTTCTAAAATAAATAATATATAAATAAATTACATTCAATTACTCACTCACGAGTAAATACAGTAACTGCCATTTCCTACTTATACCACAAGATGGGAGTGTTTCAGGCATCTTCTATGTTTCATGGTTGTCCATATTTAATTATATTTAAATATAACAGTGCCTCCAGCCATTTTTACCCGGTATACAACCCAGCCAGCCGGCTCAGGGCACAGTAGGCCTCATGTCTTTATCTTACTTAGGCGGTAAGAACAGGGAATACATTCTAGATTATGGCAGTCATCTTACTGTGCTCGTCTAGGTTCATAGATGTATAATGTATAAACCAAGACTGCAATGTTTGAGTCGATCAGAATACGTTTAGGCCTGTGGCCACCTATAGGTGGTGCTATAGAGTTCTTACAATGCATGTGATTTTAATGTGGCAATAAAAAAAATAATATGGAGCCTTTTGAGGGTCACTCTACTATTGTATCATGGTATACATAGTTTCTGTTGTGAAAACTTTGTTTAAGGCTCCTCATTTGCATCTGGAGCCATCACGGAGGCATTTTATTAAAACAAATTACTACTTTTTATTTTTAGATTTGAGTGTAGAATAAAGTATTGTTAATTATAACATAATTATTGACTCTTTCAAAAACATACATTGGCACAAAATAGGACTCATGTTTTCTTTAAGCTGGATATTCATTTACTGCAGTGGGTGGGGTAATAATAGAAGACCGTAGCTTTTCTAAATCAAACTATTCCAGTTCAGAAGTGGATCCAATTGCCATCATGAAACTATTTCTCTACAAAACATAACAAACAAGTTCTTAAAATTCCTGACCATTTTCCAGCAATGAATCCAACCGTTTGGTATCGTTTGCAGTAGACATATTTCTGATGTTACTATAGAAACGACACGGTGCAATGTTGAATTTAGACGCTTCTGTGTGAACGGGCTGCTTTCACAAATGTGTCACACTGGAATAACACAGATCCAGATTCAGGAATCTGGTTTAAGTAGAGTCTGGGGGTGAACGAGAACAAATGCAACGTGGACTAAATACTTCAATATCAATACACTGTAGAGCAGTGTCTCCCAAAGTGGGGTCCTGCAAGCCTTCACCGGCGGGGTATACTCTTGACAGCTGGAACAAGTTTCAGCCCCTCTGTCTGTCGACCCTGTCTATTGAAGATTCGGAAGACGTATATATCTTTGGCATTTTGGTGGTGGGGATCCTCCTGTTTGGATTTGGAGCGGTTCTCTTCTATCGCAAATTCGGAGGCATGGCAGTTCACAAGATTCACGACCTGCTGGCCGACAAAATTGATGGGATGTACAAGGAGCTTAGCCGCGTCGTGGTTGAGAGCGCCGTGTCTGGACAAAGGAGAGTGGTGTTTGTGGAACAGTTGATAAAAGACCTTGCAGCTCGTTCACTCGAAGGGAATAAAACATTAAAACATTGGAGATGAGATTGAATGACATCGTGTGTCAGGCTTGAACTCTCTGACCCGGCATGGATTTGCCCCTGTGTACGGAGGTCTGAGGGCGCCGCAATTCGGTTTAATTGGACTTAATAGAATATCTGCCTGTTTTTGACTGCTACATTGCATACAATATTGTCCCTCTCAGGCGATGTGTTTTTCTCCTGCTGTGTCTTCTCTCCACTCTTATCTCACATTCCTCGGCCAAGGCCATAATAACAAGGTCCCCATCTACAACAATCTCACACTATTTCAGTCTCCAGCAAGGATCCCGCTCCCCCGCCTCCCTCTACCTATCCATCTAGCTCCCTCCCTCCCCTCCACTCCTCATTGTGTTTCCGACTCACCCCCTCCCTGACCCCGCCCCCCTCTGACAGCCACATTGGGCCGGCAGTCGGAGGGGCTCATCCCGAGAAAAAAATCCGTGGTTTATACAAAGCACAATGTGTCTATCCACCTGCTGTGAAACTGTATGTTATTGCTCTCTGCTGTTTATTCTACTGTTTGTCGCATGGCGCCGTAAAGATGGCGCCGTGGCAAGAGCTCTGGTGTGTGTCGTCTTCTCTGTCTGGCGCACACCGTAGTCTTGCACAGTTTTTCCAATGTGGTTTTACTGCAAATGGCAAATAAATGAATCTGAATCTGACTAACCCTAACAAACTAGCCCTAACACACTAACCCTAACACACTAGCCCTAACACACTAACCCTAACACCCCGACACTAACCCTAACACACTAGCCCTAACACACTAACCCTAACACCCCGACACTAACCCTAACACACTAGCCCTAACACACTAACCCTAACACCCCGACACTAACCCTAACACACTAACCCTAACACACTAAGCTTAACCCGGACAGAGTGAAGGAGAGCACAGGGACATCCAGAGGTGGCGGTGTGTTTTTTTTGGATGAATCAGTGCTGGTGCGGAAGGCCTGATGTTAAGGTGTAAGTAAGCAGTCTTTATTTATATAGCGCCTTTCTCAGACCAGAGTCACAAAGCTCATTTGTTGTGGGCATTTGTCTCTCACTCCACACAGAGATGGGAGCGAGACCAGTACAGGAGGCACATGCCAGACCTATTGTACATGTTCTTAGTGGTAGGGGAAACAAGAGCACCTGGAGGAAACCTACGCAGACACGGGGAGAACATGCAAACTCCACTCAGAAAGGCACCGTTCTGATCGGGATTTGAACCAAGGATCCTCGGTTTTGTCAAATTGTGTGAATTGTGTCGCACTGTATATCATCCCCCAGAGTTTTGCTGCTCGTGTCCGGGCAGTGAAACCTAATCAGGTCATGCATATTTCAGGCTCAGGCACAAACACTCACCACTGTTTGGTGATGTCAAACATCATGATGACGCCGTTACAGTTTTTATAAACGTCCAAGAACTCTGCATCCAAGGCCACCTCGTCCGACTGCAAACACACGGAACATGGTTAGATACGGGCAGTGAAAATATACTGAAAATATTGTGACATTACATTTTAGGAACTTTAAGGTTTAAGGTACATTTTATTTATCCCGTAGGGCAATTTGTCTCCAGCACTTCACCCTCCAGCACTTCACCCTCCAGCACTTCACCCTCCAGCACTTCACCCTCCAGCAATTCACCACTGGATTCCCCACGATCCAATACAATAATCAATACTTGGCTCAAAATATCTATTAATAATGTTGTTTAGGTTTATCTAACAATTAATTTAAAGCAATATGGCCGTGGATATAATTTTTTTGTATTTTTGAGAACACTTGTTATTGAATTGAAATTGAATTGAGTTTGTGCTCAAGATAGAGAAGCGTGAAGGCATGAAGACAGCATTAGCATAGACCAGAATTAGCATAGACTACTGTTCATGTTTAGTATATTATTATACTATATTATTATATTTTGTTATTGTGAATGTAACCATCTCTTTTAAGACATATTAAATTATATAATTACTAGGGCTGTCAAAATTATCGCGTTAACTCACGTTATTACATTTTTTATTAACGCGTTTAAAAAAAATTAACGCATTAACGCATGTCCGAATGACCCGCCCATTTATCCATAATATCACTCAGAAGGCTGCGTGTGAGATGCATCGGAGCAGGTAGGCCTTCTGGGAATTCATGTTTTAAAAGAATACACGCGTGACCGCGGGGCTGTTTGCTGTGAACTGAAGTCCGCCTCCTCCGCGGCCGCTCTGGCTGTGAGCCGCTAACAACAACACGGCTGTGAGTGAATGGCGCCTCGGTAACATGGTCATATAAGACCAAACACGCCACAGAACTATTGTCTGCATGTTGTGCTCGTGTCTTTGCAACCTGTGCGTAACCTATGCAAATACACAATACGCAAATACACCGCGAAAGTGTCCCTGTAAATTTCCCCCTTTCATTAACAGCTCATTTTGGTTGTGCCCAAAAGCAAAAGGTTGTGAGCAAATCAAACAGATTTAAGTACATTTGGTATGAATGACAATGTGTCATTATATTTGATAATCTCATTTAACTAACAATTTTTAACATTCAATAGAATGTTAAAAATGTGATTAATCGTGAGTTAACTCACCATTTCTGTGCGATTAATCAACAAAAAAATGTTAATCGTTTGACAGCCCTAATAACTATATATTTAAGACTAATTACTTTGCAGTGTGGAACATGGCAAAGTCCCTACATTTCTAAATCACTGACAAATACAGTTGTGATGTAAAACCTACAAATGTTGGCATCTGTGTTAAAGCATTAAAAACATTTCACTCATTCATCTTAAGACGGAAGTGAAACAATGAAAAAATGTCAATTATGCCTATTTTTTCATATTCACTTATATATGCGGACTGGTGTATGCAATACAGTGTGTGTCTTGCAATGGAATTGTAAGATTTCTGAATGATTCTAACTTTATCTTTAGACGATACTTATAACTTAAATGTATAAATTGCTTTCTGCCGGTTCCATTCAGCCCACATAGTTCTATAGAGCCATGTGAGTCTTATCACATGACTATCACATGACTATCACACGACTATCACATGACTATCACCTCCTGTGGCTCATTCTCCAGTTTCAAATTGTCCCCACGTCTTTTTCCTTTTCCTGAAAGAAAAGCAGACAATCATTAATATTGTTTCAACAAGACCTTTTCATAGTTCCTCTTTACTTTAGTCAGATTAGTGAAGTGCTCTTAGACATTATGCTAACAGGGAGATATTCAAGGCATCAGTGATTCTCAAATATTTGAGAATCACTGACGCTTTGAATTCAAAACCATCTTCAATTCAATACTTCCACATTTTAACCTTGGCAAAAAACTGGGCCGAATTAGGCTCAACATAAAATGGGTTAAAACCCACTCTTGTCATTGCTTCACCTCGAAAGACACTTTTACTTAATATATTTTCAAATCAAGACAATTTAGGCCAGTTTAGTGCACAATCCATTTCTGTGTCCAATAGATCCAAGTCGGTAAAAGATGTCCGTTACAAATGAATTGAGGTATGATTCCAATGACTGGACCTGATGCAGCCTTTGACAGAATCAATATGGAAATCCTGAATATCATTTGATTTGAAATTATTTTTCAAATTCTAATATTTCATAACCTTTTCAGGTTTTGCATGACCATATGAAGTGCACTTTTATAACTTATAAAGGAGTATATAAGAACCACTGATCGTGAAGCACAGCAAAATGTCGGTTGATGCAAGTTAAAATGACTTGAATTGCAAACTGCATTTTTGTTTCTCATTTTAAAATTGCTCAAAATTATTTGACATGTACATTAGTCTTTTTATTACTAATAACATTTTGGGTTCATTATATAGAACATGTGAGGGTGGCACATATTAGGTTACAAGCCTTCATTAAGTATTGACTTCTGATCCACTTAAAGAAGCAACAGAAAGGTTTGAGGTAAACGGTTGGAAACGGCCACAGAGACATGTGAATTGGGCCGGATGTGGCCCCCGGACCACACTATGCACAGGTCTGCTTTATAGTTTATAATAATAAATTACATGTATTTAATTCTACAAACCCTGTTTGTGGTCTTAAGGCCTTCATCAAACCAAAGAGCGAAGCAGCCACTCTCTGTCCTCACCTCCACATTCATCCTTTGGACTCGCTTTTTCACCACAACATTCTGATACAGAGACGGCACAAACTGCACCAATCCATCTGTCACTCTCTCCTCCCTTCCCTCACTCACTCGTGAACAAGACCGTGGATGGAACTGTATCTGTAAAAGTATCCATCCACAAGAAGCAGCAGACGAATTCAATTGACCCGAGAGTAATGTCTGAGACCTGGGGCCGCGACATCGTCCACTCAGATTGTAGATATCTTTTGGATTTTAGGACAAAAGATGGAAGTGTAGCTCGGTGCTAACTCTGGTGCAGCCATATTTTTACTGTAACTGCACATTGTCCTTAATAAATTAAACTCAAAACCAGGGGTCACCAACCTTTTTAAATCTGAGGACGACCTCAAAATGACCAAACGAGGATAAATATTTATTGTTGAATTTAAATTAATTGTGCATTGCACAAATGGGTGAAAAATAGGGAATTGTACAAAACCCCAATCTTTATTTTCTTTGAACAAAGATTAGGAAAGTCAACTATTATAAATTATTTTGAGTTTAATAATCAAAGGGCAATTAATTATGTTATTAATTTTATGGTCACTAATGATTCCGGTTAGATTTGGGGTGAACTCAACTACCACTAAAGATGTAGCTCTGTAATAAAACCCATGTCACTCGTTCCTGGCTCTAAAACAGTGTAATGCTGTCACTTTCCACATCTGCAGTGTTGTTGGGTTCTGTCACATTTTTCATCCACTTTTTCAGACTCAATGTCAATGTTATCATAATATGTACTCACTTTGCAGATGTCTGATTGGATCAGTATTTGATATGTGACTAATGTCTTGCATCACCAGAAGGATTGACAAGTAGGAGGACCAATATTCTAGATGATCCACCCAAGAACAAAATCCTCTAGAATACCTTTAAGTTACGTTAAAAGCCCCTGGCTCAGTCCTAGCTCAGTCCTGGCTTGGTCCTGGCTCAGTCCTGGCTGAGAACTGGTTCACAGCAGCTTTATTTATTAAACTTAAACTAAATCATTGATTGAAACGTGGGTGAAACGTGGCTCATTGCGCACGTATTTGTGCTTCTCTCACAAACCGGACTCTTGAGCGGTTCGTGTCTCTGATACTGATTATTTTTAAACGCTTTAAAGATCAAAACAGAGCTCAGACTTTCATCTGTCGCGTGGACTGTACTGTATGTCTATGCTCTTCCGCAAACGCCAACCGCTGAGAGGAGGGGTGGAGACTAAAGACTGGCTCAACAGGCTCCGGGACAGTAACTAATTATAGCTCATGCACTTCGCTGGTGCCTTTCATGGTCCTTGCATAGTATTGGTAACAACAAATTCCCTACATATATTTAAATCAATCCAACATAACCCTGTAATATATCAGGTTAAATGCTCAATAAGATAAGAAATTTGTAAATGTTCTTGTTTGTAATTCTCGTCATTTCAACTGGCATCTTGTGTGTTTTGCAGGGAGACCTGAGAACCAGCCACGCAGCAGCAGCTATCAGGTAAGCCAAAACTGTGGGAATATTGACTTTCAGATAAGTGTCAGAGGCAAACTCACACAGCACACATTAGAATGAAGCTACTACTGCACACTGTGGCGGCTCTCACCTTCTGGATGAAGATATTTTTGGCCTAACATGAGCGTAAAAGAACAGGCACAAAAAGACAATGAAGACAGATCAAATGAAATTGAGCCGTTTGATTAAAACTGAATGTGACAAGGAAGATAAAAATGTGTGGCTAAAAATAAATGTTCCCATTCAAAACTTGCACTCACCTTTGTCGACGACGTCCCACACCTCGACTTTGACCACATCATCAGTAGCTTTCATGGACACAAAAAGGTGAAGAGAACATTATAATTCGCACTCATAACATACTTTTGTATTTTGCCATACATGAAATGCATGTTTGGGAAGAAAAGAGGAGCAATTCATGCTTCAAGGATCATGGATTTATAATAATATGATCTATTATCACTATTGCTGTGTCACAAAGCAGGAAGTGGCCATTTGTCTGATTCATATTGAATTGTAAATCCTCAATGGTCACATTTTATAGTGCTCAGTATAAGCTAACAATGGGGACAAGGCCGTCCTGCCTATGGTGGGAGGACAACAGCAGCAGAAAACTAAAACTGGTAAACCACTCTGGTCTAAAAAGAAAAAAGTAATATTGACTGAAAAGGAGAGATGTGTTGATCTCAGGTTGACCGCAAGCGATTCAAATGTGACATTTTATATAAACATTTAAATGAACTATTACACTGGGTAACAAAAAAATATTTTTTGAAAATAGTCCTAGGTTTTCCAGCTGAATTAGACTAATTGTGATGCTCTGAGTCCGAAAATGACCTTGGTTTTGCTCAATCAGGTCAAGATTTTTTCCCACAGAATTTTTTTTTAATCGATTTTGCGTAAAAAACAAATTTCTGCGGATCATCAGCTGAGAAACCCTTGACGTTTTTTCCGTTTTCCTCAAGAAATAAAAGTCAACGTATCCAAAGTCATTCAATTTTTATTTACTCCATCAAATTTGATAAGCAGAATTCATAATAACGTAGACGTACATAATCCGTAACACTATGGCTGTATCTCAAAAAGTTGACCTGATAGAGAAAAATGCATGTGATATTCGGACTCAGAACACCAAAATTAGTCTAAATCAGTTGAGAAACCCCTGACCATTTTTTGGCTGTCAACTTGTGTTAGGAAACAAACTATATTTGAAGGTGCAGCAGGTCCAAGGAAACGGTCTTTCGAGTGGAACACTGGTGCACAACACTGACAGAAGTCAACTTACCATAAAGTATCTCTGGTATTTTTGTTATGTTTCTAATGAAAGCATATTTGATCCTCCTCCTTACATGGAGACAGGCCAACAAGAGATGCATCACACTGAGGCTGGTTCTGCATGAACAGAACAAGCTTCTTTCTGCAGTATTTGACCAAATGATTGAACAGAATCTAGATCAAAACAAATACCTTCGTCTTAAAGTTAGAGGCTACGATCACCAACAGCATTTCAATAGATGCTTGTGTGTAGCATGTAATTGTGTAATGCCGTAGGTTGTTAGGTAAATAAAAAATGATGGATATATGAATAAAAACGTATAGTTTAGTTTTAGGATATAATATATATCCTAGAAGAATCAGCAGTGCGGCCTCGCTAGACGGCCATATTCACTTCTACCATCAACACTTATTACAACTACAACGAATAGGTTTCTTTCAATGGGAGACTAACCCTCGCCCTAAACTATTAGGAATGACACAGCTACATCTAAAACTTTTACCTTGATATGGGGCCACTGGAACAAACAGTACAAGTGACAAGTTTATAAAAGACACAAATGGTGATGAGTTGATTATGGATGGTGAGTATTGGAAAAGCTGAAACTTACTTTTATAATTCCAATGTATACTGGTGGCTTGGATCTCCTGTGTGGGAATATACTCCTCCACAAACTTCTTCCCCTGCAGGCGATGCCACAAAGTGCTTTTGCCAGTGTTCCGGTCACCTCGGATAACAATCTTCACTAAAGGAAACACAAAAATGTGATCAGTAAAACATGTAATATAGAATCCCATTTTACATTGTTTAAATTTAAAGGCAAACCAGAACATATTCTTCAAAGACATCTAAACTTATATGATTTAAGTTGTCATTTTGGACCAATGGTGAGGTCTTTCAAGTATTGGAATTAATTGCATCCAATCAGGGAAGTATTGCAAAAATCGTCTCTCAATCTTCACAATTTGAAAAGTAACGGACCTTCTCTTTAACACTGCACAACAAAAAACCAAAACATTTGAAATAAGAAAAGTGGTAAAGTAAATAACCTCGTCTCCTACTTGATTCGGCCTGAGGCCCAACTGGGCGTAAGGCCTATTGTGCGAGTCTTAAAATTATGTATCATGTGTTGCCATGTAAAACCTACAGTGGTATGCAAAGGTTTGGGCACCCCTACACATTATTAGGATTCATAAATTTCAGTTGAAGATATTATATAGGAGAAAAAAAAACAGTGATGTTTGAGAAGCAAAATAAATTCTACATCATTTACGGAAAAATAAAACCATATTTAGAACAAATTAGCCATGTGCATACTTGTAGGCAACCTTTATATGTTTTTATTTCAATACCACAACAACATTTTGATCTTTTTGACTGATAGAGTTTAAATAGTGTGTATTTCTTTTCCACAGGTAAAACTAATTCCTTTGATGCTCATGTGCTCAACACGTAAGCAGCGGAAGTGCAGTCTACCCCTGCTTTGCCGAGGCCGGTGCTGCCGGTAATGAAGTATTTAGCTAGTAACTGTAATATAACTACACATACTTTTACAATAACACGTTGCACTATGTTACTCCAATTGTAATTAAATGCGCCAGACCAAACACTGGTAGTACTAGGGGTGCAACGGTTTGAAAAAATCACGGTTCGGTTCGTACCTCGGTTCAGAGGCCACGGTTCGGTTCATTTTTCGGTTCATTTTTCAAAAAAAAAGTGTTGTCTTTTTAATAAACACAGCTCATGTGGACTCGGCACCTGCTCTGACTGCCCCCCCCCCTGACCTAGAAATGAATTAAGGGGAAGGAAATGGATGGATGGATGGATGGATGGATGGAATATTCCATCCATCCAATTATGTCTATTTAACATAATTAATGAAAAACAACACAAAGTGCAACATAAGAAGGCACTTTATGAGGATATTTACTCTCATATATTACACCACCTTCCTGATTCGAGGAGGCGCTCAATTCTGGGCCCAGCCTCATTCACTGCATTTATTTAATTTTTGGCATTATCAGTTGTGACTGGGATATTAGTACTGGACTTTTGTCTTCCTCCGCTGCTTGTGTCAGTACCTGCGCTGTGTGACAGTGTGACTGTCGTAGAGGGGGCGTGTCTTCAGCCCCAGACTTCTCATCTCCCAGTCTGCGGTGATGAAGTGAGCGGTTCCGCTCATGGATCTATTATAGGTTCCGCGGGACGTCCAAGCGTCAGTCGTGAGCGCAGCTGAGGATGCGCGGGAGAGTTGACTTTAGCCCGGTCTGACTGTGCGTAAAGGAGCTGCTTAAATGCCGCGACAATAAGCGGTCGTTGAGACGCTTTTTTCACTCATGTCTTTCTTGTGCCACAGTGCTTACACATCGTGACAGTTTTGTCGAATATTAATTATCAGTGTAGTTACAGTGAAGCCAAAATGCTCTCATACTGGGGATTTAAATGACGCGGGGCTTTCAAGCATCTCCGTTCCTCCGCTCGCAATGACCGCGCTGTGTGTGGACTGAACAACGTGCGCACAACTTTTTTTTCATAAATCAAACCGCGGATCACGTCTGTACCGAACCGAAGACGTTGAACCGAACGGATCACGGATCAGTGATGAACCGTTGCACCTCTAGGTAGTACCATATGTCTGCTGACAGGGCAGGGACTTTGAATGAATGTTGACGTCCTATTTGACACATTTGGCCGTTTCACACAGAACCACAGCTTCTAACTTAAGCCGATCGTCGCGTCTCAAGGACACAGTCCTTTGCTCACAGTGTGTGAGCAAAGGAGATTGCACTTTTTTATCTTCAAAATTGGACAAATAACACTGTAGGAGCCAAAAGTACCTTTCCCTAGCCACAAGGTGGCGCTGTGGGCGTTATGTGACCTGAGCCCATTCTCTTACAAAAAAGGCAGAATTAGAGGGCACAGGTGCTGCTAGGTTTGGAGGTAAACCGTTTCTTACCGTGTCAGTCCCTTGTGAAATGTATTAGGCTTATGTGGATTACTGGCCATAGGGGCCAATAACGAAACCTCTAATACACTATTTGGACTGTGGTTTGTGGAGACAGGCGTTTGGGAAACCCTTCAAATCTTAGCAGCCAAGAGGCGATCTATAGGCAACATCTTCGCTTCTACGTCCACATACAAAGTCCGATTTACACAACGTTTTAACTGGTTGTTCAACTCTGGGGTGTAGGTTAGCTGAATGTAAAAAATATGAAATAGCAACATGTTTCACCCTCAAAAGTAAAAAATGTGGGGGGTTTTCATAACATCAGCCTGCCCAGGGACTACAGGTGGAAATGAGCTCTGGAGCTATAACCTGGTACAATGCATATTTCCCTTTAAAGGTTAATGTTTGTCATCTTAAATAAACAAACTAAAACTAAACCTTTGGGGGCGTTTCACCAACAGGGCTTATAATCAAATTCTGAAGTTAACTTTGAGGTTAAGTGGTGTGTGTGCAGCATATTTCAGTTATTTACATAGAGACACATGAAAGTTACTGTTATTCAATGGATTGATTATATACATTATGATTTTACAATATCAGTGATTCCTTTACGAGGGCCCGGATGAGGACGCACCAGCGCCAAAAACAACAAATCTAAACTGTAATAAATGCTGCTGTAGTGAATTGCATTGCATTATGGTAAGTACAGTATAAATTAGTTGAAATAGTCAAAAGCAATAATGGGGTCAAAAATCTAAAAAGTAGTACAAGGGGTAAAGACTTACTGTTATACTGCACTCCTTTTGCAAAGCGTCGTTGGAGGCTTTGGTTCATGGACTGAAGACCCGCTGGGATGTTCTTGTCCCTGAACTGCCCCGGCTCGGACCCCACCAGCTTCTTCAGCGCTGAAAACATCTTCACAATCTTCCGAAATCCAAAAGAACCAGGATAATCTCTTGGGAATTTGTTGAACTAAAAGCAACAACAAGTTCTGTCCAGAATCCAGATGGTTGTAAATTAGGAGTACATGATGTCCACAGGCAACGGTTTATGAAGGGCTTCAGCAGCACTTATTGGGAGTCGAACTCATCGTGTTTGAGGTATCTGTCAAAAGAAGAATCAAAAAAATTCATTACTGACAACTGATTAATTCACAGAACTGTGGGCTGTCGTTCCTCAATTCAGTTCTTAATAATACAGGGGTGTCAAACTGGACCTCAAAGAGCCCCAAACTGGCTCTGCAGGGTATATTTCCAACCAAACAGGAGCAAACCAGACTCCGTTTAAGACTGGACTCACTTCAGGAAATGGGTAGAGGCTGGTGAGCTCTTGCTTGGTTGGAAAGAAATCCTGCAACCACACTGGCCCTTTGAAGACCGGTTTGACACCCCGGACACACTTGCTAAAATATTATGATTTATGATCTCTGTGGCTCTTTATTAAATATACATGTAATATGAAATATTTAGATTGGTGTAAAAAGAAACTGTAGTGCGGTGAATGAGAATATACTGTACTAGAGCCTCATATTTACAGAAAAGTTTTTTGCTTCTTGTTACTGCAACATTTTTATCTATTTTAGATTATGGGGACCTGATATATATGAATACCTCAACTCAAAGTCTTCATTCGATTGACGCTTTGTATCATTCTTCTCTGAGGTTTATTATGAACTGCAAAGCCTTGATTCACTGTGAATGATATTCTGGAGTAGGATCTTTGTCCACAGAAGGTTTGGACACTGGTTTCTCTCTTTCTCTCTGTCGTTTACTCACACAAAGAGATCTTGGTTCATATGGTTACTTTGGATCAAATGATCTCTTGTTGCTCTGTTCGTTTTGCACAGAACTGGGGAAAAAAAGCTTTTGTATTTGCTGCTCCTTCTACATGGAACGTGTTGCAAAAAGACTGGAAATTATCTGGACTTATTTCATTGAATGCTTTTAGATCCAAATCAAGAGACTGAGACATCCTCATTGAAATGTAACTGATTTTATAATCTGTAATTTTATGAAATTGTATGTGACTGTTTTATAATATTTATGTAAGTGATTTATAATCTGTAATTGTGTTTAACTGTTTTACAATCTGTAATTGTATTTAGGGCTGCACAATATATATCGGAAAAATATTATTATCGCAATATTGGTGCGTGCGATATCCATATCAAAAATATCCGCAATATTAAAAAAAATATATATATATATATATTTATTTGTATTTTTTTTACTTTTTTTTTATTCCTTTATTAAAGACAACAAAACAGACAGCCACATCAACATTCAACAAGAACAACAAACAAACAAAAAAGTATATAGATTGTCATCATGTTCCTAAGTTCATTACTTAAGGTTAAAATTATTTACTTTAAGGTGTGCTAAAACCAGATCGATTGATTAGTGAACCTATGGTCTAATTCATAGTATATGAAATGTAGTTAAAAACATCTATGAAAATATGTTTAAACCCTCTTTTGTAACTGATTTGGCTAAATGTCCGTTGTTAATTCAATAAAACTATACTATACTATACTATATATACTATTCCATATCATAAACTATACTATAATACTGCAAAACTGTTCAGAAAAAAAGGTCTTCAACAAACAGTTTACTGACATGAGCAGGTTAAAAATATATATTATTTCATTTGGGAGTAAAATTTTATTGAATAAAAATTAGTACTTTGATTTACTAGCAGAAACATTATTTGTTTAAAAGTAGTGATTAAAAGACAGTTTTTTTACACAGAAAAAGGATTGTATGTTTCTGTTCTATTTTTTAGGTAACAAAAATATCACAATAATATAGTTATCGCAATCCTAAACACTCATATCGAATATCGCACTAATTTCCAATATCGTGCAGCCCCAATTGTGTGTAACTGTTTTATAATCTGTAATTGTGTGTAACTGTTTTATAATCTGTAATTTTATGTAACTGTTTTATAATCTGTAATTGTATGTAACTGTTTTATAATCTGTAATTGTATGTAACTGTTTTATAATCTGTAATTTTATGTAACTGTTTTATAATCTGTAATTGTATGTAACTGTTTTATAATCTGTAATTGTATGTAACTGTTTTATAATCTGTAATTGTATGTAACTGTTTTATAATCTGTAATTGTATGTAACTGTTTTATAATCTGTAATTGTATGTAACTTTTGTCCAGGACTCCCTTGAAAAAGAGGATCTTAATCTCAATGGGACTTTCCTAGTTAAATAAAAAAAAGATTGCGCAGTAGCAGTTTTAGCAGTTTCTGAGCACTGGATCAGCTGTCGTATAAGTGCACAAATGGTTCTAGCCGGATCCAATGTGATGTCACATATCTATAATGACAGGTGCAGCGTGAGGCTACAGCAGGTGAATGTGCAGAAGTATACAAGTTCAACATACAGTACTTCTGCCAATGGCGAGCAAGAGGGGAGTCGTCTCTAGCATTATTCATTATGGTGTTAGCGCCAGGGCTGCTGCGCAGGCTGTGGTACAGTTGGGTTTCAAGTGTTCTATATTAAACCATTATAGAACACTATAATTGTTAACAGTGTTCTATAAACAATTATAGACACAGATTTGAAAGTGTCTTGGTTAAGCCACAAAAACAAAAGCATGTTAGTTGTATATAATTGTTTTACATTTTAGAATAATATTATTCAGACAGTAGCCTAATAATAAAATGAATTCAAATTACATTTGGCAAATATTTCTCAGTCAGTGACAGCCCATATAGCATTAACATAATGCTATATGGGCACAGAATAATTTAATAACTGTTATGAATTTACCTTAAAAACAGTGAGTTATATAATTGAACAGGGATGTTTAACAAAGGTCAATATCGTGATTCACTTTTCAGATTTCCAAAACTGCAGACAATCAAATGTTCAATCCAAGGCCATAATTCTATCCAATTCAAATATAACAGAATGCATCACAAAAAGCCTATATTCATTAGTTTGTCATTTTAACATGTTTATAAATTAGTATTAAAAGCCATTTCAAGCACACACAGGAAAGTCCTGCTTTAAATCCATTCATAGTCTGCATATTTTTCTGAGATGTCAAGCTAGCATCTCTTAGCTCACCATCTTTGTGCCAATTTGCCAACTAGCTTCCTTGAATAGAGAATAAATAAAAGGTCAAACTTAAAACTGCTTATAATCCCTGGTCTAAGTAACTGGATCCCGTAGAGAGTCATGAGAATTGTCACCCAGTCTGGAGGTAACGCTATCCTCTGAGGGCGAGTTAGCTTAGCATCTTAGCATCTTAGCATCTCTCCCCTCTGTGTAATGATGGCTTTAGGCTAGCACAAACTCAGCTTTCACAGTCTGCCTTTTATACTCACGGTCATCTAACGCCAGCGGATGCAGGAGTCTTGACATGTCCCCCCGGGCTGGTCTGTCATCCCTCCATCTCCGCAGGAAAGTAAAGACATTCCTTTACAATGAAAGCAGGCGACAGCAGCAGCAGACCAGCGATACAGCCCCGGATCAGCTGGAAGAACTGCGACAGGACACATCCAAGAGCTTCCGGGAAACTGCTTCAGAATAAATAAATAATAAATAATAATAAATAAAGGGAGGAAAGCAGATTATTTGTACTACCTGCCTCAGAATAAAGGGTGGTTTATAATGATAATAATAATAATAATAACATCAGTTTTATAAAGAGTGGACACTCAAAGCGCTTCACAGGTCACTATTTATTTATTTATTTAAATTGTGGATATGACAGAAAATCACATTTTACAATTGTTTTTAAAATAATTGTCATCTTAACACAAATAAAAAGGAGCAGAAAGAAGATTTTTTTTTAATGCTGCCTGCCCCTTTCTTGAAACATGTACAAATTAAATAAAGAATATTTTTTATAAGTGACAAGTGTTGTGATAAACTACCTGGGGCAAAGCAACCAGTGTGCCATCGGCCCCTCCAACCACCACTTACCCTTCACACACACCAGACTCATTCTAGGCAATGGGGGTGAAGTGTATTGCCAAAGAACACTTATACAGCAGCAGCCGCCCCACTGTGACCCCTGGCGATCCCAGATGTCTCCCATCACAGTACTAACCAGGCTCTGCCCTGCTTAGTTTCAGAGGTCTTCATGACCACACATGTACTTTTGGGAGAGCACAGAATAAAGTGAGGAAAGCAGATTATTTATTTTTGGGAGAGCATCATTGTTTCTGTATCTTTTAACGTTAATTATGTTACATTTCTCCCTCGTAAAGAAGAGACCCAATGTTTGTTTATCTGTGTCCACGCTGATATAAGACTGCACCATGTGCCCCCTCCCCTTCTGTTTAAATGCTCTGTTTTAAACTCATCATACTGACCGGCGTTCATGCGAGATTAGAAAATCAGAATTTCAACTTCCCACTCAGAAAAATGGCAATGAATGTAACTTGTAAACAAAAATAAAGCAAAATAACAGATGCAATAGATGTTCCATAGACATTCAGAATATATTTCCCCACAGTCGGACAAATAAGATAATATAGACTTTTATCCATCCCTCATGACATCATTGCGCATAGAGAAAAATAGAACACTCAAATACAATAATAAAATAAAAATATAATAATACTCTGCATCTATAACTGCATTTTGTTCGAGGATAAATCACTTCTTGAGTACACACCGTAAATATAGCACTTTTCATGAGGTATTTACAGATGTTTAAATTGTACATTTGCATAAAAGAATATGACCAGAATAAACAATAGTAATGACAGCAGGTAAACTGACTAGTGTGTTATCAGAACAGAGTCATCAGATGAATGGAATGTGAATATGTAATAATGTAGTCAATAGCAGCTAAAGTGGATTATCAGAACACGTGAATGGCACATGCCCAGGCTCAGCAGTTCTCGTTGTACAGTCTGACAGCAGCATGGGGCTGTAAAGTGCCAAACTGTGGTTGTGTCCTTGAGCAAGACACTTCACCCACATTAGAATGAGCCTGGTGTGTGTGTGAATGGTTGGTGGTGGTTGTAAGGGCCAATGGCACAGAATGGGAGCCTTGCATTTGCCAGTGTGCCCCAGGACAGCTGTGCCTACAATAGTAGTTTATCACCACTGTGTATGGAGTGAAATAATAATGACATGTGAAGCATCTTTGAGTGTCCAGAAAGCAACTCATTATTATTATCATTATTTTATATGATTAAATACATACAAAAACAAATAAAAGTATGTTATATGACCATAAGATCATTCCAAAACCATTCTTGGAAAGGTTAGAGATTTGTATTGTCTGTTTTCTGTTTGTGTTGATCTGGACCATGAGTCTGTAATAAAGTTAGCTGTCTGCAATACAGTCTAAAAGCCTCCTTTATTCCTCGTTCACGCTGCTTCTGTCCCCCCAGCGGCAGACGCGTGTAACTACAACTATCCTCCTGCGCCTCTCTCCCGCCTCCACATGGACGCATCCTTTGGACAAATCCTACAAATGCATCTTTGACAGACATCTGAGCCGCTTCGAAGATCACACCGAGTGGGAGACATGGCCACACGCCTCGGACACGACCGGGCAATGAGCTGAACGTCCACTCCCCCCGACGCACCCCGAGATTTTGTTGTCAGGGGTTCGGAGAATCATCATGGCCGCGCAGGAGCCGTCCCCACCATCTTCCATAGAGAGCAACAAACCGGGATTCCCCAAGAAGATCCTGGCCAACAACCACGAAGACAAGCATCTGTGCAACTCCTGCCAGAAGATCCTCCGGCGGCCGCTGCAAGCTCAGTGCGGACACCGCTTCTGCACGTACTGCTTCCACCGGACCGTGAGGTGAGCTGTGGCCGTGTGCGCGCTGGCCCTGGCCCCTTCAGGATCCTGCATCATCACAACTGTGCGTGTGGTTAGCCCTGCAGCTACAGTGTTTGGCTCCGTAAGATCTGGACACGTGTGTTGTTGCCACATTGGGGAAGTTTCATTGTTGCAACGTTGTTCGAATTTAATGCTACTGTCACTTTAAAGGTATACAAGAGGATTTTCTACTTCCGGGTGGATCATCAAGACTATTGGTCTTCGTAGTTGTTATCATTTTGGTGATACGTGCTCATCAAATAAGAGTTTTGTTCAAAAAGTGGAGAGGGCTGTTCTTTTTCTAAATTTTGGAAAAATCCTCTTCTATACCTTTTAATTTTGACGGCTCTCATTAAAATAGATGGAATTCTGAAAAATCCCACAAAAAGTCAGTTTTTCATTACTTTCATTACAATTAGTTAGTGATTCTTATGCTTTAAAAACGATTTAATATTTGCTGGGGAATACGCTGTGTTGCTTTGGTAACTAGAACTTGTTCCAAACTGAGATGGCTCTAAACTAGTCCAGGACCAGTCCAGGATCGAGATAATTTCATAAACCCAATTAGATACAACATATAGAAACAGAAAAAGTCACAAAGTTGCTAAATGTCTATTGTGTACTTCGTGTGCTTGTGCATAGTAGTAATGTTAAGAGATTGTATATCAGATTTTATATCCCTTTTATATACCCTTATATACAACTTATTTATACCCTTACAACTTGTCTGCACCTAGAATTTCCTGTAGATTTCCTGTAAGTTACGATGGTAATAAAAATAATTCTGATTCTGATTCAAAGCAGAACAGGGTTGGTTCTAAGCATGTACTGGCGCTAATTAAAATATGTTTAATTTTATGATTTTATCTCCCCTCAAATTGAAATGAAATTAAGTGACTTTTTATTTTTTTATTTTGAGTTCAATACATAACCTAAAATTACAGCATACCTTTAATCTTAAATAGCTATATATCTCCTCGTAAAAGGAGTAAGAAGAAGTACAACTTATATACTCTTTTGACTATTAAACATCTTCCCTCTTTACCATATTCTGTAAATATTAGTACATTTAAAGATCCAGTTCGTAACTTTTTAGCCAAAATAGTGTATTACTCAAAGGCTGTATTTATAAGATATGTATGAAACTGTACCAAGTTTAATATATTCTCCAGTGCATTCCACTATTGTGTACATGTCAACAAGCGGACACAGTCAGCACTGTTCATTGTACAGTCTGACACTGGAGTCACCCATAAACACATGTGTGTACAGAGGTATTGCAGCAGCGGGGGTTTGTGCTGTTTGTGTACTACATTAAGATATGCTCATGTTGAGGGGAACATTCTTTATTTGATGAAGCACAAACTTTAAACACCACTAGCTGTTCATTAATCATTTAATCATTAATTGGAGATTGTCTTGAATGGAAGTAGCCCCAGACTTCCCCCTATATTCACACTCACCCCCAGAGAGACTGAGGGAGTCCCATCAGTCTGGATCTTCCCTGGGTCCTCCTCCCTGTGGTACCTCTCTGGGACGTCCCAAACAGATTAGCTTGCCCTCATTGTCCAAAAACCATTCCCCTTGGTGCATAGGTGATGGTGGGGATATAAACTGGGCATAGAATAGAATACATTGAGTGGGATTGTTTTAAGTTCCTTTGCTAATACTGCATGCTAGCTGTTCTGTAGGTAAAGTTACATTTGGTGATTTAGAAGTCCACTAAAAATATGTTTCTTTTAGTTCTGGCCCACAGAAGTGTAATGCCTGTATCAAAGAGGACCTGTTTGAGGAGCCCACGTCTATTCTCAAGCAAGGGGGTGTAAGTGCTTTGTATTTACTTGATACTTAGTGGTTTGCTCCAGAGGATTTTATATTTTATTGCGGGGTAGATTTGGGTGTTTGTTACTGTATGCAATTGCTCACTATTATAAAGTTACTACATTACATTCTAACACTGGGGCAGCTCAGTCATCTCATCGGGAAGTACACACATCTACAGGCCACAAATAATTGAGGACAATATTTGAAATAGAATAACTTTTGTTTACTCTAGTTCCTTTAAGAATAATGTGTTTTACTGTAACATAATTGACCCAAAACAAAGACATGGATTCAGTGTCTTAGTGAGAGATTAAACTAATGATACAGGACCATTAGTTTAATCTCTCACAGGAGAGGCCACATGAAAGCTTTAGTCTTCTCCTCCAAGAAGTGGCACAAACCAGTGTCTGCAGCTCACCCTCTCTACATTCAGGAAGCAAGAAAGGAACTAGACACAATGGCCGTGCATTTCAGATCTGCAGTTTGCCTTGTTAACTACCATCAGCCATCGGCAAATAGAATAGAAATAGAGACACCGGCCGGTAGAGGGGGTCCGCACACTTTCCTCAGTATCAGAAAAAAAATTAATTTGCCCCTTTAGTCAGTGATATTTCAAGATAGAATCCGAATCTCATTGGACATTTGAGAAGCTAGAGGCGGTGTACAGCGGCTGTATGAAGCTGAACAAAAATTAAAAACTGAAGCCGCCAAGAAATATATGTACAGTATATATACATGGCTCAACATTTCACAATCAGTGCATCTCTAGTCTGCAGCGATGCCCTACTCGTCTTAATCCTTCTCCTAAAACTATAATCCTGATGTCACGTCTCTACACATTATGCATTAAAACCGCGGTTTACCTTAATGTAAAACAGTTGCATTAGTTACTGCAGTTTTATTCACTCACACAACAGAGCAGAGCACAAATCAACAGAGCAGAGCACAAATCAGATCTAATTAATAAATCTGTTGCACCCAAAGGAGCGTCACAGAGACATGAAAATACAGACAAACTATTGACGGGAGAAAGTTTGCAGAGCCTGCAGCCAGGGGTCGCAGTGGATAAATCCTTTCCCAGCTGAGTTGAGCTTGTGTCGGAGTCGGCTTTCTCTCTTCACTGAGTCTAGCTTTTCTGAGAATGGTTTTGTAACTACAGTATATCTGCGACCAAATAGAGATCTCCGCCTACTTCAGCCATGGTGGGTTGAGAAACTTTTTTACGCTACAGAAATGAGCAATTCCATTTTTTCTCACATTGACGTCTCTCTATATGGCATTTCCAATCAAAAGACGTGCAGGCTCTGGCGCTGTAGCCGTTTGCTGTCCCTCGGTGACCCCTCTCTGATTCTGATTGGTTAATGCCACAGATTTGTTTTCATTCACTTGAAGCTCCGTGGGCCAGCACTGTTGCTTCTGAAGGCCTAAAGGCAGATTTTGGACCCTGGCAACACATGATGCTGAGTAATAAGAGGATAAAAACTCTGAAATAAACACCAGCGCTCCAAATCTGGACCTAGGGCTGGAAGCTGTACAGCCGGCGCAGGACAACTATGAAGTGAAGAGAATAGACTATGGAGAATCATTTAATACACATTTGTGGGAAAAGTATAAATTCCTGATTATGTTTAGGCAGCAGAGAAGGCCTTGAGGGTCCATCACTGACATGTCTGCTGCTTTGAATGGGACATCCTGCACAAAGCCACAGTCCTTGCACCATGGAGGCGGATGTTCCTACAACAGCAGCACAACAGTCACTCCCTGATGGCAGCATCCTGGAAACAGTCTCTCTGCATCCAACAACACATCCTGGATAAGTTACTTAAAATAAGTAATTTTCTATAGTTACTCATTACTCATTATTACCAGCCACTGAGTTACATAAAAATCTTTCTTTGTGTAAAATCAAAGGTCACTCACTATCAAATCTGTCCCCAATGCAAAAGCAGACACAGACAGTGCACTGTAGATGAGAATAGAGCAGGATAGTGCAGATGAAGTGTTCAGGGTCAGGGGCAGACTGTAAAATGAGACGGAAACAAAAGCTCAGGTGGAATCTGAGCTGTTTGTGCTGTGATACGTTCAGGCGTTTCCGGACAATGCGGCTCGAAGAGAAGTGGAGGCTCTGGCAGCGGTCTGCCCCAATGAAGGCTGCACCTGGACCGGGACCATCAAGGAATTTGAGGTGAATATCGTTTCTAACCAAGCTACTGTACAACATTGTTTCAAAAACAGACCTACAGTTGCTCCATCCATGCTCATAACATTCACTTCTAATGAATCCTCAGGCTTTGACGTCAAGCACAAAGGCATTGTCTAGAGTTGAAAAAGAGTTTAATAACAGAACCTTTAGACAAAACTGAACTTGATTCGTGCCAGACATGCCAAATATTAGTGTGGATGGAGCATTTCCCTCATCCAAGTCTGTTTTGGTTGAGGGAAAATGTTGGACAAAGATTGGGATTTTAGATAAGATAAGATAGGATAAGAAATCCTTTATTCGTCCCACAGTGGGGGAATTTTGATATTGCAGCGCACAGACAGGACAGTAAGAGATACACAGGGAGCACACAAAATATACAAAATAAGTAGTAGCTATGTGTCTTAACTATCTGTAAATGCTGGAAATGCTATATATATATATATATATATATATATATATATATATATATATATTACGTAGTAGTGCAGAGTTATATACTGTAGATATAGGGCAGGATAAGAAGTAGATAAAGTAAAGTGACATTGTTCAGTGACATTCTGAAGTTGCCGTATTGCACATTGCACATGATTTAATTATTAACTTATTTACAGAGGAATGACATTTACAGACTCAGCAGTTCTTACTGTACAGTCTAACAGCAGCAGGAAGGAAAGACCTACGGAACCTGTCCTTCACACAGCGAGGGTGAATTAGTCTGTCGCTGAAGTGTGTCCTACACGGGGTGACAGTCATGGTCCAGCATAGATGTTAGTTTGTCCAGGACCCTCCTGTCCCCCACCTGCTGCACTGTGTCCAGGGAACAGCTCAGGACTGAGCTGGACTTCCTGATGACCTTGTCCAGCTTCTTCCTGTCCCTGTCTGTGATGTTGCTGTTCCAGCAGACCACACCGTACAAGATGGCTGATGCCACCACAGAGTCATAGAAGGTCTTCAGGAGTGGCCCCTGCACTCCAAAAGACCTGAGCCTCCTCAGCAGGTAGAGCCGGCTCTGGCCCTTCTTGAAGAGGGCGTTTGTGTTATGAGTCCAGTCCAGTTTGTGGTTAAGATGAACACCCAGGTACTTGTAAGAGTCCACTCTCTCAATGTCCCTTCCCTGGATGTTCACTGGGGCTAGCGCCACCACCATCTCCTTGGTCTTCCCCGCGTTGATGAGGAGGTGGTTCCGCTGACACCAGTCCACAAAGTCCTGTATTACTCCTCTGTACTCTGCGTCATCGTCCTCGGAGCTGAGTCCGATGATAGCAGAGTCGTCAGAGAACTTCTGTAGAACACAACCATCCGTGTTGTGTCTGAAGTCCGCAGTGTAGAGTGTAAAGAGGAACGGCGCGAGGACAGTTCCCTGGGGGGCCCCCACACTGCAGGTCAGGACTTCAGACACAAAGTCCCTGGTTCTCACAAACTGGGGTCTGTCTGTGAGGTAGTCCAGGATCCACTGGGACAGGTCGCAGTCCACACCATCAGTCTCCAGCTTGTCCCTGAGAAGCTGCGGCTAGATGGTGTTGAAGGCACTGGAGAAATCGAAGAAGAGGATCCTCACAGTGGAGCCGGGTTTCTCTAGGTGGGACAGCGAGCACTATTTTTAGTTGAACGGGAGATTATATAATACATATCATGTGCCTTATTGGCAGTCGAGGGCTTGGCTTTGAGTCTGTTCATATTTGTGCATTGGATATGAAAATAAAGTTGAACCGCACCAGAACAAATAGCAAATTAATGTTTACTTATGATATATTTTTTTCTTTTTACAAATTATAAGCCTAAGACTATTAATACTTGGAACAAGGAATTTGCTTCTTTTCCTTCGCAATGCCCCATTTGTGGTGTGTCCTCTCTCTCTAACCCTAACCCAGCAGCAGCAGTAAATCAGTGCATAACACACACATGAAAATCTCAGGCTGGGTTCTCGTCGTGTACGTACGTGGACTTAGTTGTCAGACTCGGCTTTGAGTCGAGTTTTGATTCCAGATTCCTTTCAAGTTTTGGCCAGGCTCAACTTTTTACTGCAGGCCTGATTAAAGCTCTATGTTAGAAGCTCGGTTGGCTTCAGTTTAGTATTCAACACTATAATCACATCACTGCAATGGACCTTCTTAGGGGAGACCACAGGAGGACTCCAAACACATACGGCCTGTGGCATGTATGGGATCATGCCACACATGGGATTTGGCCCGGAGGCTGAGCTCAGTCCTGTTCCCTGCTGAGACCTGACTCTTCTCTGTACAACTCAAACCTCTTCATCAGGACTGATGACACCACAGTGGTCAGCGACAGAGACACAGCAGGAGTGAGTGGTCTGGTCATGCTGTGCACAGAGAACAAACTCTCTCTAAATTTGGAACAGACAAAAGAAATAGTTGTGGACTTTGAAGATAATTTCTCCTGAATCTCACACTGGTTGATCAAAGTAATCACCGTCTCTACTTTCTGTGCAAGTTGAGAAGTCCCAGCCTCTGTATTGTGCTACTTCTGCAGAGGGACTATCGAGACAGGGACCCTCACTTCAATCATCCTTGCTCCATAATAAAAGACGATACGAAGCGATATTTAGGTTAATTAAAACAATCATTGACAATGAAATGTTTGAATCCTGAATGTTCTGTTCAAAGCATGGGAACTGTTTGTGAGACCAGACCTCACTCCTGACCTCTACCTTTGACTTCATGATGTTGTTTAGTGACAAATACACATCACTCTGAGGCGTCACACAACAGCTGCATGTATAAAATGTAAAAAGTTAATTTTGTCTTCTTATTTTTAAGGCTTAGAAGGTTCTTTTAATAATAAACAAATGTAAAGAAGCTAGTTCATACCACATGTTTTGGCGGTAGACTTCTGCCTTCGTCAGAGGTACGTCTCTCACAGATCCGTCAGACTGACCGCGCCACCTCCTGAGTTATGGTCTCTGGAGAAGTGAATCCCAAATGTGAGCCAAGGTGGAAGCCCCCTCCTCTCTGTTGATGGTCCCGCTTCCTGATTTCAATTGCCCCGTATCCGTCTTTTGTATGTATAGTGTGTGTGTGGATCCGCTTTCCCCTCGCTCTCCCACTGTCCTGATAGAGATAGTTCACACTGACCTCTGATTTACATCCTGTCGATTGATATACGGCAACTACTATCATAGCATTAGAAAGTAACTATTGCAATAAACAAAGTTAATAAACAAAGTTAAGAAAGTAACTAGACACCTCTGTCATTATGTTTGTTGTTGCAGGCGAACCATGAAGGCCACTGTGACTTCATGATCATTTTGTGTCCGTCGTGTAAAGAGCTGATGAGAGCCAACGAACAGGAGCGCCACAACGAGCGCGAGTGTCCTGAACGCACCCTCAACTGCAAATACTGCAAAGAGCCATTCCTCCTCAAGAACATCAAGGTGAGAGCTTCCGAGTCCAGGTCCAGCGTCCAGGTCCAGTGTCCGGCTCCCGGGTACGGGTTCAGTGTCCGGCACAGTCCATTCCATTCCATTTTCTTCCGCTTCATCCGTTGCCGGGTCGCGGGGGGCAGCAGTCTAAGCAGAGAGGCCCAGACTTCCCTATCCACGCACACTTCCTCCAGCTTCCCAAACCAGCTGAGAGACATAGTCCCTCCCCGGGGCCTCCTCACGGTGGGACGTCCAGGAGGCATCCGGAACAGATGTCCGAGCCACCTCAACTTCATCATTCACATGCATCATAAATTAAACACACAGCTACGTACGGTAGCTAGTGTATGGGAAACATTTGATTCTCTTCAGTATCGCGATATTTTTCACACTCAATTAAATCAATACAGTAGAGCAAAGTAATGCGATATTTATAAAATAATGATGTGTTTAAAGCCCCTGCTGAAAGATCAAGGCTATGCTCACACTCAGAGAGCAGCCGTCCTCCTGTGGACTCACCACCTGCAGAGGGTCAGTGAGGGGATGGTGCTATGAGACTTGGGTGGCATCTCTGATTGCCACCCCCCTGACCCAGAAATGGATTAAAGGGTAGAAAATGAATGGATGGATGGATGATGTGTTTAATTTTTGTAATTTACATCTGAGGTTTATACCTCTATGGTGTCTGCTTTTTGTGAGCCTTGTCTGTTGTATTTGAATAATATAAGTTCAGTGCTGGAAGCTCACCTTCATGTGCGAGTCGTCTATTCACAGAATTATGATGTCTTGGTGTCCTGATGAAGGTCCTGTGTCCTGAATGTTCAAGTATAACAATTTAGCTCTACAGTTAATGTGCAGAACATAATAAATGTGACATTTGAGTTTAGCAGTCTTACTCTTTCTTTCCTCCATGCCTTCCAATAATATGAATATTATTGACATGGCCCAATTATCGCATTATCAAATTGTCAAATTTTTCCCTTTCCTACTACATATTGTTTTAATCAAATCATAACATTTAAATTCAGATTATATTTTAACTTTTAAGAAAGTGACTATTTGGGCTGAGGAATGATTGTCAGTTCAAGATTATCCCACGTCTTTCATGGCAGATGAATCTGTAAAGTATTAATGCAGACGTTGCATTATGTTCCTTAGGGCTGTCACTAACAATCTTTGAGTAGTCGACTAGTCCACAATTACAGACACAGAGGAACACATATATAAAATAATATAAAATAAAATCATATTTATTATGTGGGTTGGTTTCATAGAGGACGTGGTGTTCTCTGTGTGTTCTGTGTGTGTTCTGTGTGTGTGCTAAATACAGTCTTTTGAGGGGAATTAAAGTGCATTTTCCTCAAACACACTCAAATCAGTAAGCACATTTATGTTCCACTTGATGCATGTTTTGAAGGCCCATGATGAGATCTGTCCAAAGTACCCCATGATCTGTGAAGGATGTGCCAAGAAAAAGATACCCAGAGAGAAGGTAAGTCCTGTCCAAACTTTCTCATAACTCGATTTCATTTACCATTTTCTGGGCTGAGATTCTGCAGGTCATTCGCTTCTTTCATTTTTTTGCAGTATGTGGACCATATTAAGTTCTGCAATAAGTTTAAAGCCCCATGCAGATTTCATGTTGTTGGCTGCAATACGTCTGTAAGTAGACATTTTTGTCATAATTTGCTCTATGTTTTTGACTCGTTGGACTGACGGATAATCTCATTCTCGCAAAAAAAGTTATTAATGTTTATTGAATTTGTTTGTAGTTTCATCCAAAGTCCAAACAGTGGCATGTGTCGTGCTGTGATCATTTTGGATCATTTTTCTGCATATACTGTAAACATTTACAATTACATTTGCATTGAATATGCACTAATTCATGTTCACTGTGAAGGCGTCGCCTCTCCACAGATCTAACCAGTAGTTTGATCACTTTGTCTTCATACTTTGAAGAAGAGGTGGTCACTTTCCTCAAATCATCTTCATATTTTTTGTGACTTTGTGATTGCAATTCCATTTTATGTTGAAGAATGTGATAGAAAGATTGCACACCGTCTTACTTGCAAAATAAAACTTATTAGAAGTGCGACGTTTCTGCGTTATGACTTCATCAGACAAATATTTTCTTGATGAAGGCATAACGCCAAAAGGTAAGAAGTAAGACGTGTGCGGGGGAATCTCTCTAAATCATTAGGCTACATACAGGCCTCTCCTCCTACGCACCGGATCTGTAGGTATTGATGTGCGAATCCCTACCCCAGTCATGTTTAAGAATGTGGAATTCTGTGTTTTGTTTTGAATGCAAATTGCAATTTTTTTTTAAAAGTCTGAGTTTTCAACAATTTCCCACATAGTTTCCTCATCCACCCTGTTCTCAGTAACTCGCACAAACAACAAACATCACGTCTGTCTAGACCTTCTTGCCTTTACAAAGTTGAGAGTTTGTTCTGGTAATTCTTCTTCTACTGACATTCTTTAAAACTGTGGCTTCAAATCAATCACACCATGTTCGACTAAAGCCTGGTTCACACGGCAGGATATTTAGGCCGATTTAGACCCGATTTACCCCTTACGACAATCTTAAGAAACGCTCCGATTTCCGTAACAAAATCTTACAGATTATCCTGCCGTGTGTGGTGTGTCAAGACTGCACTCGTCGCTCGGAAGGACATCGGGACTGCTCCCGATCTCAAATCGGGGATATCCAACATGTTGGATTGTTTTGGCCCGATTTCTCGTCGTGTGTGGTGTCCTCCGAGGACAAGCGAGCGCGTTGCCATGACTACGGCGTGTAGCCAATAAGAAGACGAGGTGACAAGCCGGTGAGGAAACACCGGAAAAAAACCAAAACACAGCAGCATGGCTTTGACCATTGCCTTTTCTTTGGATTACGTCTCTTCTCTGTTAACAACAAACTGCACACTATCGCCACTGCATCCTCTTCGTCCGCCATGACTGTTTACTCTGAAGTCACGCTTGATCTCGAGAGATTTTGTGAGATTTCCGTCTGACCTGGGAATGCTCGGGGGGGGGTGTCGGTTCGTGTGTGATGTTTGTGGCTTGCGTGATCTTGCCGTGTGGCTACGCACCACACACTGCACGACCAAAGTGGTTAGACGCAGGATTTTTAATCTCCCCGTGTGGGGTCTAACACGGAGAAAAATCGGCCGACAATTTTAAAATCGTCTCGTGTGAACCAGGCTTAAGGAGGATTTAGGATGATGATATTTCCCACTTTCACCACTAGATGGAGGTGATTTACTGATGCAGATTCTTAATCCATTCGTTATGTTTATCCAAATATTTTCTACTGAAGACATTATTTTACGTTACAAAACACAAAAAATACTAAAAACTAAACACTTAAAATCAGTACCATATTTTTCAGACTATAAGCCGCGGTTTTTTCCCTGCATTTTGAAGGCTGCGGTTTAATTTTTGTATTTCTGTGGCTGTAGACCAAGTAACTGTAGACCAAGAAAATTAATAATTAGTTCACAGAGGTCCAACTAAATTGTAACATTTGTCAATCAAGCCGATTACATAACGTTTTAAAATCCTCATTTACAATATCTTTGTGTAAATAACTCTATAATATGTCTTTTTTTGTTTTCTGTATGAAAGTGGTGCTCGAAAGGACAGCCCATGTGCTCGAAACACCATGTTCGACCACAAGGGTGTCCACCAGTGCATGTGGCACCAGGACACCCTAGGCCGGAGGTCGATGATCGACTTTGTTGTCGTATCATCTGACCTTCGACCGCGTGTCTCGGACACTCGGGTGAAGAGAGGGGCGGAGCTGTCAACCGATCACCACCTGGTCGTGAGTTGGATCCGCTGGCAGGGGAGGAAGCCGGTCAGACCTGGCAGACCCAAGCGTGTAGTGAGGGTCTGCTGGGAACGTCTCGCTGAGCCCCCTGTCAGACGGACTTTCAACTCACACCTCCGGGAGAGCTTCTCCCATGTCCCGGCGGAGGAGGGGGATATTGAGTCTGAGTGGACCATGTTCTCTTCCTCTATCGCCGATGCGGTGGCCCGTAGCTGTGGTCGCAAGGTCTCTGGTGCTGGTCCCGGCGGTAACCCCCGAACCCGGTGGTGGACACCGGCAGTAAGGGATGCCGTCAGGCTGAAGGAGTCCTATCGAGCCATGATGGTTCGGGGGACTCCTGAGGCAGCTGTCCAGTATCGGTTGGCCAAGCGTGCTGGGAGGAGTTCGGAGAGTCCATGGAGCATGACTATCGGTCGGCCTCGAAGAGATTCTGGCAAACCGTCCGGCGCCTCAGGAGGGGGAAGCAGTTCTTTGCCAACACCGTGTATGGTGCGGGTGGAGAGCTGTTGACCTCGTCTGGGGATATTGTCGGACGGTGGAAGGAATACTTTGAGGTTCTCCTCAATCCCCCAGTCACGTCCTCCGCCCCGGGGGCAGAGGCTGAGGATGTTTGGGCGGATACTTCCATCTCCCTGGCAGAGGTCACCAAGGTGGTTGGCAGCCTCCATGGTGGCAAGGCGCCGGGAGTGGATGAGACCCTTCCTGACTATTTAAAGTCTCTGGATGGTGTGGGACTGTCTTGGCTGACACGTCTCTGCAACATCGCGTGGCGATCGGGGGCGGTGCCAATGGAGTGGCAGACCGGGGTGGTGGTCCCTCTCTACAAGAAGGGGGACCGGAGGGTGTGTTCCAATTATCGTGGGATCACACTCCTCAGCCTCCCCGGTAAGGTCTACTCCAAGGTACTGGAGAGGAGGCTACGGCCGTTGGTCGAATCTCGGATTCAGGAGGAGCAGTGTGGTGGAACACTGGACCAGCTCTATACTCTCCATCGGATACTCGAGGGTTCATGGGAGTTCGCCCAACCTGTCCACATGTGCTTTGTGGATTTGGAGAAGGCGTTCGACCGTGTTCCCCAGGGTGTCCTTTGGGGGGTCCTCCGGGACCCCCCAAAGGACCAAAGGTCCCTGTATGACCGGAGCCAGAGCTGTGTTCGCATTGCCGGCAGTAAGTCGGAACTGTTCCCGGTGCATGTTGGCCTCCGCCAGGGCTGCCCTTTTTCACCGGTTCTGTTCACTGTGTTTATGGACAGAATTTCTAGGCACAACCAGGGGCCGGAGGGGGTCCGGTTTGGCGACCACAGGATTTCATCTCTGCTGTTTGCGGACGATGTTGTCCTGTTGGCTTCAACGAACCAGGATCTGCAACATGCACTGGGACGGTTTGCAGCCGAGTGTGAAGCGGGGATGACAATCAGCACCTCCAAATCTGAGGCCATGGTGCTCGACCGGAAAAGGGTGCCTTGCCCTCTCCGGGTGGGTGGAGAGGCCCTTCCTCAAGTGGAGGAGTTCAAGTATCTCGGGGTCTTGTTCACGAGTGAGGGAAGGATAGAGCGCGAGATTGACAGGCGGATCGGTGCAGCGTGCGCAGTGATGCGGTCGCTGTATCGGACCGTCCTGGTAAAGAGGGAGTTGAGCCGAAAGGCAAAGCTTTCGATTTACCGGTCAATCTTCGTTCCCTCCCTCACCTATGGTCATGAGCTTTGGGAAATGACCGAAAGAACGAGATCGCGAATACAAGCGGTCGAAATGAGCTTCCTCCGCAGAGTGGCTGGGCGCTCCCTTAGAGATAGGGTGAGGAGCTCAGTCACACGGGAGGAGCTCGGAGTAGAGCCGCTGCTACTCCACGTCGAGAGGAACCAGTTGAGGTGGCTTGGGCATCTGTTCCGGATGCCTCCTGGACGCCTCCCTGGGGAGGTGTTCCGGGCACGTCCCACCGGGAGGAGGCCCCGGGGAAGACCCAGGACACGCTGGAGGGACAATGTCTCGCCTTGGGGTCCCCCCGGACGAGCTGGAGGAGGTGTGTGTAGATAGGGAAGTCTGGGTGTCTCTGCTTAGACTGCTGCCCCCGCGACCCGGCAACGGATGAAGCGGAAGAAAATGGATGGATGGATGGGTGTATGAAAGTGGACAGAGACCAGTAGATGTTGCTCCTTTATCTTTCTGCTTCACACTGGAGGGTTAAGGACAGTATCACTTCTTAAGCCTAGTGTAGAGTTGCGCAGCGCGGAGCTCACGGTGGTGTCACTTGCGCGACGTAAGGATCACCACAAGACCCTTGCACAGCCTGCCACTTCAAAAGTTTACCACACTGCTACTGTTTTGATAGCAGTACCTTTCTTGTCGAGTTGAACTGCCGCATACATCATTTTACTGACGTAGGTCGATGACGCGTCCTGTGGCTAACTCGACAGCTAATAGATCCATGCTTACAACTTAGATTTTGTTTATTATTTCCATTATCAACCCGATTGACCAGTTGCATGCTAACAGCTGCCGAGTTAGCCACAGGACGCTATCAAAACAGTAGCAGTGTGGTTTCACAGGAGCAGTTGACTGCTTAAACCAAACTTTACACAAAACTTTGACTCTTAAAACACACGTATTACAATATTACACTGCCGCTCGCCGAGTTGTGCTGCCTCCGCTGTTAATGATGCAATGCAAACCTGCGCATGCGCATCTCACGGCAGCCAAAGCAAACCAAGATGGCGGACATAAACTCTGTGAATTTAAAAAAAAGTTAAAATACGAATGAATTAAGACACAAAGCCCCCACGGGTTCTGATTCTATGAAATGTACTTTTTACCCGACTATTAAATAACATTTCCATTAAGGCAAAACAAGTGCCAAGTTTTGCCTTAGTAAGATAAATATATAGTATATGGTGTTAGAGGGAATTACGTTCAGAATAACAATGTTCAATGTTATAACAGCATAAATAACCTGCAAAATAACCTCCTGCAGTCCCATTTTCCAAACTCCTATATCAGGCTACATTATTTTAACTTGTATGAAACTAAAACTAGTACAGTTTGGAGATGGCGTTTGCATCTTTCTCCACCTGAGTCTGAGTGGGTTTCCTCTGGGTCACTGTTTTTTCCCCATCAGAACATGCACAATAGTTATAATGCTCCATTAAAGGTCCAGGCTGCTGCTCCTTCAGGGACATCCAAGTGTAATTCCTGGGGCAGCGGAATTTATCGATTTTTAAACCTTGTTTTGCTGTTAAGCAAATATTTTCCCTAGAAACATGTTTGATTCCTTTTAAAGGCTTTTTAAGTTCCCTAAATGGCAGAACGGAGTGAGAAGTTCCAGTGGTGGATTTATACTTTGAGGTGTGTTTCTCACCTGGATGTGTCCAAACCTCAGCACTTTCAGCGGCAGTCTATGGGAATATTCCGTAGTCGTCCTGTTTGAAAGTGTCGTTGGTTTGTTTCTTGCACAGGTGGAGATGGAGAAAGTGCATGACCATGAGCGCCAGTGTTCATACGAGCACCTTAATCTGCTGCTGCACTTTATCATGGGCATCAAGGTGAGCCTTGAGAGCCTGCAGCCCCAGACCCTGGAGGTGGCGGGACACAAGCTGCAGGAGTTGCACCAATCACTGCAGGAGCTGGAGACCAAGATGTCCCAGCTGGGACAACCTGTGCAGGTACAGCCATGTGATGTCACACCACCTTTAATCCATTATAACACTGAGGTACTTTTCACTACTTTGTAAACCGTATTTGGCGCTAAATTCTTTACCACTTCATCCTGGACTGGTCCTTAGACTTCATGATCCTGTTTAGGGACCAGTATTCTCTTCTCAATCCCCCCCCCCCCCCCCCCCCCCCCCCCCTTCTCTGTGCTGGGGTTTATGCTGAGACCAAACAAGACTCATGTTATTTGTTTGGATGGAACAGTGTGTATTATGTTTTTAGTGGTAGGGGAAACTGGAGCACCCGGAGGAAACCCACGCAGACACGAGGAGAACATGTAAACTCCGCACAGAAAAACCTGGAGGTGGAATTGAACACAGCTAGCATGCTAATCAGTATGCCTCTGTGCCGCCCTGATTACTTTAGTAATACTCATAAGAGCTTTTGTGTTAAAGAATAATCTGGATTAAACTATGATCGAATATGATTTGTACAAGTGGATTTTGTAACTCGTATCTGCAGAGACTGACTAAAGATGTTGATGTGATGTAAAATGAATGTCTTACTTTTCTTGTGGTCATTATCAATGAATCTGAAGGTAATTCAGCAGCAGACCACAGTCCTGTTCAAAACCTGCTCTCGTCCCCAGGGCGTGTGTGGCCCCTCCCTCACCGCCTTTGCCCCCCTGCCCAGCGCCGTGGGCGCCGCGCTGGAACTGCAGCTGCAGGGCGAGAAGAGCAAAGTGTGTGAGCTGAACCGAAGACTGCAGCAGCTGGAGCTCAAAGTGAACACCTTCGAGAACATTGTGTGTGTCCTGAACCGCGAGGTGGAGAGGTCCAGCAGCACCATGGAGGCCTCGACCCGGCAGCACCGCCTAGACCAGGACAAGATCGAGATCCTCAACAACAAGGTCTGGCTAACTATCTATAATGTAGTCTGTACTGTAGTCTGTACTGTAGTCTATACTGTAGTCTGTACTGTAGTTTATACTGTAGTCTGTACTGTAGTTTATACTGTAGTCTGTACTGTAGTCTGTACTGTAGTCTGTACTGTAGTTTATACTGTAGTCTGTACTGTAGTCTGTACTGTAGTCTGTACTGTAAGGCAAGGCAAGGCAAGGCAAGTTTATTTATATAGCACAATTCATACACAAGGCAATTCAAAGTGCTGAACAAAACAAGAAAGCATTAAAATCATAAATAATCACAGAACATTAAAAAGAAAGATAAAAATATAAAATCCCTCAGTTGTATGCACAGTTAAACAGAACTGTCTTTAACCTGGTTTTAAACATTGTCAGAGAGGAGGCCTGTCTCACATCTTCAGGAAGACTGTTCCAGATTTTAGCAGCATGAATCTGAAAAGCAGCCTCCCCATGTTTAGTCCTGACTCTGGGCACTAACAGGAGTCCAGTCCCTGTGCTCCTCAGAGTCCGGGCTGGTTCATATGGGACTAACATGTCACTAATATATTTTGGTGCGAGGCCATGGAGAGACTTGTACACAAGCAGAGCTGTTTTAAAGTCTATTCTCTGAGCCACAGGAAGCCAGTGCAGAGACCTGAGAACTGGACTAATGTGGTCGTACTTCCTGGTTCTAGTCAGGACTCGAGCTGCTGCATTTTGAATGTACTGCAGCTGTTTTACAGCCTGTTTGGACAGACCTGTGAGCAGGCCATTGCAGTAGTCTAACCTACTGGAGACAAATGCGTGGATAAGAATCTCCAGGTCTGCTTTAGACACTATGTTTTTGATCCTGGCAATGTTTTTTAGATGGTAAAAAGCTGCTGATGTTACTGATTTGATGTGGCTATTAAAATTTAAGTCTGAGTCCAGTATTACCCCTAGATTTCTGACCTTGTTTGAAGGTTTTAGGGCGAGAGACTGTAGGTGACAGATGACGCTCTCTCTTTGTTTCTGGGGACCAAAGACAATCATTTCAGTTTTGTCTGCGTTTAGCTGAAGGAAGTTGTTTTGCATCCACTCACTGATCTGTTGGATACAGTGAAGGAGTGAGTACACTGGTCCATGTTCTCCTGCAGTCAGTGAGACATAGATCTGAGTGTCGTCCGCATAGTTGTGATAGGACACTTTGTTTCTGCGTATTAACTGACCTAACGGCAGCATGTAGAGATTGAACAGAAGAGGTCCCAGGATCGACCCCTGTGGTACTCCACAGGTCAGGGCCATATGATCTGAGACACAGTTTCCAATCTCCACAAAGTACTTCCTGTCCTCAAGGTAAGACCTAAACCAACTTAGGGCGGTGCCAGCGACTCCAACCCAGTCCTCTAGTCTCTGTAAGAGGATCTCATGGTCGACAGTGTCAAAGGCAGCACTCAGATCTAACAAGATTAAGATTGAGACTTTGCCTGCGTCAGTGTTCAGCCGGATATCGTTTGTAACCTTAACGAGAGCAGTCTCAGTGCTGTGGTGGGGTCTAAAGCCGGACTGAAACATATCAAATGAGTTGTTGATTATAAGAAATCTAGTAAGCTGTAGGTAGACAACTTTCTCAAGGACTTTCCCCATAAATGGCAGATTTGAGATGGGACGATAGTTGTTAAGTACCGTAGCATCGAGACTGCTCTTTTTTAGCAGGGGCCTGATGACTGCAGTTTTCAGGGCCTTTGGGAATATTCCAGAATGAAGGGACATGTTTACTATCTGTGTGAGTGAAGGTAACAGACTGCTCAGAACAGACTTCAGAAATCTAGTGGGTAGTACATCCAAGCTGCATGTGGAGGAGCTCAAACTGGAGATTTATTGCAGAAGTTTTCGCTCATCTCTTGGACAGTTTGAACAGTTCTGGGCCTTTTTGCGCGTTTCGGATCAAAATCGAACTAAAACAAAAGCGGGGAATTCCCAATTTACAGGTGTCCCTACTTTCCCAGTGAGAAAGTCGGATATTTACATTGTAGATTAGAGAGTAGTTTTGTGACGCTCATGGCTTGGATTGAGTTTGGATCGATGGGTTTTTTGTTGTTGCCCAATGGGAGAGTGTGGATTGACCCATATGGAAATTAAAACAGATATAATTTTTTATATCTTCTATATTTCGTATACATTTTTCATATATTGAATTCAATTTAAGATGATGCTGGTGTTTTGAGATTAAAAAAAGAACTAGTTCCTTTAACCCCAGACGTAAAATACTGCACTTCGGGTCCAGGATGATGTAAATTGTACGCATAAGGACATTTCTCTCTCCTACTACTACTTTGTACTTTGTTTTAGGAGCTGTTGACTTAGCATTGTTGTATTTCAATTAAATATTCAATTATTTTGCACAGCCCTAATTCACAGTCGTCTCCAGGAAAACTCAAAAACCCATTGGGAAAAAATGGAAGACACCTCCTGGAGAGCGACGGTGAGAGAGAAACAGAATGACCCTATTTTTATTGGGATTCAAACCTGAGAAATAGGAGTGCTAACCACTCTGCCACACTGTATTATTATACTGTGAAAGGCAAAGCAAGAGAACAACCAAGTGACAGAAGTTCTTCCATTTTAATCGTACAATAGATTAAACAAGATTATATCAAGACACTATGAGACCCTTCACATTGGACTGAGCTCAAATGAAGCATCGTAAACTGATTCACTTCCATTGGCGTTGATACGAGGTGAAATAATGTTGTCAGATTTATTTGCATAGCACATTTAAAACAACACCAGCTGCCCAGAGGGATTCACAGGCACAAAAGATTAAAAAAATAATTAAGCAAACAGCATGAAATATACACAAATACATGTAAAAACTCATTTGGTGTTAAAAGCCAAGGCGTAAAAATGTGTCTTTAGTCTAGATTTAAAAAGCTTTAAAAAAAAAAGAAGAAGCTGCTCTAATGAACAAGTTGTTATTCCACAGTTTGGGGGTAGCAACAAAAAAGGCAAATTTTTAGACAAGACCTGGGAATATTTAACAAAAGCTGGTTTTCTGACCTCACTGATCGTACAGGAGCAGACAGAGATGACCCCTGTGTCAGATATACAGGGGCCAAACCATTTAAACCTATACAAACCAGCATCAGAATCTCAAAATGAACCCTGAACGTCACAGGAAGCCGGTGAAGTGATGCCAGCACTGGGGTGATGTGCTCCCTCTTACGCGTCCCAGTGAGTGATTTTATAGTTCCGTTATTTGTGGAGGAGGAATGCCCTTGACTGTTGACATTATGACATTATTATGACATTATTATGACATCATGAATTCTACGCAGCTGTTATTTTACGTATTTGACCGTTTTAACTGTATGAGAACCCGGCAGCCGCCCGCTCACATAGAAGTAAAAACATAAAAACACAATGTACATAGTTGTCCATATGATCGGATGGAGATCACCTGCTACAGCTCCATACCGTTCACAAACGCAGTGAAATACAGGCCAATGTTGTTTTAAAGGGGACATAACGTGCAAAATAGACCTTTGTTTTGAGTGGTTTTTTTCCCCTTACGCAATTCTTGATGACTCAGCAGCTTTTGGTCAGCTCTGTGTCTGATCTGTGTCTGCAGGGTCTTGGTCTAGACCCACTTTGTACCGAACCAAGTGCCTGTCCTTGTTCAGTGGATGAGCCAGCGGACTGAGGTCACGTCTCAGTTGGACTTCTTCAAACGTGTGTGAAATGATTTACCTTCGAGACCCTTTGAATGTCTTTTGTGTGTGTTTCATGATGTGTGTGTTTTTAGACCAGCGTGTTTTTGAGCTCGTCGTTCTGAAAGGCCTCGGTGCATGAGACGTTACAGAACAGATTTAGTAAGATCATATTTTCAAGCGTTATGCAAAATAAAACTATAAACAAGATACAAATGAATAAAAAGTGCTTTATACCGTATTTTTTAGATTATAAGTGGCAGTCTTTGTCATAGTTTGGCCGGGGGTGCGACTTATGTGTGAAATTATGACATTTTGTATTTTATTTACCGTAAATTATCAAATAAAAGCCTGGGCTAATAAGTTGAGTGATTACGCAGATAAGAAGAGCCATGCGTGTATCATTTGACAATTTTTAAGTGTTCTATTTGTATTAGTAAATGTATTTTGGTCATGAAAAACCCACAAGCTGTATAGAAATGCAACTTATATATATTTTTGCTACTTTTTTTTACATTTTCGGCTGGTGCGATTTATACTCCGGTGAGATTTATAATCCGAAAAACCCGGTACTTATTAAACTGGGTATTATTTATGATTATGATTATTATAATGTTTCAGTTATTATATTGATTATTCAAACATAACACTTGTCTGTAGATAATTATTTCGATTATTATCATTCTATTAATGATTTATAATGATAAAATACAGCGGTAGAAAAGAGAAATGTCTATGAATCTTGGGTAATTGAGTAATCTTCTTTCAGCAGTGACTAAAAAATTGAAGACATCAAAGAAAAGAGAAAAATCCAAGGCACTCTTGACAATGAAATTAAAATTCTTTAACGAACAGGGATTGAGCTCTGATTTTTTGGATTAAGATCGGATTTTTATTTTAATGTCAAGAGCGCCTCGGATTTTTCTCCTTTCTTCAAATTCCTCTTAAAAATGAATGATATTAGAAAGAATCGAGACCGTTTTTAATCGTATTCTTTTCTCTCTTTTACCAAACACAGATCCACTAACACATTCATTATTCCAAAGAGTCTTATTTCCTTTAACATTTGAGTTTTCTAAGGGTAAAAAATCTGCAAAACAGGGTCCAACAAACAGGGTGAATAACATACAGTGAGATATTGTTACTAAGCAACAGGGTACTGCTTTACGACACATGTCAAAAGTATTAAAGGTCCAGTATAAAGGAGGATTTTGTCTTATTTGACGAGCACCTATTATTGGATTTGAATAAAATGAATCCAAACGCAGATCCAAGGAATAACAAATACTTTTAAAGGAGCAGTATGTAAAAATCTGGCCAAAAGTGGTACTGCAGCCTCTCCCACTCTCCCTGACTCAGGTTGCCAGATATGCAGACGAATCCATAATAACTGAATAGACAAGAGTTTTGTCCACAACAAATCTATAACCAACACCTTTTTCACAAAGATAGAAATCCTGGTTTTATTCCTTGTTTTGTCGTTAATGATTTGAGAATCATAATGAGACCTTTTTAGTTCTGCGGTCACATGGTACTTTACTAGTGAGATTAGCTCAACGCTGTGAGTTCTGGCAACCCGGATCACAGACTTACTGATTGGTAAAATGGTGGAGGGCGGGACATCGAAATGAAAACAATAACAAGATTTAGGGGCTGGAAAACTAATATTGAAATCCAAATATCTCTGAACTACTGTTATCAGATAAAGAAATAATAGAAAAGAGCATGTTTTATTAATGCCTTTTGACAGATTAGGGCCCTTTAATGATGACTTGACATGAAAATCTTTCATATTGCTACTTTAATAACAACACAAAGATTATCTTAACAAAGTCCAAACAAGCTCCAGGTAAAACAACGGGCCAAATAGTCCTCCACCTGAGAGAAAACAAAAAGTGTTTAGACAAATCCAATAAAAAGTGTTTCTAAGGATCTCAGAATTGGCTTTGGTTCTACCGCAGTCAAGGGACGAACTCTCCCCACTTGGTCTGATGGGAGACAGGTAGACAGGTGGGATCTACTCACCTGTAATGGGGGAGGAGCCTCACAGACACACAAGAGGGAGGGGGGGAGACATAGGAGGAAGAAGGAGCATCAAAACTACCCTCATGACACGTATCACCAGAATGATTGACAAGTGGGAGGACCAATAGTCTTCAAATCCACCCGGAAGTAGAAAATTCTCCTCTATACAGTACCTTTAATTTAGAATATCTTATAACTTTGATTTTGATGAATGAAAGAATACTGCACTTCATTTCGAGCCATGACCAACAAGAACAAAGAACAACAAAAGAATAGAAAAGAAAACACAATACATGATAATATACAAATACACAGTATGTTTTTGTTTTATTAACAAAAAGTTAGCTCGAAAAGGAGTGGGAAGAAACTTTTAAACTCCCACTCCCTAATTTATTATTCTAATTTAATTTAGCTTGAATTATGTGGTTGCTACGACTTAGCTTAGTCAGTGGTACATGATTAAATATATAGTAACTTTGAAAACACGCTGGTCTCTTTTCCCGATACTGCTTCACATTTGCATGGCCTCAAATGTACCGTTTACTGTCTGTAAATGTTATATTTTGGTTTACTGTCTAAGAAAAAGGGCTCGACACGTCATTCATTGAAGTGAACTATTGCCATATGTAAGAATCTGCCGCGCTGCCTCGACTTTTATTGCAAACAGAGTAAAGATACAGTATTATAAGGATGTAGTGTGTTGTTCTAGAGATTAAAGCACTTCATTTGTCGCCGTTGGTCTCCGCGCTTCACAGTGAGTCGTGATTTATTTATAACAAAAGAGACGTTGTTTCGTATCGGACTGGTTTTGGTTTAATAAAGATTTAACTGAAGTGCAAATGTGTCTTTGTTTCATGTTTTCCCCGTAAACGTGACATTAAATATGAAATGTATTAGAGAACATGTGCAAGATATGATATGATGAAGCAGCTAAAGTGCGACAACATGACCAGTAGCAAGGCAAGTATTTTTAATGTGCTATATTTATTTGTGTAGCACATTTCATACACAAGGCATTGATTTATGGTCATTCAAATATAATAATAATAATGATCAAATATAACACAAATAATCACTGTACATTAAAAAGAGTAAAGAAAAGTTGTTGCAGCTCAAAAGAACTGTTTTTAACCTGGTTTTGAACCTTGTCAGAGAAGAAGCCTCACATTTTCAGGAAGACTCATGTCAGATCCAGATTTAAGCTGCATGAATCTGAAATGCTGCTTCCCCATGTTTAGTTCTAACTCTGGGACCAGCAGGAGGCCAGTCCCTGTGCTCCTCAAAGTCCCAGTAGGAGGCCAGTCCCTGTGCTCCTCAGAGTTGCTGATTTGTCTCTAACGTATCTCAGATGTACTTTGGAGCTGGGCCTTAATTGACTCAAATACAGCTATTTTTATTTATGCGAAATAAGCATCATTTTATTGCATCAAGGGTACTTTTCAAAGGTAATAGCAGACATGAGATGGTGAAGTCTGTATCATTTGTTGAAGTTGTTGAGAGTTGAAACTATAAAAATAATTGACAGAAAAGTCTATAAAAATAAATAGGACAAGTTTAAACAGACACTCGCTTTTTCCACAGATGTTTATTCACTCATTCATTCATTTTCATCCTTTTATGAGTGTAACAAAAGAAGTATGACTACTTGCCAATAATTACTCTACTTCCACTGGGTCAGATTTGGCAAGTTGAAGAAAATGAGTGCCTGAAAGGCTCTTTGAGCTAACTTACTTTGCACCTGTAAAGGTTCAAACTGTCCAAGAGATAATCTCCAGTTTGAGCTCCTCCACATGCAGCCTGGATGTACTACCCACTAGATTTCTGAAGTCTGTTCTGAGCAGTCTGTTACCTTCACTCACACAGATAGTAAACATGTCCCTTCATTCTGGAATATTCCCAAAGGCCCTGAAAACTGCAGTCATCAGGCCCCTGCTAAAAAAGAGCAGTCTGGATGCCACGGTACTTAACAACTATCGTCCCATCTCAAATCGGCCATTTATGGGGAAAGTCCTTAAAAAAGTTGTCTACCTACAGCTTACTAGATTTCTTATAATCAACAACTCATTTGATATGTTTCAGTCCGGCTTTAGACCCCACCACAGCACTGAGACTGCTCTCGTCAAGGTAACAAACGATATCTGGCTTAACACTGACGCAGGCAAAGTCTCAATCTTAATCTTGTTAGATCTAAGTGCTGCCTTTGACACTGTCGACCATGAGATCCTCTTACAGAGACTAGAGGACTGGGTTGGCGTCGCTGGCATCGCTCTAAGTTGGTTTAGGTCTTACCTTGAAGACAGGAAGTACTTTGTGGAGATTGGAAACTGTGTCTCAGATCATATGGCCCTGACCTGTGGAGTACCACAGGGGTCGATCCTGGGACCTCTTCTGTTCAATCTCTACATGCTGCCGTTAGGTCAGTTAATACGCAGAAACAAAGTGTCCTATCACAACTATCAGAATCAGAATCATTTTTATTGCCACATAAGTAACAGGAAGTCACAGACTTGGAAATTTCTTTGGCTCAGTGCAACAGTCAGAAAGAGATGACAAAAATAAAGAATAAAAAACACTTCTAAGGAATACATTTAAATTTAAAATAGAGTTACAGTTACTATATACAATATACAAGTGCACATGGTGCACACAATGTAAGGTACAGAGAAGTAAAGTGACGTATGATGGGCAGTAAAGTGACTTTATAAAGGGCGGGGAGGTTAAGAAGTGTTCAAGAGTCCAACAGCAGAGGGGAAGAAACTGTTCTTGTGGCGGGAGGTTCTAGTCCTGATGGACCGCAGTCTCCTGCCTGAGGGGAGTGGTTGGAATAGTCCATGTGCAGGGTGAGAGGGGTCGGCCTCGGCCAACGTATAGGTCCTGCAGCGATGGAAGGCTGCGGCCAATCACTTCCTCTGCAGAGCGCACAATGCGCTGTAGTCTCTGTTTGTCCCTGACTGTGGCTCCAGCGAACCACACGGTGATGGAGGAGGTGAGGATGGACTCGATGATGGCCGTGTAGAACTGTACCAACATTTGTGCAGGCAGCTTGGCTTTCCTGAGCTGCCGCAGGAAGTACATCCTCTGCTGGGCCTTCTTGATGAGGGAGCTGATGGGCGGCTCCCACTTGAGGTCCTGGGTGATGGTGGTGCCCAGGAAACGGAAGGTCTCCACAGAGGTGATGGGGGAGTCCATCACGGAGGGTGGGGGTGGGGGGACAGTGCTCTTCCTGAAGTCCACAATCATCTCCACTGTCTTCTGGGCGTTCAGCTCCAGGTTTATGCAACTATGCAGACGACACTCAGATCTATGTCTCACTGACTGCAGGAGAACATGGACCAGTGGACTCACTCCTTCACTGTATCCAACAGATCAGTGAGTGGATGCAAAATAACTTCCTTCAGCTAAACGCAAACAAAACCGAAATGATTGTTTTTAGTCCCCAGAAACAAAGAGAGAGCGTTATCTGTCACCTCCAGTCTCTCGCCCTAAAACCTTCAAACAAGATCAGAAATCTAGGGGTAATACTGGACTCAGACTTAAATTTTAATAGCCACATCAAATCAGTAACATCAGCAGCTTTTTACCATCTAAAAAACATTGCCAGGATCAAAAACATAGTGTCTAAAGCAGACCTGGAGATTCTTATCCATGCATTTGTCTCCAGTAGGTTAGACTACTGCAATGGCCTGCTCACAGGTCTGTCCAAACAGGCTGTAAAACAGCTGCAGTACATTCAAAATGCAGCAGCTCGAGTCCTGACTAGAACCAGGAAGTACGACCACATTAGTCCGGTCCTCAGGTCTCTGCACTGGCTTCCTGTGGCTCAGAGAATAGACTTTAAAACAGCTCTGCTTGTGTACAAGTCTCTCCATGGCCTCGCACCAAAATATATTAGTGACATGTTAGTCCCATATGAACCAGCCCGGACTCTGAGGAGCACAGGGACTGGACTCCTGTTAGTGCCCAGAGTCAGAACAAAACATGGGGAGGCTGCTTTTCAGATTCATGCTGCTAAAATCTGGAACGATCTTCCTGAAGATGTGAGACAGGCCTCCTCTCTGACAATGTTTAAAACCAGGTTAAAAACAATTCTGTTTAGCTGTGCATACAACAGAGGGTTTATATTTTTATCTTTCTTTTTAATGTTCTGTGATTATTTATGATTTTAATGCTATCTTGTTCAGCACTTTGAGTTGCCTTGTGTATGAATTGTGCTATACAAATAAACTTGCCTTGCCTTGCCTTGCCTGTTGAGACTGACTCTTCAGCTGCCTCGCTCACCAGCAGAGGGCGCCATTGTCACGGTTTTGAACCTTCCTCTTACTTTCAGCAGTATTCACCACTTTCTACAGGAGACCACTCTCAGAGCGGAGTTATTGCTTCTTTCTGATACAAGTTCATGTTTTTAATCACATCACATCTTCTTCTGCGTTCAAGAGGCGATTGCTCTAACTTCCACCCTCTCAGCATTGGTTCATGTCTGATGAGTTGAGTTTGAGTTTCATAACAAAGGTTTATTTACCCATTGGGCAATTTATCCTCTGCATTTGACCCATCCTGAAGCCACCGGGGGCCTCTGTCAGGAACAGGGACACATCTATGTTTTTGGTGGTAGGGGAAACAGGAGCATCCGGAGAAAACCTACTTAGGCATGGGGAGAACATCCACTCAGAAAGACTCTGTTCCAACCGGTCACGAATCTAGAACTTTCTTGCTGAGAAGCGAGAGTGCTAACCACTCAGCCACTGGGCCGCCCATCATCTAAACAATATCTTCATAATCTTTACTTGGTATTTCATGTTTTATAATGAGAAACAGTTCTTCTTTTGCTGAAGGGAGGAGCCCTCAGATGATTGAAGCTGAGAGCTGATTGGCTGATAGGAGCTAAGAGCTGATTGGCCGAGTGAGGGTGGTCTCTAAAAAGCTGATCTAAAGATTTGACAGAGGCTAAAAAGACATGAGTGAAAACTAGTGATAAAAACTCGTGAGGTTCATTCTTTCATTCTTTTGAGTCCTAAGTAGCTCTGAAACAGTTGTTCTGTCTTTTACAATCCATGTTTTTCTTGCTCCTTCAATGTAAATGTTACTGCAGTGTTCATGATTTTTCACTGATCCAGACCAGAGCAGAGGGGATGGTCCCAACTAAACAGACCAAGAAGAAACCCACTGGAGGAATACAATTTGTTTTTGTTTTTTGGGGGAAAAATACATATAAAACATTCAGCAGAGAAAATGGGCTTCACAGGGAAAAGGTCTTGGGTTCGATTCGACCTCCGGGACCTTTCTGTGCGGAGTTTGCAAGTTCTCCCTGTGTCAGCGTAGGTTGCCTCTGGGTGCTCCGGTTTCCCCTACCACTAAAACCATGTACAATAGGTAAGGGTTGAATGAGTGTGACAGCGGGACTATAGATGGAAATGGGCTCCTTAGCTACAATTGTATTTTCATTAACACGCACTATCCCAACCAAATAAACAAATAAATATACAAAAATAAAAATAAATGGTCCGAACCAAGCAGACTTTGAAACATCAACCAGAGGAAGCAGCGGCAAAACCAACTCTATACTGTACATATTTATTTGTTTGTTTGGATGTGTTTCTGCTGCTGGACTGGACACCTGGATTTCTCAGGGATCAATAATCTATCTATATATATATGTATTTATCTAGGAGGTTGTATGTTTTATGATCTGAAAGTTGTATTTCCCAGTTGTATGAATGTTGGGGGGCTGGTGTGTCCTTCTACCACAGTCTGTGCTTCCACCAGGATCTGTTTGGCTCCTGGGAGGAAACGTGAGGAGTGACAGGTGCCCGGATGATGGATGTGCAGCAGCTCAGCCATCCATCACACATCTGTGTCTCTGTCTGTGTTCGAGGCTGAAGAACCTGCGGAGACGTCTTCTTCAGCGGTGACATCACTCCGGGGTCGTCTGAAGATCACATCATTCACTCAAGACTCAATATGAAAATAGTTCTCAAGCAAAAACCTGCATTAAAGTCATTTAAAAGTAGACAATGGTGGTAGACAGATAGATAGATGGCAAAAAAAATCTATTGTGGCTAATTAAAATTCTTTCTTTCACTCCACTTTATTGTTCTTTGTACCTGGCTGTAATTTAGATACCGCTGTACAGTAATTAAAACATTAAAAACAAAACAGAACACTGCTAATGTGGGTATTACAGGAGTATACAGTTTTGTTCTAGTTTGCTAATGTTTAGGTATTTTACATTTGGACAGTTTTGTTCAGATACAGATACCGGCTTTTTACTGTTTTCTTTTAGCAAAATATTTACTGTTGAAATAAAAAATAACAGATGAAACTCTTTTAAAGATATATAGGAGGATTTTCTACTTCCGGGTGGATCATCAAGACTATTGGTCCTCCCAACTGTCAATCATTCTGGTGATACACGCTCGTCAGATAAGACCAGAGAATTTTGTTCAAAAAGTGGAGAGGGCGGTTCTTTCCTAAAATTTGGGAAAATCCAGGTTGTTTTTTACTTGTAAAAAGATTATGGCCCTTATTCATTGTTTCAGTCCTGACTTAGACCTACTTTAGTCCTGGTTCAGTCTGCTTTAGTCCTGGTCCAGTCTGCTTTAGTCCTGCATCAGTCTCTTTTTGTCATGGTGTGGATTTTTAGTTGTGTACTTTGGTTTTATTTTGTAATCAGTTCTCTGTGGTTTCATTTCAGTTCTACTTCCTGTCCTGTTCCCCTGTCTTGGTTGTCTGCCCCGCCCTGATGTGTGTCACCTGTGTCTGTCTATACTGTATGTACCCTGTGCTTCTCTCTCCTTGTTGCTGGTCCATTGTATTGTCAACGTCTGTCCTGTAATGTCTCGTCAAGTTCTGTCCTGCTCCTGTTCCTTTGAATTTTTGAGATTTGTTTTCACCTTGGACTTTATTTTATTAAATCATTATTTTTGCATTCCTGCCTTTGGGTCCTACTTCATCTCACGCCACATGACAGCTTTGGACTTTGAGGAAGTCTTTTAGGGTATGACTCTACAGGATTGGCACATCTGGAGACAGACATTTTGGCTCGCTCCTCTTTACAAAAGAGGAGTCAACCATTTGACTCTGACAAACTTGAAAATGGATTTTTTAGGACCTTCTTTCAATGATAGCTTCTTCTTGCCACTCGTCCATAAAGGACAAATTCATTTTTCTTTCACTTAACAGTTGTCTGTTACCGCAAACGTTGGAGCTGTATTAATGCTTTTGCGAGTAACTGCATCTTTTATATGAATCATTTTCAACACTTTACAAAACATTTTATTTTCAGTTTCTGTAAATGTATGTATAAATCATTGTGGAAGCAGCTACTCCGAGTATTGTAATTCACCGTGAGAAAGATATCCAAAATGACATGACATCATCTTAGTCGAGTTAAGCGTCTTGCCCAAGGACACAATGACAGCGAACATCAGTGGGAGTCAATGGAGAAGGCCTCATGGTGGGCTTGAACCCACGACCTCAAGCTCAAAGGCCAATGCTCTACCAACTTAACCACTGTCGTGAGGAAGATATATTGGTGGAAAAATGCATGTTTCTCAAAAGGCCCCATTTAAGATTATAATTGAGAACACATTTTTCCCCACAGACGTTGTGGGTAAAGAGCTGAGAAAATTATAACAAAATTACAGTTTGTCAGAAATATTAAAATGTAGAGGAAGTAGAGCAGTGTTAAAGCTGCAACGACAAGAAGGAGAGTCAAACCCCCCCAGCTCCAGCTCCAGCCACAGCTCTAGCCACAGCTCCAGAGCCAAGCCGCCTCCAGCCCCAGCCCCAGCTCTAGAGCCCAGCCGCCTCCAGCCCCAGCTCCAGCCGCCTCCACCCCCCACAAGCTCATGGACCAGGCCAGATCCAGCCTCAGTGATAATTAGATCCATGCTGAGGTGTTGCGTGCTCCACACGAGCCTCGGCCTCTCTGCGGGACGACCTCCTCACCTCCTGCTCCGCGGTCGCCTTCATCGCAGAAGCTTTCCAGCAGAATAAACACAGCTCTGTAGCGACAAAACCCGGGAGATGTCCAGGAAACCCACTCCTGCAGAGTAAACAGCGGTCTGTAAGCAGAGACAGCGCAGAGAGCGAGAAACCACAAGGAAATCAGCACTCGGATCGTCCGGACAATAGAGGCTTTATGGAAATCAGAGGCAACAGAAAAGTGTAGGATAAAGACGGGATTTGCTCACCTGGATTCTATCAACTACTGTAAGACTGAGGCATTTGGAGACAGTTAGAAAGTAAAGCCAGGATCTCATCTTACTTTGGACAGAGGGCCACAGTTATACAATTCAATTCAATTCAATTTATTCTTGCATGGCCCTAATGTCATTTGGTGAGAGATAAAGGAGCCAAAATGCAGGAATGCCAAAAAAATAAAGATTTAATGATAATAATAAATAATAGTCCAGGGTAAAACAAATCAAAAATCCAAACAAAACTCAGGAACGTAGACAGACAAAGACAATAATGGACCAGCAACAAGTGGAGAGCAGGGGCAGACAATCAACACAGTAAGCCAAACTGAAAGGAGGACTTTACAAAACCGTAGATTTTGTAAAGTCAAACAGTTCAAACTCCAGAGCCATTGGTCCATAAATGTGGTTGACTGTTGAGTGTCCACGGTCCTTAGACCCTGGATCGACATGGAACAGCTCTAATAAATGGATAAAATTAGTCAAAATCTAAAATTTTGACTTCAGCCGAAACCCCTTTTGGTCAGGCACAATTTAGCTCTAAAACTCTTTGTATACACATTTGAGTAGGGATACATTTCGGAATATGACAGTGGCTTTCCCAGAGAAAACATAATGCAGTACTCGTATTGGTCCTCGGTATCGGGAAGTACTCAAATTAAGATATAGCGCTCGTATCGGTTTTGCATCCCTACTTTTTAGTTTTTGTTTCTTCTTGTAAAATGTATAATATCTTTGAAAACTTGTGAGCTAAGATATAACGTTAATAATGCTACTACTTTCTACTACTCTCCAGACAATTCATTTTCAATCACGTAACTTTGAGAAGAAGTGCAGCACTGTGGCAGAGTGGTTAGCCCTCGTAGCGTACTTTGTCCTCTGCATTTGACCTCTCTTGTAAATCAGGTTTCCCTCTCTTTTCTTCTTCTCTCATCTAACAGATGTAGCTCACAGTAGCTCACAGAAGTAGCTTCTAAATTGAATCAAATGAAAAAGGGTCCGGCCCTCCACAATGTACCCATGTCCCCCTGTACCCCTGATCTATAGGTGCTGTTTCTTCTTCTGGGTTCTTTTCTATCCACATGTGTACACAGAAAATATATGGATACAGACGTGTTTAAAGTATTAGCAATGACATAATCAATGAGTCTTCTGGCCCCTGGATGTTCCATGTTCCAGCTTCTTCTCTCTGGCAGAAGGTATCGTTCGCTGAGATGCAGGACATCTCGTTTTGCTACAGCTTCAGTTTGAACAGAGCACTTTAAATGATCTTGAAAAAAAACAAAACAATAATAACGATAATAATTGTTTACATAACCGTACTGTGTGATACAAAAAACTGAATATCTTGTCGGAAACATTTGTGCTTTTAAAACCGCACAACCTGACACCTCGTAAACGTCTCCGTTCTCGTAAACTCTGCTGGACTCGGTTTTACTGGACACGTGAAAACCATTCTGAGAACTTTCTTTTCTGTCCCTTGCTCCTAAATCACGACACAAAACACTACACAAAAGCTGCTTTAGCAAAAGTCTACTTCAGCTTCTCATTACAGGGAACGCAAACATCTCACTTTTACCTGAGACTTTGATGGTTCGAGCGGCGGGGGAGCAGGGAGCACCTGGATGTCACGGTACTTTACAGTCTGCAGCTCCGTAACACCAATGATAATGATAGTGATTGAAGAAACGGAATGGACCGGAATGTGGCGAAAACACAAGGAGAAGCTGAGGCGGAGACAAAAATGACTGAGTAGGAATTTTATCTTTACTCTTTGAGTAGAAGTGAGAGGTGACCTAAAGGTTGTTCACCAGAAAAAAAGTGTTGTTAAACCGTCTTTGTGAAGGGAAAAAACACTGCGAAATGAGACCTGGGCACGGTATTGACCTCACAGAGACAAACTGTGCATGTGGTTAGAAAGTTATCTGCCAGAAATGAAAAGGTTAAAGCTTTAGGTCATGAACAAATCTTCTGATGACCCAGATCTGCAGGACCGTGAACGGGCTCAGGACTCCTGCCTTTTACTCCATTCTCCCACAGTAGCACAAAAACACACTCACCTTGAACTCACTATTTTTTCAATGGTGGGGGAAACTGGAAAACCCGGAGGAAATATACGCAGAACATGCAAACTCCAGCAGAAAGGCCCCGTTGGGAGTTGGAATGGAACCCAGGACACCCAAGTGACAACAATGTGTTCTCCTGTGAGAAAGTCAAACAAGTGTAACTTACCTAGAGCTCAGGCTGCGGTCCACACACACACACACACACACACACACACACACACACACACACACACACACACACAGACACAGGAGGAAGAGCATGACAACCTTGGGACTATTTTTAACAATCCATAAAAATTCTGTGCAAACACTAAAGAGATTCTTTAAAAAATGAACCAAAGAAGAAATTCCCAACATTGAATCATGTGGGTTCAATCCCTCTACTAGACCTACCCCATCTACTCCCACTGTGTCCTCAGGTAAGACACTAACACCACTTTGCCTGAAGCCCCCATTGAAAAACCAAAACGGTGACAGAGCAGCCCTCCTCCTGTGGACTCACCTCCTGCAGGAGGAGCAGAGAGGACCAGCTCCTGCTGGAGAAATTTAAGTACAAGTTTGCCCAAATAGGTTTCAAGATTACTTCTGAATTAATCAAGCGGAAGATGGTTCCAGAGCTCGGGTGCAACACCCTGGAAGGATCCGTCTGCTCTGGTCCTGAAGGATCCGTCTGCTCTGGTCCTGAAGCTGGTGCATGGAACCATCAGTAGACTCAGATCCACAGACCTCAGATCGCTGTAAAGAGGAGTCTCACATAAATAAAGCAGAATCATCAGCCACAGATCACAGAGAAGACGTTTGAGTTGAGAGCGCGTCATCTCTTGGCAGGTCTTCATGACATATTTCAAGTCTTTATCCCGACTGTAGTAAATCTGAGGCCTGCAGACCCTTCACACAGACACACATGGGGTCTGTGTTACCACGGTAACACAGCTGACCAAACAAACAGGAGCCTGACCACTTTAAGCTCTGCGGTTTTGCAAGTACTTCAAAAGATGACGTCATCCAATTCAGGTATCACTCATGTTAGTCCTGCTTTAACCAAATACAGGGCCTTGTTAATGTAGTAATACAGCTTGAACTATTTGTTACAATATATCCTGTAACATCAGTTTTATGTAGCGCTTTTTGGGCTCTTAAAGACGCTTCACATTATTCATTCACTCCATACATGATGGTGATAAACTACTACTGTAGCCACATCTGCCCTGAGGCACACTGACCGAAGCAAGGCAACCAGTATGTGCCATCGGCCCCGCCGCCCACCACCAACCATTCACACACACACCAGACTCATTCAAGGCAATGCGGGTGAAGTGTCTTTCCTTAGGACACAATGGCTGTTTGGCACTTTACAGCTGCAGCCGCCCCACTGTGGCATCTGGTGTTCCCAGAGGTCTCCCATCACAGTATTAACCAGGCCCTGCCCTGCACAGCTTCAGAGGTCTGACGGGATCACATTTTGTCATGTTTAAAGATTGTTTAAAGATTGTATTTCAGTTTTTTTTTAAAGTGAATGTTCACACTCAAGTAACTAACGACTGTGAAGTGAAAGTCAAATGACACATGATTCTGTTATTTAAAAAGTTGGACCAAGTTTTCATAAAGCAGGAGTCTATGCTTTGTGGAACCTCCTTTTGCTGCAATAACAGCAGCAGGATTGTTGGAATCAGGAAGTTTATCCCATTCCTTTTTACAAAACAACTATAAGAAGGTGAAAGGCCCCTCGTCCCTGTTGATGGTTCCTGCTTCCTGGTTGCATCCAGGAACAACAGCTGAGAGTCTCACATCACTCTTCTCTGACAAAGGAGGAAGTCTACGCTCAAACATGTGGCAATGAAGCAAAGCAGGCAAAATAACAGGACATTTAGAAATAAAATACGTACAAACAATTCCCTTTTTACAACTGAGGGAAGTAAAACTATATAAAACAGAACAGAAATGGGAAAAGAAGGTAGATATCGACGTTTCAGAGGATGGGCCTGCTGGCATTTCAGTCTCAGCTGTTTTTCTTTATGTTTCTACTGTCCTGTAAACGCGCTACAACATCGGAATTTCCCCAATGCGGGAGGAATAAAGGTTCTCTTGTCTTTTCTTTACTAAAAAGAAAAGAAATCTCAGCATGTAATCCCCAATCCTACCACCAGGAAGAGATGTTGAGTTACATACATATACATTTTTAATATCAAACATGGTTTCAAGTACATAATATTTCTAATGAAATGCATCTAACTAGTTCCTGGCTCTAAAGCGGTTCAGTGATATCACTCTGTCACATCTTTGAATCAAATTTTCAGACAGTAAAGTGAAAAAACCATGAGTCAGTATTTTGCTGTGAGTACAACAGAGACTCCTGGGGCTCTTTCTATTGAAAAATATAACATTCTTATACAAATATAATGTGTGCACAACATTCTCTCTGTTGGAAAACACACAATCCTGTTACTGGTGATGCCCCATAAGGCGGGTTAGGGTCCTGATGTCCTGCTGTTCTGATGTCCTGCTGTCCTGATGTCCTGATGTCCTGATGTTCTGATGTCCTGCTGTTCTGATGTCCTGCTGTTCTGATGTCCTGATGTCCTGTTCTCCTGATGTTCTGATGTCCTGCTGTTCTGATGTCCTGCTGTCCTGATGTCCTGATGTCCTGATGTTCTGATGTCCTGCTATTCTAATGTACTGCAGTCCTGATGTCCTGATGTTCTGATGTCCTGATGTCCTGCTGTCCTGCTGTCCTGATGTCCTGATGTCCTGATGTTCTGATGTCCTGCTATTCTAATGTACTGCAGTCCTGATGTCCTGATGTTCTGATGTCCTGATGTCCTGATGTTCTGATGTCCTGCTGTTCTGATGTCCTGCTGTTCTGATGTCCTGATGTCCTGTTCTCCTGATGTTCTGATGTCCTGCTGTTCTGATGTCCTGCTGTCCTGATGTCCTGATGTCCTGATGTTCTGATGTCCTGCTATTCTAATGTACTGCAGTCCTGATGTCCTGATGTTCTGATGTCCTGATGTCCTGCTGTCCTGCTGTCCTGATGTCCTGATGTCCTGATGTTCTGATGTCCTGCTATTCTAATGTACTGCAGTCCTGATGTCCTGATGTCCTGATGTCCTGTTCTCCTGATGTTCTGATGTCCTGCTGTTCTGATGTCCTGCTGTCCTGATGTCCTGATGTCCTGATGTTCTGATGTCCTGCTATTCTAATGTACTGCAGTCCTGATGTCCTGATGTTCTGATGTCCTGATGTCCTGCTGTCCTGATGTTCTGATGTCCTGCTAATCTGATGTCCTGCTGTCCTGGTGTCCTGCTGTTCTGAGATACTGCTGTCCTGATGTTCTGATGTCCTGCTGTTCTGATGTACTGCTGTCCTGATGTCCTGATGTTCTGATGTCCTGCTGTTCTGATTTACTGCTGTCCGGATGTCCTGCTGTTCTGATTTACTGCTGTCCTGATGTCCTGCTGTCCTGATGTTCTGATGTTCTGATGTACTGCTGTCCTGCTGTCCTGCTGTCCTGATGTCCTGCTGTTCTGATATACTGCTGTCCTTATGTCCTGCTGTCCTGATGTTCTGATGTCCTGCTGTTCTGATATACTGCTGTCCTGATGTCCTGCTGTTCTGATATACTGCTGTCCTGATGTCCTGCTGTTCTGATATACTGCTGTCCTGATGTCCTGCTGTTCTGATTTACTGCTGTCCTGATGTTCTGATGTCCTGCTGTTCTGATATACTGCTGTCCTGATGTCCTGCTGTTCTGATATACTGCTGTCCTGATGTCCTGCTGTTCTGATATACTGCTGTCCTGATTTCCTGCTGTTCTGATTTACTGCTGTCCTGATGTCCTGCTGTTCTGATTTACTGCTGTCCTGATGTTCTGATGTCCTGCTGGTCTGATGTACTGCTGTCCTGATGCTGACACGCCCCCATCTCTTCTACATGTTTCCATCATGAGTGTTTTACATTTGAAACCATGAACAGGTGGATCATTGGGTTCAGGTCCAGCCACAGCTTCACTCACTTTGACACAATACAATTTATTCTTGTATAGCCCTAAATCACAGCAGTATCATCTCAGAGACTTAACAAAACCATTGAAATCACCAACACAGATCAGAGAATCAACAGTTAAAACACATAAAGAATATAGAACACATGTTGATAATGTCATACATGTTAAAGTGTCCAACAAACCCTCCTACATCGGCAAGGAAAAACTCATAAGAAAAACCCAGTGGGAAAAAACTGAGAAACCTCGGGGAGACCCACATATTGAGAGAGGGATCCGTTCCACACGCCGGACGGGCTATAGATCCAGGACCTATGCTGCAGAACATGGACCAGGGCCACGCAGCGGCCGCAGAACGTGGACAGGTCCGGTGCAAGTTTTGTGCAAGTCGGCAGAGCTCAAGCCCCTGTGAGTCCAGAGTCCTCTCTGATGACGTCTGTTCATGATCTCTGAGATCTCTGAGATCCCTGACAGCTGTCTGTACCATGTGGCCGGTGTAGATATCACTGAATGGAACAACTGTTATAGTATAAAGTATGGCAGCGTATAAAGTGTAGTAGCGTATACTGTAAAATATAGTAGTGTATAAAGTATAGTAGTGTATATAGTATAGTAAAGTATAGTAGTGTATAAAGTATAGTAAAGTATAGTAAAGTATAGTAACGAAAGCTTCCTTCTATGAAGAAGCGGTCAACTCCCACTCGATCAAACCACCTCCACTCGGTCTGAGACCTTTGTGATACTACGCTGACTTTCATCAGTAACAAGACCGTTGTTAAAAGTATCTTTGATGATGTTTTCAGTGGTGCTCAGGTTGTTGTGGAACCACAACTAATGTTAGTCTGTAAACAGAGCGTATCCATGACAACGCTGCATGAGTGTCTTTAACAGTGCGGTGAGCCGCAGGGGCCGACCGCAGGGGGCCCGAGCCGACAGAAAAGCTGTGTTCTCTGCTGAGGGCCCCGCTCCCTGCACATGTGTGATGATGTCAGCAGTTACAGGTACAGGCTCTGGGCTCATTTAACCTCATATTTACAATTGCAGAAACACAGGCGCTAAAGACAAGTTTTGATCCATGGTGCTTGTTGGAGTAGCAGCAGATTAGAACTAGATATATAGATACATTGATCCCAGAAAGAGAAGTTCCGGGGGCCGCAGCAGAAACTCAAAAACAAACAAACAAACAATTGGGTGATGTCGGCAAAGTCTGTTTGATCTGGACCATTTTGTTGTATTTTTCTTTATGAAAATAAATCTCAGCTTTATTTCATTAGATTTATTATCATATGCTTTATTTGCATTTTTCTATCATTCCTCCAGTGGATTTCTGCTTGATGTGATTGGTTGGGACCATCCTCTCTGCTCTGGTCTGGATCAGTGTAAAACCATGAACTCTGTGCTGCCGTAACATTTACAGATAGAAAATCTAACTATTGTAAAGCTTAAAACAACAACTGTTTTCAGGGTTACTCAGGACGTGATACAAAAAGTAAAATTAAATCAAGGTTTAAAACAAGTTGAAACCAGTCCCTGCTTCTCACATTTATCACATGTGACAGTCTAAATACGGACGTCTTCTTTTAAACAAAGACACCTGTTGGGCCTGATGGAGTTTCCCTCTAATGAGAGCTGGACACATTTGTCGACAGTAGCAGTGATTTCATTGGAAAATACTAAACATCTGTAATCCACAAAGCAACATGTAACCCCCTGACGTAACGGTAAAATACAGTACATGCATGTTTAAAGTCCTACATCTCTCATCAATGAGGCCGTTAGGTTCCTCTCCGTCCTCATCCCACAGACGGCCGGGGGGCAGAGGTCGCGCCGTCTGGGAGGAAACAGCAGCCGCCGCTAAATCAACCGCATCACAGCAGCAGAGGCATAGTTGGAGCGTGATGTCAGCCGCCTCCACAGGACGCCACTGCGGATAACGGTTTCTCTGGCGTCGGGAAATGAGTCAAAGGTTTACGAGGTTAGCGATGATGGGGTTGGTATAAGACGGAAAGAGGTGATGATGGTTAGAAGGCGGAGAGGGGGAAGACAAGGCTTTCATCTGGTTTCATCGGAGAGAAACATGAACCTTTACTTAAGAAGTACTTATGACGTTATTTATGAAGTACTTTTCACAAACTTTTAGTCACAATGAGTATTCTATCACATCAAATACTTTTGAATGAGCTGGAAACGGCAGCACGTCCTAAGTCGCTCTGAAGCAGTTGTTGAGAAGAGGAGAGTGGAGAGGAGAGCAGAGAGTACAGGAGAGAGGAGAGGAGGGGAGAGCAGAGAGAAGAGGAGGGCAGAGAGGAGAGAAGGGCAGAGAGGAGAGGGGAGGGGGAGGAGAGAGGAGAGGGGAGGGGGGAGAGAGAGGAGAGATGAGAGGAGAGAGGAGAGGAGAGCAGAGAGGAGAGGGGAGGGGAGGGAGAGAGAGAGAGATGAGAGGAGAGAGGAGAGGAGAGCAGAGAGGAGAGGGGAGGGGGGAGGAGAGAGGAGAGATGAGAGGAGAGAGGAGAGAGAGCAGAGAGAGGGGGAGGGGAGGAGGAGAGAGAGAGAGAGGAGAGGAGAGGAGAGAGAGGAGAGAGAGAGAGGGGGGGGGGGAGGAGAGAGGAGAGAGGAGAGATGAGAGAGAGAGAGAGAGGAGGGCAGAGAGGAGAGGGGAGGGGGAGGAGAGAGAGAGAGATGAGAGGAGAGAGGAGAGGAGGGCAGAGAGGAGAGGGGAGGAGGAGGAGAGCAGAGAGGAGAGGGGAGAAGGAGGAGAGAAGAGAGGAGAGAAGAGAGGAGGGCAGAGAGGAGAGGGGAGGAGGAGGAGAGCAGAGAGGAGAGAGGAGAGAGGAGAGGAGAGCAGAGAGGAGAGGGGAGGGGGAGGAGAGAGGAGAGAGGAGAGATGAGAGGAGAGAGGAGAGGAGGGCAGAGAGGAGAGGGGAGGAGGAGGAGAGCAAAGAGGAGAGCAGACAGGAGAGGAGAGGAGAGAGGAGAGAGGAGAACAGAGAGGAGAGTCGAGAGCTGAGAGGAGACAAGAGAGGAGAGATGAGGAGAGAGGAGAGCAGGAAGGAGAGGAGAGGAGAGCGGAGAGCTGGGAGCAGAGAAGAGAGGAGAGAAGAGGAGAGCAGGGAGTAGAGCAGAGAAGAGAGGAGAGAAGAGGAGAGCAGGGAGTAGAGCAGAGAAGAGAGGAGAGAAGAGGAGAGAGGAGAGAAGAGGAGAGAGGAGAGCAGGGAGGAGAGCAGAGTGGAGAGGAGAGCAAAGATCTGATGGGATCTGGCTTCCACCTGCACGTACGGCCACAATAACGATTAAAAGTAAAGTTGTGTTACTGTCGAAGGTGGGAGAAACAGTTCGTTGGACCTGGTTTTAAAAATTATTTATCATAAAATCCATCAAAACAAATGAAAGCAACACAAACCTAAGAAAAAATATGGGTTAAAAAGAGGGCTAAAATCATGTTTTCCAGTTTCCTCCTTGTCCTCAGATCTCCAGTCTTTTATTTTATATACCCAAGGCAATACTCAATACCCTTATTAAAAGTATAGTGTTTTGTACTGGTTCAGACTGGAGCAGAGAGGATTCATGGTCAGAGAACCAAGTGGATGAAGATTCACTGGAGGAATGCTAACTTTTTGAAATATACTAACAAAGCATTTAGCTTTTTACTTTGGACTAGAGCAGAGAAAATAGTGCGAACCAAGCGGCTACTCCACCTTGTGACCCGTCCTGCTCCACCCAGAGGCTACTCCACCTTGTGACCCGTCCTGCTCCACCCAGAGGCTACTCCACCTTGTGACCCGTCCTGCTCCACCCAGAGGCTACTCCACCTCTTCTGCTGTGACTAGATGGACTGTTGCTGATTATTACTATTGCTAGCTTTTTAGAAAGATCTATTTTATTTTATATTTTTGCTAATGGACACCTGAATATCTCCTACCAGGATCAATAAAGTATCTATCTATCTATCTATCTATCTACAGTATCTAAAACCCACCACCCATTTTGCCCCCACCGACAATACAAGTTACAGACACGTTGTAAAATCCAAATAGTTCATATACTTTTTGTTCAATTCACCTTCATCACTGAACCCAGACGTTTGATGACTTTTCCAGCCGTGCAAAAAACAAATCAACTCAGAACCATGAGTATAAATCCATCTCTGAAAAGTCCTCATGTGCAGCAGACAGGTTTAGGTTACACTGTGGAGACATCCCAACAGCACCTCCATATATCCTCCGTGTACGTCCACACAACCCGACCCCTGCAGCAACGCAAACACATGACTTCACTGCTCTGAACACGCTGCGGACCCGTTGGGAACAATTACAAAGAGAAGGAGAGGAAAACCCACGCCGCGGTCTCCGTAGGTGTGCGGCGAAATGGCAATCCAGCTCGTAACTTTATGTTCCAGCTCATTGGTGCATGGGGAGGTTTAATTTTGATTAATGGTGCCATTAAACACATGAAAAAAAGCAGAGGCCAAATGAATCAATCTGGGTCTGGCCCCGGCTGCGTGAGCGGTGGTGAAGGCTACGGCGAGTTCGCATAAACGTGTAAATCAGACGAGGTAGAGGTGAGAATGATCTGGGGAAAAGGGAAGAGGTGATTGCTGGATAGTTTGGCAATTGGTTCTTATGATAAATGCATTCGGCAATGTCTGAAAATAACAGCAATAATTATCTGAAAGTCCCCCAGCGTGGGACCAATAACTAGTGTCTCAACATAGATGAAAAAAATAAATAAAATAGAGATCTGACTGAGTTTAAAAGGCCATCTTCAAGTGTTTTTTGCTCTAGGGCAGTACGGGGCAGGGGTACACTTAACTCCCCTCGGAAGAAAGACAAATTCTATCATTTGAGAACAAGTGAATAAGAACACAGAGATACAATGATGGGCAAAAGAGAAGTCCAAAAATCTGTACTCTGTAATTCTAAGGCTCAGATTCAGATTCATTTTATTTGCCATTTGCAGTAAAACCACATTGGAATACATTTGCAAACGTCCATAGATACAAGTACATAGATAAAACATTGTTAAAAGTACAGGAAACAAGATAAGATAAAGCTTTATTTGTTTGTTAACGGAGGAAATAAGAGACTCTGGTTTTGCACACATGAAGCAGGATCAACTATTTAAAATAATAGATAATCAAATAAAAATAATAATTATGATATAAAATAGTAGCTATAATTGCACATGGTTCAAGATTAAGTCACGTGTGGAGTTTACACGGTAGTCAGCAGAATCAGGAAGTTTTTACAGATATTTCTTTGTATTCTAGCAGCGAAGAATATGAGCAGAAGAAACAATAGTAATAATTGCAGCAGGTAAAGTGACTAGTGGATTATCAGAACAGGTGAATGACACGTGCACAGACTCAGCAGTCCAACACTAACAGGAATCTCTCTTTAACACATCAAGGGTGAATAAGTCTGTCACTGAAGCTACTCACCAGAGCAGACAGAGTGTCCTGCAGGGGGCGACAGTCATGGTCCAGCATAGATGTTAGTTTGTCCAGGACCCTCCTGTCCCCCACCTGCTGCACTGTGTCCAGGCAACACAGCTGGACTTCCTGATGTTCCAGCTTCTTCCTCTCTCTCTCCGTGATGCTGCTGCTCCAGTCAAATTAAAAGTGATATTGAAAGAAAAGAAGCCATTTCCAGAAGTTATCCACAAGGAGTCTACTGGGAGAGTTTATCCTGTGGTTTTAACATGTTTTTGGGACAAACATCATCAAAACGCTGGTAGTAGTGAGTCAGTTTATCCTTTTCAACTGTGTGTCTCCTCTCGCTCATCGTTCACACCTCTGGCTCCACAGATGTCGGGTTTCTTTGGTGCTGAGAAAAGCAACTCCTCAAACACCTCCTGCTCCCACTCCAGGTTCCACTCCAGGTGTGTACAGAGGCCACAAGCTTTTTATACTACTTCTACTGACACTCCACGTTGCATCTATTTATTTTCTCAATGATTGAAAAAAAAAAACCCCTCAGTGACAAATATCATGTCGTAATCCTGTTATCACTGAACACACAGATCACTCCTTCAACGCTGCACTAACTGACTTTATTTTTGTATTCATTACGAAAATTCAATCCATATCCATCCAGTGCATTGGGACATACGTCCTTTTGAAGAAAAAGTAGCGCAGATTTGTCCTGGCGTGTTATTTAATTTCAGATCGAGTTTTGGTGAAACAAGGAAGTTGTTTCGGGTCCAGATTGTGACCAATCACAGCGGACCACTGGCCCCCGCTTTCTTGAGAAAAGCCACAGGTCTCTTGTTAGCACAGACAGCTGAGGTAAACAAGAGGCTAACCTGAAACTCCCCGTGTCTTCGTTTCCGGTTACGGCTTACACAGCAAAACAGCCATCCAGAAGAATGTCTCGTTCCTCCGCGCTTCCCGGTTCAATCATTCTTTGGTCACACCGTCCACGTTCAAATGTGTCAATATTGTGAGACGTGAGCTCCGTATCCAGTTAGCATGAGCAGAGGCGAAAGCTCCGTGCGGGGAGGTCGAGCAGAGAGCGCGAGCTCAGCGTTCTGATTCGAAAGTTTCTCAAAGTCAGTTAGTGCAGCTTTAATGAACATATTTATTTTGAGAATGTTGCTTTAGAATGTGAAAAACTCCTAAGTAGAAAATGTGTGCATAAGCTTTAGGGTAGATTTCTGTCCATGACCCTGACCACCGCAGAGTACTTCCCTTTAGCTTGTTTGAATGTACTTTGTTCTGACATTTCCTTTCAGAACAAATGTTTTAATGTACAGACTCACTGCCAGTGGCAGTGAGTCTGTACATTACAACATTTTCTCTTAGTTTATAAATAGCTGGTTCTCCTCTTTGCAAAGTCTTTTGTCCGGTCAGCTGTCGAGTGACATCAGAGGACGTGGAAGTCTGGGGAAGCCCCGAGTGCGAGAGTAAGGTGGTGGAACAAAGCCTTCCCGGCAGAGATAGGACAAATGGGGGCAGCTGTCTGAGACCCTGCTGTGTGTGGGACACTGCGGCCGGGACGGGATCACCACTGTCTGAAGAATACACGGTTCTCAAAGACATTTCTGAGCTTTGAACCATGTTAGAACAATGTTACTTTCAGTTGTTCCTTTGGATTCACCATATTGGATGTACAATTATATATAAGCAGTGTAATGTCCCACTTCTACCACTAGATGGAAATGTTGAGCTTAAACGTCTATTTTCAGAAGCATAACAGAGTTAATGTTTATACATTTTCTAGTAAGAAAAAATCTATAACATGCCATAAATCTGAGTTTAAACAGTGCTCGCCAAAGAAGGTGCTGTTGATGTCTCCTTAACCCGCTCTCGTAAAGTCGGGATCAAGGATAATGCAAAAGAATAATGTTGTAATTATATAATATGATCAGAGAGTGAGCCTCCTTTGAATATCATGGGAGCGATCTAGAAACGACCAAGAGATGTGAATCTGTCGAACGCACACTATTTAACAATTCTGCAGCTAACTTTAGATGCTACACCTAAAGAGCAGTGTAGCATCTAAAGCAATCTCAAATGGTGTAAATTTGAGAGCTTTTGAACAAACAAAATGTTTTACTCCCCATGTAAAACTTTGGCTCACTAACGCTGAAGTTCCATATTTTCCACATTCAGGAGTTGAACATATATATGTACTGAATTTCATAGCTGTACGACATAATTTCAGACCGACCGACCCACCTTGTGCTAGAGCTGGAGGAGTGATGTCATCAGTGTGGCACGTGAATCTTGGGAGACAGTGGTTCGTGCGACAGTTACACACAGACGGAGCTACATTCTACATGTATTCGTTCGGAAAGCAATAAAAGTGCTTCATAAAGGTGACTTTCCCTCGGTCAGATAAACCGTATATTTGATTTGCTGTGAAGGAATCCCCTTTGCAGCAGAGCAGTGGGTCAAAGCACACAGCCTTTTACAGCCGTATCCGTGAGAGCTCCTGAGCTTTCTCACTGTGTTGAACTTGGAATCCAACCCGAGAAGATTGAGATTTAAGGCAAGTTCTGTCACATGTTTCAGGCCCCACGGGTCAATTTTCGAACCCGAAATTAGGTTTATTCATCTATGCGATCCGAGAAGTGAATGTGTCTTTGGTTAAGAGAGTATTAAGAGAGTCCCCCGCCTGGTCGAGGTTTTTGGTTCATGCCACAAACCACAGAAGGAAAATATGGAGTGAACCCAGAGTGAGGGCGCAGTGAAGTCAGCAAAAAATCTATTACAAAGGTTTTGGATGCAATATTACTGATTGTAATGTTGCAATAACACTTATGCGACTACAAACATAAAGGTCAAGGACTTTTGAGAGCATTTGACAAATTTTAAAGTAGCAATTTGTAAGACTTTCATGTCAAGTCATCATTAAATGGCCCTAATCTGTCAAAAGGCATTTATAAATCATGGTCTTTTCCAATACTTTATCTGATAACAGAAGTTCAGAGATATTCGAATTTCAAAATTGGATATCCAGCCAACTTATTGTTTTCATTTCATTTTCCAATCAGAAAGTCTGTGATCCGGGCGCCAGAACTCATCACGTCAAGCCAAAGTACCATGTGGCCGCAGAACTAAAAAAAGTCTTGTTATGATTCTCAAATCATTAACGACAAAACAAGGAATAAAACCAGGATTTCTATCTTTATGAAAAAGGTGTTGGCTATGGATTTCTTGTTGACAAAACTCTTTCAACAGGTATGGTCCCAGATGGATTCATATGCATTCATGCATATCTGGCAGAGTGGGAGAGGTTGCAGTACCACTTTTTTTTAACCAGATTTTTACATAATTCTCCTTTAAGAGTGGACATTATTTACACAATCAGTTGTTTTCATGAGATGATTATTTGAGTGTTATATTTTCTCCTCTGACCGCTGCCAGTGACACAGACTCTGTTTTACTTTGTTACTTTTTTACTTATAGGGAAAAAAAAAATTACAAGCAAGTATCATGGCTCAGACTCATGTTATATTTTTTACATTAAATATATAATGTCGAGTATATAACAGACATTATTCATGACACTCAAAGATGCTTCAATTCAATTTATTTTGGTGTACCTTTGAATCGCAACAGCAGTCGACTCTGAGGACGTCACCAACAACAGATCAAAGAAACAAACAGTTCGAACAGAGAGAATACAATTAAAAAACACTGGAGCCTTAAGCCTGGTTCACACGGCAGTATAATTAGGCCGATTTTGGACCCGATTTTCCCCTACGACAATCGTAAGAACGCTCCGAATATCGTAACAAAAATCTGATGGAATTTCCTGCCGTGTGTGGTGTCTTAAGACTGTGCTCGTCGCTCGGAAGGACTTCGGGACTGCTCCGATCTCAATATCGGGGATATCCAACATGTTGGATTGTTTTGGCCCGATTTCTCCTCGTGTGTGGTGTCCCCCGAGGACAGACGAGCACGTTGCCATGACTGCGGCGTGTAACCAATCAGAAGACGAGACAAGGCGGCGAGGAAACACCGTAAAAAAACAACTCACCTCCAAATCACGATGAAGCAAGTTTAGTCCATGCTCGTGTTGTCTACACTTCTTTGACCATCGCCCTTTCTTCTGATTACGTTTTTTCTCTGCTAAAAACAAACTATCGCCACTGCATCCTCTTCGTCCGCCATGATTGTTTACTCTGAAGTCACGCTTGATCTCGAGAGATTTTGTGAAATTTCCATCTGATCTGGGAATGCTCGGGCGGGGAAATCGGTTCGTGTGTGGTGTGTGTGGTTTGCGTGATTTTTCCGTGTGGCTGCACCACACACTGTACGACCAAAGTGGTTAGACCCATGATTTTTCATCTCAGTGTGTGAGGTCTCACACAGAGAAAATCGGCCGACAATTTTAAAATTGTCTTGCGTGAACCAGGCTTTAGGTCCATAAAAAGCAGGACGGCAGATTTCCATAATCTTCATAAATATTCTAAAAAGTCCCGGATCATCCTTGTCCTTAGACCCTCCTGCATCTGAGACAACAAGAGTTGCAGATTAATGGAAAATCTGCATTTTTCCCCACCTGTAGAATTTCTAAGTATTTCTAAGTCTTACCTGTGTTTAAAGCCTTGATAGAGACTGTCTGCTTCTTTGATGTGGATGGGGAGCTGATTCCACATAAAGGAGCTTGGAAGCTAAAAGCATTTGACAAACTGGGAACAACCCTCACAGTGAGAGAGTTTGGTTGATATACTAACAAATTATATCATATAATTGATGTTGGTCGGCCGATGAGATTGATCATTCTGACCAATTACCAATTTGTGTTGGTTGGTGCTAAAGAAGCCAGTAGCTTCGGCCTTCAGATAGAGAGAGTCCTGTTAGATTGATGAGTTCAACTTTAACCACAGTTGCTTAAAAGTGTTATCAAAACGCAACCCTTTTTTTGATAGATTGTTTTAACCAAAATATTAGACGGACACAAATGATATCAGTTTGTTTTTTGAGAGCTGTGTTCTTTCCCCATTGTGTGCTCTGTCTATATGTCCTTTCGTAGTATATATGGTTTATATCAGTGTCTCCCAAAGTGGGGTCCGCGGCCCCCTGGTGGGCCGCGTGGGTACTGCGGGGGGGCCGCGGGAGGTCATAAAAAAAATAAAAAAATAATATAATTATTTAATGTTAAATTTATAATGTTTTGTTTGTAATATTAAAATATTTGTGTTCATTATTTGACTTGAATAAGCCACTGTAATCATTTTTGTATTACAATGTTTGTAGCAGAGGCTATTTCCCCAAAATAAAATAAGCAGAAGAGCCTATTCTTAATGTTGTCTTCTTGGTTATTATTTTGGGGGGGCCACGCAGACCCATCAGATTTTTAAGGGGGCCTCGGTGTTACTGAGTTTGGGAATGGCTGGTTTATATAATTCATCGGGAACACACTGGACTCTTGCTGACATCCATACATGCTTTCCTAGGCACATTTTCTATTTCATCTTTGTCTTCTTCCAAAATCCTTTACCCCCCTGAGTGTGCAGAGTTGGCAGGGGTTCTGTTAGGTCTGCTGCTGATATTATCCAAGCAGCACAGAGCACCATTGTATCGTAAATCACATCATTTTGCTTGGCCCCTGAAGAAGCTTTAGTTTCTGCAGCTTTGCTCGCTCGTCCGTCTGTCACAGCGAGAGAAGAGCAAAGAGAGTCTTATGTAAGCGCGCTGTAAACGAGTGGCTCTTTAAGTTTTACCTGCAAATAAATACTGGCATCGCTCAGCTCAGGCACAGATGGCAAACTGCACAAAGCTAGAGCCAGAAATGTATTTATAACGAGCTTCCAACTTGGACTTAGGAAGCAATTTATCTGGAGGTTTGTGGCATTATGTAAGGGTATAACTACAGTACTAGGCCTGTATTGGCATGAAGAAAGAGGAGAGGAGGAGGTGGAGGAGGAGGAGGTGTTGGAGGAGGAGCAGAGTGAGGAGCAGAGGAAAGGACGGCGGTGTAGTGGAGGAAGGAGGATCAGACAGTGGTGGGAAGGAGTGGGAGGGAGTGAAACGGAGGGGCAAGGGGGAGGAGGAGTGAGGAGCAGAGAGAGGCAGGAGGGACGACCGGAGACGGAGAAGCAAAGGGAGAACCAGAGATAGAAGGAGCATAGGGGGAGGAGTAGAGGGAGGCAGAGGACCAGAGCTAGTACAGTAGGTGGAGCAGAGGGGGGGAGTTGGTAGAGCAATGGTCGTGGGTTCGATCCCCCCACGAGACCTCCTCCATCTGCTCCCACTGAAGTCTGCGGTTGTTGTGTCCTTGGGCAAGACAAAAATCCCACTTTACCTGAATCCCTCAATGAAACACCAAGTCTTGTCTGAGTCATCACTGACGAAGCAGCCATCCTTCAGGCATGTGAGGGTGCTATGAGCATTAGGGGGCAGCTCTGAATAGAAACCCAGATTTTCCTCCACTGGTTATTGCACACATTTAAAGCTGTATACACGTGACTCAAAACATATGAATTCTTCAGCACATGTTTTTTTTTCATTTCATTCTTCGTTCAGACTGAACCAATGACAGCACAAGTACAATACCCCTTAGTCCCAGCAGAGGGCAGCAGATTTCACAGTTCAGCTTTG